GACTTGGTTTAGTTCTGGTTTAGGCCTGGTTTAGTCCAGATTTAGACCTGGCTTAGTTCTCGTTTAGACCTGGTTTAGTTCTAGTTTAGACCTGGTTTTGTTCTGATTTAGACCTGGTTTAGTTCTAGTTTAGACCTGGTTTAGTTCTAGTTTAGACCTGGTTTAGTTCTGGTTTAGACGTAGTTTAATCCAACTTTAGACCTGGTTTAGACCTGGTTTATTTGTGGTGTAGTCCAGGTTTAGTTATGGATTAGTTCTGGTTTAGTCCTGGTTTAGACCTGGTTTAGTCCAGATTTAGACCTGGTTTAGTTTTGGTTTAGTGAGGTTCCTTACAGAAATTTTAATTAAAAAACACCTCAAAAATAAAATAATAATAAAATAATAACAAGTTTAGTTGAGTCCTTGTTGTTTCCTTGTGCGGCCCACTGTTTTTAACAGTCTTGATTCAGTGGTGTTTATCTCATTCTCTCCAGAGACACATTTCCCTCACAGTCCATTTACACCACATGTGCGGGTTTAGACTCTGCTGTTTTCTCTCGTGCGCCTTCAGTGTGAGCAGCTGTGCGGGCAGAAGGCTGCGGCTCTGTCAGATGGAGACCAACTTGTGGCGCAGTGACGCGGCTGGTGGCGCAGACTGCGGCTAAACCACGGGGACCAGCACCACGGACAGCTCCTCAGTGCGCCAACCCGATTCACCATGACAAACTACAGTCCTGGTTTAATCCTGGTTTAGATTTGATGTGAAAATGGTTCGGTCCTGGCTCTAGTCGTCCTGGTGCGCGCGCAGATACCACGTACTGTAAACGCAAACGCAAAATGATCACGCGCGTAATCGTTTAGTGATATAGCAGTTTTAAACATCTGATGCAATTTCGTTTTTGACATTTTCCAGAGGCAGTGGACGGGACTCAAACTGCTCTTTCCCCGCCTCATCAGCGCGTCTCTGTGCGTCTCTGTGCGTCCCTCCTCGCGCTCACCCAGCTCCTCCTGCGCCATTTAATCTGGAGTGACACGCGCGCGGACACGTCATTATTTTGTGCAGAGATTACGCACGAGAAGCAAAGAATCTTGGATGATTCGAGGCGCTGTTTTTGCTGAATGTTGATAAGTGACAATATCGTCTTTTAAAATGATTCGTGGGAAATTAAACACAAATCTTAAATATGATAAAAGGTGCGTTATTAAACAGAGCCGCGTGGTGCCACTGGTTTGGTTTTCTCTAAGTAGTTGTCACACAGTTTTGCTTTAGTGTTTCTAGAGACTCCGAACTGTAAAAACATTACGGGGGTTCATTATCTCTTTATTTAATCTCTCAAAATACAAAAATAACAAAACAAAATACACATATTTTATAATTTTACTTCATACCTGGACTAAAGCTGCTCTGGTATTATTATTATTATTTTATTTTATAATGATTTTTTTTGTAAGGAACCCCACTAAACCAGGACTAAACCAGGTATAAACCAGGACTAAACCAGGACTAAACCAGGTCTAAACCAGGAATAAACCAGGTCTAAACTAAGCCTAAACCAGAACAAAACCAGTACTAAACCAGATCTAAACCACAACTAAATCAGGACTAAACCGGGACTAAACCAGAACTAAACCAGGACTAAACCAGAACTAACACAGAACGAAATCAGGACTAAACCAGAACTACACCAGATCTAAATCAGGACTAAACCAGGACTAAACCAGATCTAAACCAGAACTAAACCAGAACTAAACCAGATCTAAATCAGGACTAAACCAGAACTAAACTTGGTCTAAACCAGATCTGAACCAGAACTAAATCAGGACTAAACCAGAACTAAACTTGGTCTAAACCAGATCTAAACCAGAACTAAACCAGGACTAAACCAGGTCTAAATCAGGACTGCTTTAATATTTTTAAAGGCCCCGTTCTGTAAAAATATTAAAATGGCCCATTATCTCTTTATTCAATCTTTCCAAATATGGTCATAAAGGCCTATTTTTCCTTCCGCTGTCTTAATCAAACACTAGAGAAATTACAGAAATGTTGTGGTGCGTCTGAATCGCGGCCTGTGACGTTTCTGACCGTCGTAGTGATTCGACGGAAACCGTCCCGGGATCGCGGCGCACGCACAGGTTTAATTTTATCCTCCGCCCGCGGACACACAAAGTGAAAGCGCACATTTCCGCTCGGCCTGCGCCTCCGCAGCTGCTGTGTGCGTACGCGCGCGCGTGCAGCAGGCCTTGTTGTGAGCGCGTGCGTGTGCGCGTGGCGCATCTGGGTAGCGTGAGGATGTGCGCGCGCGGGAGGAGGTGGGCGGCTCGAGCAAGGACGGAGGCTCCTCGAGGCGCCCGCGGATCCCTCCCCCCACGTGCGCGCGCGCGCACACCCCGGGCTCGAGCTAATGTCACACGCACGCGCACATCCAAACAGCGGCACGCGATGAGCGCTCGCGGACAGTCCAGAGATCTGAATACTGAAGAGAGAAGGAGCGTTTGACTTTTCACAAATTATGAAAAAAAAAAAAAAAAAAAAAATGAAAAAAAAAAAAAACTAAGCCGGCAACACTGCACTTTAAATACAAGCGTTATGGATGCAAGCAATGATTTTGGAACCTAAAATTTAATGCAAAAACAATAACTGGGCAATGTTTGATCTGACAGAAAAGCGTAAAGGTTGAGAGCTGAGAATTTAAATTGACATGTTAAATGGGTCTAACCGATTTGAGACTCAATTTGAACAACTTTAAATAAAAATAACTATGGTTCTAATTAAACTTGCATTTGTTGTAGGCCTATGTTTATTCGATATTTGTAATGTTTTATGCCTGTATCTTTTAAGTCCTTGTAGATTTTTATAATAAATCAAACCCATAAACACAGAACATTCAGCTGGATCTCTGTGGATGTTCCCTCGTGTTCCCTCCGTCTGCTCGGTTGCCGTGGAAACCGTTTTGGGTGTAAAAAAGTACAAAGAAACGGATTAACTCTGCCTTTAACGCGCGCGTGCAGCCGAGCACAGACGTCACGTGCGGCTGTGTGCGCGCGTGCAGGACCGAGATAGGCACGAGCTCATTTCCCGCGCGACAGGCCCTTCACGAGGCGCGCGTGAGGGGCGTAATCTCTGATAGTCGCCATGGAGACGGTAATTGGACAGGCCGCGAGCGAGTTTAGAGGAAAAGGGTTTATCCACAGAGAAAGACCGCGTCAAGTGTCCTGTAAATGAAATAAAGCCTAATAAATATAGAGTTTTTTGTTTTATAGGCACTAGAACAGTACAGGTTATAAAAATAAAAAAGGAGCAAACACAGAATGTACGGTTAATTTACCAGAGAGGAACCCCAATACACAAACACGGTTGTGAGGCAAACGCAGCTTTGTCTTGTCTAGACTCTGGACTCTTAACTCGGTCAATAAACAAATTAAATAGACAGACATGTTCTTGGTCTATAGTTGACCCCGTTCAGAAAAACAGGAACAACAATAGACTGACCAAGATCTTATAGACCAGAGAGCTCGTGGTTGCTCGCTGATCCGGGACCTGACAGACCGTCTCGGGCTTCGGTCCATCAGTCAGAGCCCCTCCGACCCGCCGCTTTAAGATAAATAAGAATTAATAAAATAAACATATTTTATCATTTTACCTCATGCCTCCTAATACAAGCTGTATCGCTTTTATTTGTATGTTATTTTTTAGGTGTCTTTTTTTAAATAAATTTTTTGTAAGGCAACCTCACTAAACCAGAACTAAACCAGGATTAAACAGAACTAAACCAGAACTAAACCAGAACTAAACCAGGACTAAACCAGAACTAAACCAGAACTAAAACAGGACTAAACCAGGTCTAAACCTGGACTAAACCAGGTCTAAACCAGGTCTAAACCTGGACTAAACCAGGTCTAAACCTGGACTAAACCTGGACTAAACCAGAACTAAACCTGGACTAAACCAGGTCTAGACCAGAAATAAACCAGGTCTAAACCAGATCAGAACGAAGCCAGGTCTAAACCTAGACTAAACCAGGTCTAAAATAGAACTAAATCAGGTCTAAATCAGGTCTAAACCAGGACTAAGATAGGTCTAAACCAAGACTAAACCAGATCTAAACCAGAACTAAATCAGGTCTAAACCAAGACTAAACTAGGTCTAAACCGGGTATAAACCAGAACTAAAGCAGAACTAAATCAGGTCTAAATCAGGTCTAAACCAGGACTAAACCAGGTCTAAACTAGGTCTAAACAAGAACTAAATCAGGTCTAAAGCAGGTCTAAACCAGGTCTAAACTAGAACTAAACCAGTCTAAACCAGGTCTAAATCAGAAATCAACCAGGTCTAAACCAGGACTGAGCCAGGTCTAAACCAGGTCTAAACTAAGACTAAACGGCTTTAGTGGTTTACTGTTTTGTTTTTGTTTTTTTTATAACGAAATACAATTCATATTTTGCAGATTTGAGTTCAGCATTTTGGCCTCCACAATATTTTCTGTTTCTCATGGCCCCATAGAGAAAAATAAATAAATAAATAAATGCCCACCCCTGCAGTAAATGAACCATTAACTGAACATTTCGACCCATTAACTGAACCTTCACTTCGGACTTTCCTCAGGTCTTAAATTCCCGGGCGGACAGCGGAGTGACGGGGCGGACCGCGGTGACATTTCCGAGGCGCTGCGCAGGTGAAGCCCTTTTCCCCCTCGCGCTCTCCCTTCTCCCGTCACGTGCCTCCGTCTTTTTCTGTGGCACTGATCGGGAGCGCGCTTCTTCCCTACTGCCCCTCTCCTCCAGGCGCGTGCACGTCTCCCCTCCCGCGCGCGCTCCTGTCGTCGATGCAGAAATTCCATCGCTCGCGCTGTCACCGACGGAAAATAGCGGCCAGTGGAGGAAATATGGACTTTTCGTATTTTTAGCGGACAAAAAACGCATTTAGGAGGTTGTATTTTTTGTTTTTTTTTTGTACGAATTCGAGGCTGAGGAGCGGTTGGAGGATTAACATGGAAGAGACAAGCAAGAAAAGCGGGTGAGAATTGGATTTTTTTTTCTGGAGAGGCCTACCAAGGTGGTTCGAACGTCGACGCGCAGGGAGGCAGCGATGACTTCTGTTTGGCATTTTTAGAAATATTACGAAACGAAAACGACGTATTTTCACACTTTTATCGCCAATTCCATTCGCTTACACGCAAGAGGACAAAATGGCACACCTAATCCGCCACAAAATCACCAACAAAATCACCAACACTGTCCACACGGTCTCCAACAAGTCGCAGGCCAAGGTCAGCGGAGTGTTCGCCCGGTTGGGGTTCCAGGCGGCCACCGACGAAGAGGGGCTGGGTTTTGCGGAGTGCGACGACCTGGACTATGACTACCGACAGGGAATGCAGATGGACGTGATGCAGCGGGAGGACTCGGGGCACACGGAGGACGGCGGCGGGGAGGACGGGGACATAGACGGGGACAGTCACTACCAGCGCGACGGTACCGGACCACGGGGTGCGCTCAAGAGCACCGGGTCTCTGGAGGAGGTCAAGCCCAAGATAACGTCGTGGGAGGCGGGATGGAACGTCACCAATGCTATCCAGGTATGAAGCTGTCAATCAAAGTCAATGCAGGGGGAGGGATTTGCGCGCGTAATGGGAAATGTGGGATTATGCTGTGCGTAAATGCTATGCGTAACTGTGTTCCGCTTGCATTAAAACACCATCCACGCCATCCAAGTGATAGGAAGTTCATTCTGGCAGTAGTAAATGGATTTGGAAAACACAGGTGAACAAGGACTATTATCCATGTACCAACATTTAGCTTAAATTGTGCGTAAATGCTGTGCGTAATTGTGTTCCGCTTGCATTAAAACATCATCCACGCCATCCAAGTGATAGGAAGTCAATTCGGGCAGTAGTAAAGGGATATGAAAACCATACGTGATGAACAAGGATTATTATCCGTGTCCCAACATTTAGTTTATATTGTGCGTAAATGCTATGCGTAATTGTGTGCCGTTTGCATTAAAACATCATCAGCGCTATCCAAGTGACAGGAAGTGCATTTTGGCAGTAACAGAGGGATCTGGAAAGCATAGGTGATGAACAAGGACTATTATCCGTGTACCAACATTTAGTTTATATTGTGCGTAAATTCTGTGCGTAATTGTGTTCCGTTTGCATTAAAACACCACCAACGCCATCCAAATGACAGGAAGTCCATTCTGGAAGTAGTAGAGAGATTTGGAAAGCACAGGTGATGAAAAATGGTTATTATGCGTGTACAAACGTTTAATTTATATTGTGCGAAAATGGTGTGGGTAATTGTGTTCCGTTTGCATTAAAACATCATCAACGCCATCCAAGTAATAGGAAGTCCATTTTGGCAGTAGTAAATGGATTTGGAAGGCCTTGGTGATGAACAAATCCGATTTGGAAGGCATAGGTGATGAACAAATCCGTGTGACAACATTTAGTTTATATTGTGCATAAATTCTGTGCGTAATTGTGTTCCGCTTGCATTAAAACACTATCAACCGCCATCCAAATAATAGGAAGTCCATTCTGGAAGTAGCAGAGGGATTTTGAAAGCATAGGTAATGGGTAATGGTTATTATCCATGTACAAACGTTTAATTTATATTGTGCGTAAATGTTGTGCGAAATTGTGTTCCGTTTGCATTAGAACACCATCAACGCCATCCAAGTAACAGGAAGTCCATTTTGGCAGTAGTAAAGGGATCTGGAAAGCATAGGTGAACATAGACTTCTATCCGTATGCCAACATTTAGTTTATATTGTTCGTAAATTCTGTGCGTAATTGTGTTCCGTTTACATTAAAACACAATCAACGCCATCCAAGAGATAGGAAGTCCATTCTGGAAGGAGTAGAAAGATTTGGAAGACATAGGTGATGAACAACTACTATTATCCGTGTACCAACGTTTAGTTTATATTGTGCGTAAAATGTGCGTAAGTCTTTTGCCATTTTTGCCATTGCAGTGCCAAGAAAGCTGTCCTTTGTCTTGGTTAACCCATATTTCAGCCCTAGCCATCCAAGGCCTTATACTTAACCTTAGCCTACACTGTGGACCGCTCCTCGCTGCGCTTTCTGAGTCGCGGCGCTGTCTCTTGCCTGGATCCGGGCCTTGACGTTAATACCCTACGCTGTGGAGTCAGCAGGTCACGTGGCATTGACGGCCCACCTGTCACAGACGTCAGCGCGCGCGAGATTCACTCCGGGCCCGAGGCTACAGAAAGAGAAAAAGTCACCTTCACATTTTACGCACGGGGTTTTAACGTCATATATAGACCAGATTTTAAATGTACGAAATAATTGATCAAGCGTAATAGCCTACATTTTATGGCATTTCTTATTTAAAACGTTTAAACCACAGAAGCAGTCACATGGGGCCTAGATGTTTCTATTTACCCGGGATAGTCCCAGTTTTGAGCCCTGTGTCCCCTGTCCCAGCGGATTTATCCAAAACGAATTAATTTGTAATTTGTCCAAGAAAATTATACAAGAAATATCCCTGGTGTTCCTATTTTTGACCAATCTGATCCCTGCCAAAAGTAAAGAGAAGCATAGATTGTAATTTGTTTAGATAAAATACAAAAAAAAATCTTCTTAAAAACGACCAAAACACGAAGAAAATGTGACTATACTGGCTCACATATTCGTCATGAATGGTCTCTGCGTAACAATTTTCTTTAATTACGCACTCGTTTCACAGTTTTATTATTACAAACCACTAAAAAAACAGAGATGTCCCAGTTTTTTTTTTTTTTGAAACTCTGGTCACCTAAATAGGGCTTATGTAAGCGCACACACCCGATACAATGGGCCTAAGAAATCCGCTGCGTAAAACAATGTCACTTTTGAAAAGTAGTCTGTAACCCAAAATCTATTCACAATATATACAGATATTTTTGGTTCAGTTGCTTAACTTTAATCAATTTCTGTTTGTTGTCACCGTGCGTAAACCGTGCGTTCCTCCACCCTTACGTTTAAATTAATCAAAGCTCAATAGTTGTACAAATAGAAATTAATTCAATGCATTACATTTTCAATCGTGTTTAAGTCTTGATTAAAAAGCGAGCACTTTATTGACTATTGTAACGTAAAATATCGCTAGTCTTTATACATAGAATGGTCTAAATAGTCTAAATTAACACGCTTTATGTTTGTTTGCTTATAGATTTATATATCGTTTTTTATTTCTTCTTTTATTGGCCATTGTGTATCCTAAAGCTCGTTGCCTCATAGTGAATCATCCTTATGTAATCCAGCCTATTTTGTTCCAACCAGAGCCAAAGAACTGCACGTATTACAAAAAAAAAAAAAAAAAAACAATATTTACGCACGCATTTAATTTAAAACACATTTTTAGATTAATTTTGAATGGGTAAAAACACCATCTACGTTACGATAATAAAAAAAAAAAACATCAAATATTTCATCACGTACGCGAACTATGCCACTACAAAGGCCTTAAACGTTTGCACTATCTTAAAACAAATGTATTTTCGGCTCTTTTCACGCCGTAATTGCGAATCTTAAATCAACGCATTTAAATTCAAATTAAATTCAAATCTTTTTATCGCGACGTAGCAGAGCCAGGGCCGCGCGCTGATAGCCCCGGGGCGCACGTGATACGCCGCGATCCACGCACACACCGAGGTGCACGCACGCGCCACAGTTCCACGCACACACCAAGTTCCACGCATCCATGTTTGCTCTTTTTTTAATCGATACCAAGCGGTTTAATCCGGTCAAACGTGTGTCGCTCTGTCGTCGAAGCTCTGATGCGCGTTCTGTGTCGGGAGCGCGCGCACGAGGCCTGGACGCGTCAATAAAATAAAATGGCGCAAGGAGGAGGAGGAGGAGGAGAGAAGAGGAAGAGGAAGAGGAGGAGAGAAGAGGAAGAGGAGGAAGAGGAGGAGGAGGAGAGGGGCTTCACGGAGACCAGGGCGCACGCAGCTCACGACTGTCACCGTTTTAGAGCGAAATGGAAGTGGATTTGTTGTTGCGTAAGAAGGAGAGAAGGAGACAAGGTGATAAGGAAAGGAAAGGAGGATTAAGGAGGTATAGGAAGGGGGAAGGGAGGAGGGTGGAGGATGGAGGATGTTCACGCTCAGGCAAAAGCAAATAAGACAGATCAAATTAAAGTAAGAGGCAGCAGAAAATTATGTTATTTATCATTTTAGCTGCAAAATCTCGGCAAGTCCAGTTGTTTTGGTAAATTTATCTTTTCCCTGGACATTTCAAGATTGGTTTCAGTTAATATCATAACACTTATTTTAATTTTTATTAATAGTCAAACATTTTGTAAGGAAGGAGCAGTGTCCCTTTTGTCCTTCAGGCACTGTCCAGTTTACCAGCGTGATTTTAAATGTGAATGTGGGCAGAGTCAGTGGCTCCTGGTTTAGTCCTAGTTTAGACCTGGTTTAGATCTGGCTTAGATCAAGTCTAGGCCTGGTTTAGAACTGGTTTAGGCTAGATTTAGACCTTGTATAAACCCAGTTTAGACCCACTTTGGATTTAGTTTAGACCCGGTTTAGGCCAGGTTTAGACCTAGTTTGGACCTGATTTGGACCTGGTTTAGGCCTGGTGTACACTTAGTTTAGACCTATTTTGGACCTGGTTTGGACCTGGTTTAGACCTGGACCTATTTTGACCTGGTTTAGAACTTTAGAACAGTTTATTGGACGTGTTAAAAGCCTGAACAAACACTAATTTAATTTAACATGAAACCTGTAGTAACTGAACCAAGGGGCCTCCAGTCGTGAGGACAATGTACCAAACTGCGTCGTCTCATTTTTTTCTTGGGGAAAACACTTGGCTCACCTGTCGTAGTTGCATGTGGTGTCTGAGTGCTGGTCGGAGGGGCTAATAGCGCAGATTCCAAGTGCAAATTATCATATTATTAATTTAAAAACAGTAAAACACAGTCTCACCGTCTCCCCTCTGTTCCTCCAGGGCATGTTCGTGCTGGGCCTGCCCTACGCCATCCTCCACGGGGGCTACCTGGGCCTGTTCCTCATCATCTTCGCGGCGGTGGTCTGCTGCTACACGGGCAAGATCCTGATCGCCTGCCTGTACGAGGAGAACGAGGACGGCATCAAGGTGCGCGTGCGGGACTCTTACGTGGACATCGCCAACGCGTGCTGCACCCCTCGCTTCCCCACGCTGGGCGGCCATGTTGTCAACGTGGCCCAGCTCATCGAACTGGTCATGACCTGCATCCTCTACGTGGTGGTGAGCGGAAACCTCATGTACAACAGTTTTCCGGGGTTCCCTGTGTCTCAGAAGGCCTGGTCGGTCGTAGCCACAGCCGCCCTGCTCCCGTGCGCTTTCCTCAAGAACCTCAAAGCGGTCTCCAAGTTCAGCCTCCTCTGCACCCTGGCCCATTTCGTCATCAACATCCTGGTCATCGCATACTGCCTGTCCCGTGCGCGAGAGTGGGCCTGGGAGAAGGTCAAGTTCTACATCGACGTCAAGAAGTTCCCCATCTCCATCGGGATCATCGTCTTCAGCTACACCTCGCAGATCTTCTTGCCGTCGCTGGAGGGGAACATGCAGAGACCCAGCGAGTTCCACTGCATGATGGACTGGACCCACATCGCCGCTTGCGTCCTGAAAGGTCTGTTCGCGTTGGTGGCGTACCTGACGTGGGCCGACGCCACCAAAGAAGTCATCACGGACAACCTCCCGTACTCCATCCGCGCGGTGGTCAATCTCTTTCTGGTAGCTAAAGCGTTGTTGTCTTACCCGTTGCCGTTTTTTGCCGCTGTTGAAGTCCTGGAGAAATCGCTGTTCCAGGACGGAGGCAGGGCCCTGTTTCCGGACTGCTACGGCCCCAATGGGCAGCTCAAAACCTGGGGACTCGGACTGAGAGTGGCCCTGGTGGTCTTCACTTTACTCATGGCTGTTTTCGTTCCACACTTCGCCCTCCTGATGGGGCTGACCGGGAGCTTGACCGGAGCGGGGTTGGCCTTCCTTCTCCCCAGCCTCTTCCACCTCAAGCTGCAGTGGAGGAACCTCCTCTGGCACCACGTTTTCTTCGATGTCGCCATCTTTTTCGTGGGCGGGATCTGCGCAATCTCCGGACTCATTCACTCCATCGAAGGGCTGATCGAGGCGTTCAAGTACGATCTTCCAGACTAAAAAAAAATATCCAAATAATCAAAATATCATCATCAGATATCATCAAGAGGAAATATTTGTGTGAATTGTACATCTTTTTATTTTGCCTTCGTGATAATGTGCAATAATGAACTCTAAAAATCATAGTATCGTAGTACAAAGTATTTGCTGGGGAAGTGCATGAGGCTGTGGCTTTGTGCGCGTGTGTACAGTGTGTGTAGTGTTTTCTCTGGAGATAAAAGTCTGTGTTAAACATGTCCGAGGAGACATGAAGCTGAAAGAGCCACTGGAGGTTCTCTGTCCGCACAGGGCTCAGGCCGCAGCACTGACAGCAGCTACGGCAACATGGAAGGGACACGTGAAATCTAACTATGCACCAGTTCTAAGCACAACACTGTGTCTCAAAGTGGCCAAATGTAACATACAACACTACACCTAATCATTCGTGCAGGATATACGTTATTAGGTTCTAAGAGGTTTAAGGGTTTGTTTTCATACCTGACAGTTTCGCAGTCTTACTCAGAGTCACGTGATGTTGCTGTGACGTGTCGCTCAGCTGATTAAAACAGGTTTTGGCGCTCACTTTCTACTGGTGGAGGCAGGACGACAGCGCCATCTGCAGTCCAATGAGGCTCATTTGGTATTCCGATTGGCATTATGTTATTAGGTTCTTTTTTGAGACCAAGAGTTTGTTTTCATACCTGACAGTTTCGACTGCTCACTAGCGGTCTTCCTCAGAATGGTCATGTGATGTTGCTGTGATGTGTCCAGTCAGCTGATTTAAACGGGATGAAGCAAACATTGGCACAGAGGAAAAAAAAACACCGTCGCTGAATTAAAGAGGCAATCGAAATATAGAAAACGTGTCCCTGGGACTATAAACCGGGATGAGGGGCTTTTTTACTCTCACACACCTGGGATACTGTCCTGAGGAAGTCAGACTCCAGATGGCGCTGTCGTCCTGCCTCCACTGGTATGAAGACAGCACCAAAAATTTTAAACTTTAAATCAGCTGAGCGACACTTCACAGCAACATTATGTGACTTTGAGGAAGACCTCGAAACTGTCAAGTATGAAAACAAACTCTTGGTCTGAAAAAAGAACCTAATAACACAGCACCATCTGCCATCCAACTTCCTCAGGACAGTATCCCAGGTGTGTGAAAGTAAAAAAGCCCCCTCCTCCCAGTTTATCATCCTGTGGGCACATTTTCCATATTCCGATGACCTCTTTAAACCAGAGATGATGTTTGTCGTCCTCTGTCCCAATGAGTTTTGCTTCAGGGAGCAGTCCAAACTGTCAGGTATGAAAACAAACTCTTGGTCTGAAAAAAGAACCTAATAACATAAATTATCGGAGGAACAAATTTACCTCATTGGATCATTCATGCAGGTTGTTTTGGATGTTTTTCTGTCAGATGTCCTTCCTGACGCAACCAACAACATTATGAGAAAACCAGAAACCAGAAATGTGTCTAATGTGAGCTCTTGGGCTGAAATGTTGCATGGCATTTATGTTCTTCTGGTAAGATGTGGTGCCCCAAAATCATGTTTCCAGATTGTCTTTTGAAGGAACGAACAGCAAGTTTACCACACAGAAAAGAGTACTTTAAAAAGTATATGCAGTTGTCATATGAAACTAAAATATGTGGAAGGTAAAGTATACATGTTGTAAGTCGAAAGGGCATTATTTTAGAGCTTTAACAATGGAAACGTTTGAAAACATGCGATGACTTCCGGTGTAGTTCCCGACACTGGGTTCACCGACCGACTAAGATAAAAATGTGATCAGCAGTAAAATGAAGACTGCATACGTATGTGCTCTTTGGCATCATCTTGAATTTGGCGCCTCAATGCGAAGTTGTAATTGCATATTTCCAAACGTCTTCCTGGTTTGTGACATACATTACCGGTCAAATGTTTTAGAACACCAAATTTTTAACTTTTTACTGTTGACCAAAAACGTATTCTAAACTTTTGATTCATGAAAGTGTCCATCTTCGGCAGATATAACAGCTGAACACACTCGTGGCTCATTCTATTTACAATAGAAATCAAATATTCTTCAGCAAGTTCTTCCCAAGTCTGTTGCAGAAGTTTCCATAAATGTGTGGCACTTGTTGGTTGCTTCACTCTTCTGTCCAGTTCATCCCAAACCAGCTCGATGTCATTCGTTCATTCGTTTTTCAAAATAAAACCAAAATAAGAAAATGAAAAAAATAACAACTTTCTTCATTATTTATCTCCAATCCAAAATGAAAAAAAAAAAAAAAAAAAAAAAAAAAAAAAAGATAATGATTTGTGTTTTCACTTTTCGATTTTGTGTTTAAATGAATAATGGAAAAAACGGATAAAGGCCGTTTCAGTTTCCATGACTTAAACTGTGATGCCGGACTTTTGCGTCGCATACGGACTGAACCAGGACTGAACCAGGACTAAAACAGGGCTAAAATGGGACTGAACCAGGAATGAACCAGGACTAAAACAGGACTGAACCAGGAATGAACCAGGACTAAAATAGGACTGAACCAGGACTAAAACAGGACTGAACCAGGAATGAACCAGGACTAAACCGTTTTCAGTCCCGGTCTCAATCCCAGTCTGGTCCCGGTCTGGTCCCGGTCTCAGTCCCGGTCTTGTCTCGGTCTCAGTCCTGGTCCTGTTCTCGGTCTCAATCCTGGTCTCAGTTCTGGTCCTGTTCCCGGTCTCAGGCCTGGTCTCAATCATGGCCTGGTCCTGGTCTGGTCCCGGCCTCAGTCCTGGTCTCAGTCCTGGTCCTGGACCCGGTCTGGTCTGGTCTGAGTCTGGTCCCAGTCTGGTCTCGGTCTCAGTCCCGATCTCAGTCATGGCCTGATCCTGGTCTGGTCCCAGCCTCAGTCCTGGTCTCAGTCCCAGTCTGGTTCCGGTCTGGTCGGACCTGGTTCAGTCCTGGTTCAGTCCTGGTTCAGTCCGGCATCACAGTTTAAGTCACGGAAACAAGAAACAGTCGTTATCCATTTTTTTCCAATTTTCATTCAAACACAAAATTGAAAACTAAAAATACGAATCATTATCCATTTTTTCATTGTGATTTTGAAGACAAATAACGAAGAAAATTGTAGTTTTTTCCCGTTTTCTTATTTTTGGTTTTATTTTGAAAAACAAATGAACTAATGACACACAGATTCTGAACGACTGAGGGATTCTACACGCATCTATAAGTAGTGTCTTGCTCTTGGACACAATGGCGTTAAGCGATCACACCACAAACTCTACACCTACCCTCAAACTTCACTGTCACAATCAAACCGGATGCCCTCCCGTCGCTGCAGCGTGAGCCCTGTGCGCCTCTTTACAGATCTCTTTATTTTGTGTCTCATCTTGGTCCTGTTGAGTTTCCGTGTTTCAAGTGTTTCAGATGTTTCAGGTGTTGGATGAACTTTTGCAGTGAAGCAGTGGGTCCTTCTTGTGTTTTTATGATGAAAACAGTTTGTCTGATAATATACTCCTCCTCTTGAAGTTGTTCAATGTGATTTCAATGGATCTAAATCATGGTGTGTGAGAAAAAGACTATTTGTTGAATTAAGAGAAACGTAAATAAATCAAATATTTTATGGCCAGTGATTCAAATGTGTTTCTTGCGGCTTCTGTGACTTTTGGGGCTTTAAATGTGCATTATGTAACTTTTCTGATGGAGGAGCTGCCACTTTCTCGTCTCTGTGTGTTTTTATTTTGCAGGAATGTTCCACAAATTTAACTTTTCTATCGCGTTTAAAACAAGTAGGTCATAAAGAAAACAATTAATGTTATATAGACATTCAATCTGTGTGTCATTCGTTCATTCGTTTTTCAATCTAAAACCAAAAATAAGAAAATGAAAAAACTGTTTTCTTTTTTATTTGTCTCCAAAATCAAAATGAAAAAACAGATAATGATTTGATTTTTGTTTTATTTTGTGTTTAAATGAAAAATGGGAAAAAAAAAACAAAAAAACGATAACGACCATTTCCCGTTTTCATGACTTAAACTGTGATGCCGGACTGAACCAGGACTGAACCTGGACTAAACCTGGACTAAACCAGGTCCGGGACCAGACCGGAACCAGACCGGGACTGAGACCGGGACTGATCGGGACCAGACCAGAACTGAGACCAGGACTGAGAGCAGGGGCTGAGACTGGGACCAGACCAGGACTGAGACCGGCAGTGATCGTGACCAGAACAGAACTGAGACCAGGACTGAGACCGGGACTGCGACCAGGATCAGGCTGGGACTGAGAGAATGACTGTGGCCGGAACAGGACCAGGACCAGCACGTGCTTGAAAACGGGACTGAGACCAGGACTGAGACTGGAACCAGAGCAGGACTGAAAACAGTTTAGTCCTGGTTTAGTCTTGTTTTAGTCCTGGTTTAGTCCTGGTTCAGTTCAGCATCACAGTTTAAGTCTCGGAAACGGGAAACAGCCGTTTTCCGTTTTTTCCATTTTTCATTTAAACACAAAATCGAAAACTGAAAAAAACTTATCATTATCTGTTTTGTTTTTTTCATTGTTATCCTGATTTAGCTAAACAACACACAGAGGTGGTTTATTTTTACACTTTATTTTAGTTAATTTAAATAAAACTGGTTCAAACTGGTTTTCTTTTGTTACTGTTGTTATTACTATAACTTGGCTTTCAAGATAAAATGTCGGTTTCTGATCTCTGATTTTATAAAATACATTTCCCCAAAAAATGCGACTTGTAGTCCGGTGTGACTTATATATATATATTTTTTTATTCTTCATTGCGCATTTTTTGGCTGGTGCGACTTATATGCCAGAAAATACGGTAATAGTATCAATGGAAGTTGAATCTAAATACGGACATTGTGGATCATTTGATGCAGGTTTTATGTCTCTATCATCATTAGTTTCTGAGATGTGGCAAAAGTGTAATTTCTTTGGGACTTCAAGGACCTTGATTAAACAATAGGTCCTGAATTGTAACAAATGTAGGGCTTAAAACACATTATGTAACTTGAAATTAACAAATTAATTAGAACTTAAAGACCTGAAACTGTGAAAAGTAAAATCTTTAATACAGGTATGATTATATTATCAGATGTGTGCACTGTAACCTACTTGTCTAAGCAGGAACTCCCAGACTTCCTTCACCCCGGACACTTCCTCCAGGGTTGTGTGAACAGAGCTCACCAGAAGTCGTCATCGCATCTTTCCAAACGTCATCCTGGTTTGTGACGTAAACATGTTTCAATCTCCACTGTAACCAGCAGAGGGCGCAAGACACCGAAGACTCCAAATGAAAAGGCCTGTCATTACAAAAGTGTAAAAAACTGTTTTTGCTTGCTTTTTTTGGTTCAGTCTCACTTCCCTTTTTCTTTAAATTTTCTTTTAACGGCAGACGTGACATGAGAACAACAGACATATGTAAATGTAAAATATTTTAATAGAATGTGTGAGTCCTGAAGGAGGAACCATGTACGCACACGCACACACACACACGCACACACACACACACACACACACACACACACACACACAGACACACACACACACTACTGTATTAGAGCAAAGGACAAGATCCGCTTTCTAGAGATTTTAACAAAGATACAAACACAAACACACACAAATGTACAAACATGAACTGTTGTTGTACGGCCTGATCATGAACGCTCGGGCAGAGAGTCCGTCACTTCCTCAACTCCATGTAGATCTTCTTCAGGCCACATCACAAGGCCAAGTTACAGGTCAGATCTGTGGAGAAATGGGCCTGATCACAATCTATTTGAAAGTTAAATGGGGGTTTGAGTTGATACGGTCCAAGTTAATTTGGCTCCTCCCCACCCACCACTTCAAACTCCCGCGAGAGAAGACCAGTTTGAACCAGTTTTGTACATAAATTCATTTTAAATCATCTAAAACAAGCACAATCAGAGACAGCAACCTGGTCCCCATGAGGCATCAGTGGGGGCAGTTCATCACCACAGAAGCAGCTTATGAGGAGCCCAGTCCATATTACATGATTGTTATATCCACAATGTAATGTGTGTATCTGTACAGGCCCATGAACATTTGTGTGATATTGGCCACACATGAGAATGTCTGTGTTTACTAGTGTGTAACAAAATGTAATTTTTCATGAGTTGTGTATATGTTAGTTGTGTGACTGTAGATCAGTGTGTTGTGTATCACCAGAAAAAGAAGAAATGGAAATTATTTTCATTCCAATTAGAATTTTAACGGCATACACTGAAAGAGAAAATAAGTGTTATAATTAGTGATTATCTCAAAAACTATTAATATTTTACTATACAAATGCATAGAATTATAAATAGATAATATTTTTTCTGAGATTTTGAGACCACTCCCGTTGCTCGAGCTAGATCCTTCGCGGAGTTATGACCAAAAACACATATTTGACCTTGGTTACCTCGACCTTCAAGTGACCTAGACCGGTTTCAACCTGTAAAATCCAGTGTACTCCTTTATAATGACGTGACCTTTCAATTGACCCGTGTGACCTCGGATCATCACCAAATTTTTTTTTTTGCAGCATCAGGCACGGGGGCTTGACGCACGTACCAAATTTGGTGACAATCGGTCCATAAATGGCCGAATTATCGCGGGTGGACAGACACACATACACACACACAGGGTGAATACAAAACCTGGTCAACCCTTCATGGACCAGGTAACAATATCTCGGTAAGTTAAAATTACTTAAATCACGAACATTTTACTTTATATGAGTAGATTCAACTTAAAAAAAATTATATACCAATGGAATACGTGTCTTAATTTAAGTAACATAAGTAACATTTTGTTTCTTATTTTAAGTGCAAAAAGTATTAGATAATTTTACTTGTCAAGTGAAATTTACTCTAATCATGATAAAACTTAATTCAAGTCATCTTAACTTGACTAGATTTAGTTTTTTCCATTGAAGTGTTATCTGTTTACTCTCAAAATGTTAATATAACTCTTGATTTTGGGTTTGGAACTTTGGTGCTGTGTTACTAAATTCACATTTCCAAAAAATTTTAAATTAACCCTAGCACAGATTGGACTCATATAAACCCTGAGAAAAATGTTAAAATCGATTCTGTGAAAGTCAATTTTAACACTTCACTTTTTGTGTGTATATGATTTTGCGGTCCTTTTGAGAAATAAAAACGCCTGTAAATGAATAAATACAAGATATATTTGCGTTAAGATATAGAACGTTACTTTATGTCAGATTAGTTTAAAATACGAGAATACAAAGAAGCTGTTGACTGATGTAAGTTTTAGCACATTTTTACCACAAAAAAGCAAGTGTGAGGTTTCAGCTTCCTGTTTGTCTGTGCCATTTTAAGGACTTTCCCCTTTTCTAAAGATGTAATATTTTGTTGATTTTTACGGATTCCTACAGCAACAGGGCTTTTTGACAATCCTTAAGTGTTAGGTTATTTGTTATGAGTTGAATAAACTGTTTATAGACCTGGTTTAGACTTGATTTAGCCTTGGTTTAGATCTGGGTTAGAAGTAACCTGGTATAGACCTGGTTTAGACCTAGTTTAGACCTGATTTAGAACTGGTTTAGGCTGGGTTTAGGTCCTAGTTTAGACCTGGTTTAGACCTGGTTTAGCCTTAGTTTAGACAGAGTTTAGTCTTAATTTAGACCATAATAGGCTTAGTTTAGTCCTAGTTTAGACCTTGTCTAGACTTGGTTTAGACCTGGTTTAGATCTGGTTTAGTCCTAGTTTAGACCTGGTTTAGAGGTACTTTAGTCCTATGTTATTAGGTTCTTTTTTTCAGACCTAGAGTGTTATTTCATACCTGACAGTTTCGACTGCTCACTAGCGTCTTCCTCAGAGTGGTCACGTGATAACATAGAATATTGGAAGACCAAATGAATCTCATTGGACTAGTTTAGTCGTAGTTTAGTCCAAGTTTAGATCTGGTTTAGACCTGGTTTAGTCCTAGTTTATAACTGGTTTAGATTAGACCTGGCTTATTGGATCTATTTTGACCTGGTTTAGAACTTTATAACAGTTTATTAGGCGTGGTTACTAAACCCTGAATAACATTTATTTAAATAAAAATGAAACTCCACACGTAGTAACTGAACCAAGGAGCCTCCGGTTGTGAGGTTAATGCACCAAACACTACACCGTCTCATTTTGCCGCGTGGCTTTTCAAATACCTTCAAAAACGCGCCATCAGACATTGTTCCTTCTCTTTTCTCACTTCAGACCACGCTCTCGGGTAAGTTTCATTTTTGACTAAACCAGGAAATGGCCCTGCCCAGAACAAAAGCGTCGGGAGTCCGCACGCACGAGGACACACGAGTCCGCACGCACTGGGATGAGACGCGCGTGCAGACGAGCGGGGGACGCACGGTGAGTTTAATGCGCTGTAAAACTTTGACTTTTACAATATGCATCTTTATTTTCATGTCTATGTGCAGGTTTTGTACAGCAGATGAGACAGAAGTGACTAAAGACATTGTTAAATAAAGTTTTAACTACGAAGCTATTTTGCAAAACTCTTCTTGTTACCTTAATTTTTTGTAATTCAGATTATTACGGAGCAGTGGTGGAACGTAAAGAGGTAAAAGTAGTAAATAACTGTGCTTAAGTTGGCATTTTAGGTATTCTGTATCTGCTTAAGTAGATTTTACAGTGGATGCTTTTTACTTCACTACATGTTTTGACTGGACTGAAAAGTAAAAGTATTTTCTGTTATAGTTTGAGACCCGTTCCAAAGGCTAAAGGTTTTACTGCATTTCTAACACGTTCATACTCAAGTTTGAGCAAAGAAAAATATTCAAATAAAACAATTAGGGGGGGAAAAATATGAATTCAGTTGTTTCTGTTGAACAGAATTCAGCACTATTCTAAATCACTACATTGTAAGATTTATCTGCTGAAATACTTTTACTTTTTACTCTTTAAATACTTTTTTTAATGGATGTTCTTCGTGGAGACAAGCAGGCCACATCATCAGGCCAAGTTACAGGTCAGATCTGTGGAGAAATGGGCCAGATCACAGTAAGAATACACGGCAAAAACTGGAGGGTTGTTTATATCACAAAAAGTGTTATTTTAAATGTTTGAAAGTTAATTCTGGGTTCGAGTTGGGGTTATTTCCCAGAGCTGATATGGTGATGGTTAAGTTAACCGTATGGATATGGTTAAGTTAATTTAACTTCCACTAGTGTTAATTTAACTTCCTTTAGTGTTAATTTAACTTCCACTAGTGTTAATTTAACTTCTCCTAGTGTTAATTTAACTCACACTAGTGTTAATTTTAATTCTTGTAGTGTTAATTCAACTTCCGTTAGTGTGAAATTAACTAAAATAAAGTGTAAAAATAAAATACCTCAGCATAACTCTACATAGTGTTATCCGTTTACTCTCAAAACTCTTGATTTCGGGGTTAAACAGGAAGTTTGGTCCAGTGTTACTTAATTAACATTTCCAAAAATGTTAAATTAACTCTAGAACAGATTGGACTCATATAAACTGTTAGAAAATGTTAAAACTGATTCTGTGAGAGTAAATTTTAACACTCCACTTTTTGCTGTGTACGCGGTATTTTTGAGAAGTAAAAACACTGTTAAATAAATAAATACAAGATATATTTACGATGGCATTACCATGGAAACAAGCAAATGGCGCAACTACATTTGAAGCTTTATCACATCTCAGAATCTGCTGAAATACTTTTACTTTTTACTCTTTAAGTCCGTGTTTAATTAGAATTTTAGATAACATTATTGTCCTCCCCTCCAGACTCTCTGTAAAAATGCTGTCTGCTATCTCCTTCGTGTTGTGGTCACTCGCTCTGGTCTCATGTGTCCGTGGAGAAAACCCGGCGGTCCAGCTGGCTCTGACCGACAAAGGACTCCAGACCGGTGAGAAAAGTCTAGAGTCTGAAGTTTTTCTGTTTTTGAGTCATGTTTTTTTTAAAGATTTAAATGCTCACATCTGCTCTATGTTCAAACACCAGATTACACCTTTTACATAAACACAATCTGATGCTCATACATGATGTCAAACTTGTCGTGTCTGTCTGGGTCCTTTTTGTGGAACAGCACAACAGTAAACAAAGCATCGAGATGGATGTAGACGAAGACAGACATTCTGTGTTGGCAACGATTCCCGAGATCGAGCATTTAAAGCCGGAACAAAGAGAATGTTTGGTGAATGTTATCAAGGGAAAGATGTTATCGCCCGTTATTCTACGGGATTTGATGCATTACATACGTCACGACCAAACAGCAGGTTGGTTTCACTTTGTGGAACGGTCTGAACTACCTCAGCCAAAAAACAAAATCTAGCCAAGTTAAGATGACTTGAATTAAGAAAGTTTTATCATAATTTGAGTAAATTTCACTTGACAAGTAAAATTATCTGCCATTGGAAGAAGATGTCTAAGACTTATAATATAATATAATATGATGAAATACATCTTGCTACACTTAAAGGGCCTATCTCATGCAAAATCAACTTTTCAGAGCTTTCTACCTTCTAAGAGTGATGTGTGGGCCTTGTATTTGTCGTCAGAGTGGTTTTTAGATTGATTCGGCTTTTCTTTAACAAATTGCAGCATATTTCTGCCACCCGAACTAAAGCTGCTACAACAACGTAGTAGAAAATGCTTCCCTTTTTATGAGGATATAACATTGAAAGATCATTAACAAACTTAAAAATCTGTTTGTCATCACCACATCAGACCTTTTTTTTTTTGTTTTTCAGTGCGCCACTTTGCAGCTGGAGTGATTCAGGATACATTGTCTGAGCTGGAGCTTCCTGAAGTGAGCGGTCACATCATGGGAGTCCACTATTTTCTGTCTGGGTGAGGTTCCACACAGGGAGGGACAAAACACTCTCATTATCGAGTAGTACTCAAGCAGAAGTAACATGCTTCAGCGGAGGAAGAGGAGGATGGCGCGTCAAGAGAAAAATAAACACGTTTTTGGTCACTGCATAAGAAAATATCAAGAGTGTGTGAATAAAGAGGATATGAAGAGAGCTGGTCAGAAGAGCAGAGGAGAGGGGTAGAGGAACATGAGAGGGTCAGAAGAACAGAGGAGAGGGTCAGAAGGTGCAGAGGAGAGGGTCAGAGGAACAAAGGAGCAGAGCAGAAGAACAGATGGAGCGGAGGAGAGGGTCAGAGGAGCATGAGAGGGTCAGAGGAACAGAGGAGAGGGTCAGAGGAACAGAGGAGAGGGTCAGAGGAACAGAGGAGAGGGTCAGAGGAACAGAGGAGAGGGTTAGAGGAGCAGAGGAGAGGGTCAGAAGGTGCAAAGGAGTAGAGGGTCAGAAGGTGCAGAGGAGAGGGTCAGAAGGTCCAGAGGATGCAGAGGAGAGGGTCAGAGGAGCATGAGAGGGTTAGAGGAGCAGAGGAGAGGGTCAGAAGGTGCAAAGGAGTAGAGGGTCAGAAGGTGCAGAGGAGAGGGTCAGAGGGTCCAGAGGAGCAACGGAGAGGGTCAGAAGGTGCAGAGGAGAGGGTCAGAAGGTCCAGAGGATGCAGAGGAGAGGGTCAGAAGAGCAGAGGAGAGGGTCAGAGGAGCATGAGAGGGTTAGAGGAGCAGAGAAGCAGAGGAGAGGGTCAGAAGAGCAGAGGAGAAGGTCAGAGGAACAGAGGAGAGGGTCAGAGGAACAGAGGAGAGAGTCAGAGGAGAAGAGGATGCAGATGAGAGGGTCAGAAAGTGCAGAGGAGAGGGTCAGAAGGTGCAGAGGAACAGAGGAGAGGGTCAGAAGGAACAGAGGAACAGAGGAGAGGGTCAGAAGGAACAGAGGAACAGAGGAGAGGGTCAGAGGAGAAGAGGATGCAGTTGAGAGGGTCAGAAGGTGCAGAGGAGCAGAGGAGAGGGTCAGAAGGTCCAGAGGAACAGAGGAGAGGGTCAGAGGAGAAGAGGATGCAGTTGAGAGGGTCAGAAGGTGCAGAGGAGAGGGTCAGAAGGTCCAGAGGAACAGAGGAGAGGGTCAGAGGAGAAGGGCAGAAGAGGAGAGGGTCAGAAGGTCCAGAAGAGCAGAGGAGAGGGAACATATTTTTAGAGCATACAGTATTCTATATTTTACATTAAATACAAAACTACTTTATTGCTACATGAAAGCGTTCTGTTGTGTTCTTGAGCAAGACTCTTCTCTCTCTTTACCAATAACCATGTGTGAGATTCACAGTGGTCAAATTCCAACTAATAAACATGTAATTGAATATAAATTGACACAGTGGACTTGGACAAAGACACAACAACAAATGCAGCTTCAGAGTTGAGATTGAACCTTCAACTCCACTGTTACTGTGTGTTTCAGTATGAAGGTTACCAAGCTGGACTTCCCTGAGCCTGAGGTGCACTTCTGTCCTTTGAGCTCTGGACTGAAGCTGTCTGTGATCGGCCTCAGTGTGGCTCTGACCGGGGACTGGCGCACACACGTGGGCTTCATGTGAGTGTTACTACTGTGGGATGGATGTCCAGATTTTACAGCGTTATGAGAGTATGATAATCATACAATAATCTTTTAATAATAATAATAATAATAATAATTTGAATTTTAAGTACTCTTGTGATTACAGTATTATGGGATGGATGGTATGGATCTATTTATGAAGCACTTTTAAAAATTAAGTTTACGAAGTGCTGTACAAGCAGCAAAGAATAATGCAAAAAGGATAAAAACAGCATAGAGAAAGCACAAAAACAGACAATGATGCAAACAATTCAATTAATTATACTTAATTAATGAAAGAAATAGAATAAAAATAAATATGGAATAAAATCAAGCTAAAACCAGTTAAAGGAAGGCCAACCGATAAAAATTTGTTTTAAGAAGTGATTTAAAAGATGATACTGATGGTGTGAGTCTCATCTCCTCAGGCAGGTCGTTCCAAAGTCAAGGAGCTGTATCTGGCCAAAATATTTGGGTCTAAATTTTATGCAAATTAATTTATATTTAGTGGATGCTCAAGACACTTGAATATTGCCCTATAGCCTGTACTATAACACAGTGGACCAAATAAATAAGGTGTATTTCAATTATTTGTCATTTTATTCTGCAAACACAAACTGAAACTTTCATAAAAATTACTTACAAAGTCTGTAAAAGTGACTTAAAAGTGCAGCTCCACTGTGTCTTTGTTTGCGGCACAACAGATGTGCCTGTGTCTTTGACACCTACAGTAGAAACAGTTTCTGATCTTCATTCTTTGTTCGGCTACAGTTAAAATCTTGACTAAGCTTCACCTTGTTTCAGCAACATTGACACTTTCTTGGAATGCACAGTTTTAGCAGCTTCTGAAAGTCTGCATCATCAGCCCAGTCTGCTGCAGGGGAACTGTTCAAAATATTTTTGGCAGATCAAGAGCTTCGAAGAAACATATCATGCTGGTGGTGACAAAATCACAAAATCATAATCTGCTTGATTAAGTGCGTCACGTCACTTTGGTGGAACTTCTGAACCTTCCTTTTCCATAATATTGTGAAAATCAGCTTCTTCTTTTCTTCTGTCACAATAGAGTTGAAGAATTCCAGGCCAACTATTTCTTCACTCAAGTAACAAAGACATCGGCCGAAAGCTGTTAAGGCACTTTTTTCACAACTGCATTTTCAGACAGTGATGGCTTCTTAAAGAAAATCAGATCATCTGCAGGAGCTTCAAAACTCCATGCACAAACTTCACGCAGCTTGAGCAACCTCTAAAACCTCTGGTTTTCTTCCAAATTTCTTCCTAAATCATGTTTTGGATGCTAAAACCTAATGCAGGGTTCTAATCAAGGTTATCTGAAACTTTATTTTTTACCGCGCTTTGATGGACCCTAATGTACATACAGTATATTACATTTATATTTTCAACATTATAGTATTAAGAATGAGTCTGTCCCAGGGCAGCTGTGGCTATAATAGAATTTGGAGTGAGTGAATAATGCTCTGTAGTCTGAAGATTATTATAATTAAAAGCTTTATTTTGACAGTAATAAATAATTTTTTGCACCTTCAGACACGGTTTAGATTTGGACATTTATGGACTTTTCTTTAGCGCCCAAAATTTGTCAAATATTTTAGGTTTTTCTAGATTGTATCTGAATCTACTGTAGATTATAAACCAGATGTTATGTCTTTAACTCTTATTAAGTAATATTATTTAAAAGTGAAGGTATAATAATAATAATAATTTGTGTAATTCATTGACAGACCTTAATACTTTTGAGTTTTTTTATATAAATGACTTTGGAGGAATTGTGAAGGAGGAAGTGCGTATTGTTAAATTTCACTTCATGATTTCTCGTGCGCTTAGTGTGACTTTTATTATAAATACTCTGAATCATTCTGAATCAGGAACTATTTCTAAAGTCAAGTGGTTTAGAGCCTCATGACCAAAATATGATATTACATGTCAAGGTTCAGGTGATGTTTTTTTTTTATCTTGTCAAATTTTAGCTTCTTATTTTAAAGGTGCACTGTGGAACATTTCTGATGGTGGGTCTGTGACCTGCTTGTCTCCATGGAGATGTGTCTAAAAATTATGGAGTAAGAGAGTTATCAGAAATATTTGTGTGCACAGTGTGATAGAAACCATGTATATTTAGAGATGCCGGACTTTTGCGCCGCATACGGACTGAACCAGGACTAAACCAGGACTAAACCAGGACTAAACCAGGACTAAACCCAGGACTGAACCAGGAAGACTAAACCAGAACTGAACTAGAACTAAAACGAACAAAATCAGGACTGCACCAGGATTGAACAAGGACTAAAACAGCTCTAAAACAGGACTGAACCACGATTAAAACAGGACTAAAACAGGACTAAACCAGGACTGAACCCTGGACTGAACTGGGAGGACTAATCCAGGACTAAAACCGGACTAAAACAGAACTAAATCAGTACTGATCCTAGGACTGAACTGGGAGGACTAAAACAGGACTAAAACAGGACTGAACCGGGACAAAAACAGGACTGAACTAGGACTGAACTGGGAGGACTAAACCAGGACTGAACTAGGACTAAAACAGGACTGAACCCAGGACTGAACTGGGAGGACTAAACCAGAACTGAACCAGGGCTAAATCAGGACTGAACCCAGGACTGAACTGGGAGGACTAAAACAGGACTGAACCAGGGCAAAAACAGGTCTTTAACAGGACTAAAACAGGACTGAACGAGGAATAAAACAGGTCTAAATTAGGTCTAAACCAGGTCTAAGCCAGATCTAAACCAGGTCTAAGACAGGACTAAACCAGAACTTAACTGAGTGTCGGGACGGGCGTGGAGGTGCGTCCGTGTAGACTGTTGGGTGACGGCAGGTGAAAGGACCAGCACAGAACTCCGAAGAGCTTGAGTTTGTGGAGAGAGAGTTTTTATTTTTATGCTCAACTACAGCCAGATATGCACTTTTATTTCTATCCTATGTAAACTAATATTTCTGAACGCTTTCTTACTCCATATAGATTGTTCCACATTATGGCCATCAACTTAAAGGTGCACACTGTGTAACTTTTCCATTGGAGGGTTGGTCAAATGTTTTTCCACAGTATGACATTAAACAGCTCACAAAAGACATGAAACACAAGACACTTTCAGGATTTGGCCTTGTATGATTAGGACTGTTCTATACTTCATGTGTTTAATAGTTTTCATATGTTATTTATAATCCCGTCTGTAGAATCCACTGACCCTTGTCTCTTTGTCCCTGTGCAGTTATGATCAAGGGACTTTCAACTTGGCCGTCTTTGACCTGTCCCTGAACTCCGTCCTGGGGCTGGACATGGACAGCTCCGGACGTCTCTCTGTGTCCTCCGTGTCCTGTTACACGGACATACAGTCTGTGGACATGCATTTCTACGGAGGAGCCAGGTAAACACACACAAGCACATATACAAAAGCGTACACACACATACAGGCGCACACACTCACATGGCTCAGTTTCTGCACGGATCAGTTTTTGGAGATCCACAACCGCACAGTTCAGCACCACATCTGCCTGTTAACCCGTGATTATATCAAAGATAAATCCACACTCACCCAGACCTGTTAACATTCCACCCGTTACCCGCCTGTGCCCGTGATAAATCAGGGTGAGCCTGACAGCCCAATAGTCCAGGTCTAAACCAGGACTAAACCAGGACTACACCAGGACTAAACTCTCTCTCAACCTGGTCCATCGTTCCGGGAAAAGACACGGAAATGTCACTGTCACTTACACATACAGTACATCCTGGACACGTGTCAAATATTTTCTCCTGTTTGTCGTTCGTTTGATTCACCTGACCCGCCCGTGTGTCATCACTATTCGCCCGCATACCTGCCCGTAAAATTCCAGAATGTTAAACCCGCCCGTTTCAGCAGCTATTTACAGGCACCTGACCCTGTGCAGGACTCTGATCTGCCGTGGCCGCCCTGGGACAGACTGACAGAAGCGAGACTGCCAATCTGCGACCACCACCAATCACACACATCACATTCATACAGGGCAATGTGGGTGAAATGTCTTGCCTAAGGACACAAAAACCTTTTTCCACTATCGCGTGCCTGTGGCTCCTGGTGTTTCCAGCCGTCTCCCATCCAAGTCTCCCACTAAAGCTCAGCAGGGCTGGGGCTGGGTGGAACCCCGGCCCTGAGACCTGACGGACCTGACGAGATCAGGCTCCGACAAGCTAAACACACACAGACACAAACAAATCCCATGGGGAAAGGTTTGGCTATAATCTTCTACTGTACGCATAAGAATTATCTCCATGGAGAATGTTCTGAAGTGGTTTTAACTTTCAGTTTCCAGGGAATCATGAAGGTGACGCACATTTCCAGAAAGTTACATATTAATACTTTAAGTTAAATGCACACACACTTCACTTTGGATCACTCTGTTGGCTGTTGTTTAATTCCCTGTGATGCAGTATTGCTAAGTTATGTTTTTATTGAATTTTGTACGAAAATAATGTAATTTCTTTCTCTCTGAAAACAGTTGGGTGTTTCAGTGGTTGGTGACATTTTTTCAAGACCACATCAGGGACAGGATACAGAACAAAGTGAGTTTTATAAATTATAAAAACACGTAACTTAATCTTCTATTTATAAATACAGTTTATAACACTACCTCTGTCTGCTCAGATCTGCCCGTGTGTGGACAGCGCCATCGAGGGCTTAGAGCGATATCTGCAGGCGCTCAACGGTACTGCAAATTTTAATTTTTTCTGCTGCCTTATAGAGTTCAGTTGAATTAATGTAAGATAGATACATTTAATGCATTGCCTTGGGACATTCCTGGCTTTAAAATGTATGTAATTAAATAAATGCAAGCTAAATAAAATCAAAGCAAGGACCAAAAGACGCAAAGACAGTTTTTTTCCCAAAGACTATAACACACATGCACTGACTATCTCCATATTCCTGTCTCTCGATTCCCCCATCTCCTTCCATCCATTTGTTGTGCAGGTTTTTTATACAGTTTAATACAGTGCAATATCTTTTTTTTTTTTTACTGAGTATACTAGTTAATGTTTAACACAGTACAATATTTCATACAGTGCAATATCTTGCTTGAGTGTTGCCCTAGTCTTTTTATGTCTTGCGCTAGTACTATGTTCTTCTTTATTTATTCTGTTTTATTTTTGTACTGTGTTGTAAGTGTCCCAACAGTTTGCAGTGGTCCAAAATAATTTTATTCCTCAGTTTTTGACCTTAAGAGTTATACACATATACATATTGTTTTTACTTCTTTCGGCTACATGTAAAAAGATCTAGTACAGTACTGTGGAGGTGGTTTATCCTGCAATAGCAAAGTTATATATTTGGATGATCTTTAACATGTTTAAATCGTTGTCTTGTTTTTTTTGGGGGGGGGGGTTTGTGCTCTTAGTGTCTGTGGATGTGAATTCTGTGATGGACCTGGACCTGCCCCTGACGGATCCTCCCACTGTGGACTCGGACAGCGTCAACTTTGGACTCAAGGTACGACTCGGAGCTGGAACGAAACAAAGTCAAAGTAGAAAATCGCCCTACCTTCACTATCCAACAGGGGTCCCCCAAGATAGTATTTTAGGACCTATTTTATTTAGTTTATATATCAGTGATCTTCCTAAAATGTGTCCAGCTGTATGTTGATGATGCTGTGATCTTTACACATGCCAAAACTGTACAAGAAGCTTCATAAAAGTTAACATCAGCCATGACTCATGTCCAAAAGTGGGTCAAGAACTCAAGAAAACTGTCTGCATGATGTTCAGTTAAAAAACAACTGAGCTACAGCGGTCCAGTGTCTTTCTGGACAACTGACCGATTCAGCCTCGTCCAAGAGTTTAAATACCTGGGACTAACGTTGGACTCGACATTGACATTTAAGAAACACATTAAGAGCCTCACAAAAACTGTTCATTTTAACTTAGTGAATTTTAGACAAGTAAGATCCTTCAGGACTCTATATGCAGCATGAATGTTTTTACACTCCATGATTCTGTCTCATATAGAGTGTTGCATAACCACATAACTCAAACCAGTCGAATCACTTTTTTAAAAAGGCCGTAAAAATACTGGAAAAGAACACCACTCTCATTTCACCACTGCACTATTTTAGACAAGTGCAACCTGCTTAATTTGAATAATTTTGTTGATTTTAAATATGGATGTTTTATCTATAAAGTTTTGCATGGACTTGCCCCCCTCTGTTACAGGATTTTATTAAAGTAAAGACTGTCAGAGGGATGAGAACTAGGGCCTCGTGGGGAACTATGAGTTCGCACACAGACCTACCACATTTGGACAAAGTGTGTCTCAGTCAGAGGCACAAAATCTTTGAAAAGTCTCCCAATATCAATAATCCAATCCAATCCAGCTTTATTTGTAGAGCACATTTTACAAATAAAACAGTTTCCAAAGTGCTTCACATGGCAATGCAACATTTTACTTTAAACAAGAAAAAAAATTTAAATAAAAAAATTATGTTTAATAAAGACACTAATAGAAAAATTAAATAATAATAATAAAATCAATGAACAAAAATCATAAAATCAATACATAAAAGCAGTACTAAAAATAAAATAGATAAAAACAATAAATAAATAAAAGACACAGAGGACCACACAACTCATTAAAAGCCATTAATAAGAGAGACTCCAACACTGGACACTTTCAGATCCCACTTGAAACAGTGGCTAAAAGAAAACCAGACTTGTGGACACTTTTAATAAAAATAAATAGAAAAGCACTCTTATTTAAAGGTGCACTGTGTAACTTTTCTGCTGGAGATGTGCCTGGAATGTTCTACAGTATGACTTCCATTATCCAAATCGTTTTCTTTCTCCATTACCACATATGTGACTATGTGTTGTTCCTGGGGCGTCCTGCAGGGGGAGTTCTACTGCCGCGAGTGTCATAAGGACCCTCCGTTCGTGGCCCCGTCCTTTTTTCTGCCCGTACACAGTGATTACATGTTATCAGTGGGCGTGTCTGAGTACAGCGTTAACTCCGCCTCCTTCGCCTACTACATCTCCGGACACCTGCAGGCGCTCGTCAATGACAGCATGGTACGGAAATTATTATTCTAACATTATTTATTTATTCACAAATTTATGAAAACAGCTCATATTTCTGTATTTTTTCAGATTCCTCCCTACTGCCCGATCCGTCTCAACACCACCTCCATGGGGAGATTTATTCCGCAAGTATGATTATTACTGTAACATTATTATTGTCATGATTTTCTGGGAACTAATGAAGAAATGTGGGTTAAAATAGCCAATGGCCAATTATACAGAGTGTCCCAAAATATCTGACATTATTGTGTATAAAAGGAGGCACAGTGGGCGGTCCAGCAGCATTGTTAAGTCCTGGTTGAATCCTGTTTTAGACCTGTTTTAGTCCAGATTTTGACCTGTTTTAGTCCAGTTTTAGACGTGGTTAAGTCCTGGCTAAATCCTGTTTTAGACCTGTTTTAGTCCTGTTTTAATCCTATTTTAGTCCTGTTTTAGTCCTGTTTTATACCTGGTTTAGTCCTGTTTTAGACCTGTTTTAGTCCTGGTTTAGACCTGGTTTAGTCCTGATTTTGACCTGTTTTAGTCCTGTTTTAGTTCAGTTTTAGTCCTGTTTTAGACCAGTTTTTAGACCTGTTTTAGACCTGTTTTAGTCCTGGTTTTGACCTGGTTTAGTCCTGTTTTAGTTCTGGTTTAGTGGCGCAAATTTAACCTTCACCAACCTGTGCCATCTGTGCCTTTAAAATTTTTTTTTCATTCTAGCAGTGACTCGTGCACCACAATTTGAGAAGCACAATATTAAATCTAATCATATATTTCTAAATCAAAAACAAACACTGGACAAAATTTTACCCTTTGCTTACATTTTAAATACTGTATTTTTCGGACTGTAAGTGGCACTTTTTTTCATGGTTTGGGTGTTTCCTGCAACTTATACTTCGGTGCGATTTATATATTAAAATGTTCACACTGAAGCAGCGAGAGGTTCTAGTCTTGTGTGTCAGTATCTGCTGCTCTTGTTCCTCCTGTACCACTGTCACTTGGCTCTACTGCGCATGTCTCCTACAGAAAAAGCTGCTGTCCTGCTGCAAGTAGTGAAATATTCAGCTGAAAACAATAATCGAGCAGCAGAAAGAAAGTTTGGAGTGAGAGAGAAACTTGTGACACCGGGAGGATGCACCATGAAACTTTCTTGAAGTCACTGGATGGATGGACAAAACCTGGACTTCAGTGACACTGAAACCATCCTGTCGGGATTCAGAAACACCGGAATAATTCTAACTGGAACTGATGCTGAGTCTGACGACAGTGACACAGAAGAGGAAGGGCCTCTTGTGAGTTTGGAGTGAGCGAGAAACTTGTGAGGGACTGGCGGAAAGCGGGGCTGGAGAACACAGCTTCACGGCAACTGGGAGGATGCACCATGAAACTTTCCTGGAAGTCACTGGATGGATGGACAAAGCCTGGACTTCATCCTGTCAGGATTCAGAAAGGATGAAATAATTCTAACTGGAACTGATGCTGAGTCTGTCGACAGCTACACAGAAGAAGAAGCGGCGCTCTGTTTACCTCCAGAGATCGTGGAGTTGCTCGTAACACCGAGGATGAATAATTGAATGGATTTAGTGATCTGGAGTGAGATGGAGAGTTTGGTAAACTTGTTCTGTTCTGTTGTTTATAATTATCTGAAGAACTGTTCATATGTGACGTTAACAGTCTGTTGTTCTCTGTTCTATTATTATTACTAGAACTTGACTTTTAACAGGAAATGTCGGTTCCTGGTCTCTGATTTTATAAAATATTTTTCCACCAAAAAGTGCAACTTATATATGTTTTTTTCTTCTTCATTACACATTTTTTGGCTGGTGTGACTTATTCTCCAGAGCGACTTACAGTCCAAAAAATATGGTACTTTTTACCTTCAGAAGCCGCTACTTTGAATCTAATCTTTTGTTTTATTTTCCAGTTGGTGCAGTTGTTTCCAGACCTCCTGATGGTTCTGCAGGTTTACGCTCGTCAGACCCCGATGTTCTCATTCGAGTCTGGGTTTGTTAAACTGGACCTGAACAGTGCCGTCAAAGCCTTCGTGGTTCAGGCCAACAAAACCCTGACCCCCATCTTCAAACTGCACGTGGTGAGGAGGAGGAGGAGGAGGAGGAAGAGGAGGGTGTCTGGTTTGGTTTAGTTTAGTTTAGCGCGCAAAGACTTCACATTTTAAAATAATGCTTGGCTGTGGGTTCAAACTGAAACACAAAGGAGTCGTATGTAAGATTTTATTCTATCTGTCTCCCCAGATACACAACAAGTTCAAATCAAATACAGCTTTTATTGGTAACACTGATTATAACACTGATTTATTTTTTATTACAAAAACATTGGACATAATGGACAAGTTGTTTATAGCCTTATTCCCAAGGGATAAGTACAATCTGGGGACGTCTGGTAATTTGCAAATTACTTAAATTTACTGACATTGACTGAGACTGAATGAGAAAAGAATGTGGAAAGAGATAGAAAAGTCGCACAATTACAACAACAAACAATAAGATGCAGATTTGCACGGGACTAGTATTATTACGGGATGTTTGTGCTTGGTGAAATATAAACCCTATTCGCACGGATTAATATGACCTGTGAACTTTTGGTGATTTGTAATAATTGCGGAGGATGCCTGAGATCTTAATCCCGTGCGAATGTGCCATGTCTATAAATTTCACTGCAAATTACCTACTATATATCGCCAAACACAGACATCTGGTGATAAAACTAGTCCAGTGCGAATCTGCATCTTAGTGTTTGTTGTTGTAACTGTGCAGCTTTTCTATCTCTTTCTTTTCTTTCCTTTTCCTTTCTTTTCTCTTTCAGTCTCTGGGTCAATGTCAGTAAAATAGAGTAATTTACAGACATAAGCCCTATTCACACAGGATAAGTACAACCTGGCAGCGTCCTCCACTGGGATGAGTACGGGCAAATAGTTGCTGAAACGGGCAGGTTTTAACGTTCTGGAATTTTAAATCAGGACTAAACCAGGACAACACCAGGACTAATCTTGGACTTAAGAGAGAACCCTGAGCCCACAGAGCAGCGTATATGCAAAGCGTGATTGGGCAACGGCTGCACTTACCTCCGTGCGGTGCGGAGCTCTGCACCGGTCCTTTTGGCCGCAGTCACTTAAAGGACTACGCGGGCGCACCTCCTGCCCTGTGAGTCCTGGTTCACTTCTGGTTTAGTCCTGGTTTAGACCTGGTTTAGTCCTAGTTCAGTCCTGGATTAGTCCTGGTTTAGTCCTGGTTTAGTTCTGGTTTAGTCCTGGTTTAGTTCTGGTTTAGTCCTGGTTTAGTCCTGGTTTAGTCCGTGGTGTGTGCGGCACAAAAGTGCGGCATCTCGATCAATTATTCTTCTGCTTTATAAATAAAGCCTGTGAAGTGATGACGTATTTTTGACAGTCAAATCATGTCTGTGAATTCGTGTTTGTACTGAAGAAAACAACCTTTCATTTTGTGATTATAATTCTTGAAGTGGTAACTTTTCAATTTGTATTCTGATGGATGTTTCAGTTATAATGCTTTTAGTTTGTGTGTGATTTATCACGGGCACTGGCAGATAATGGGTGGAATATTAAAAGGTCTGGGCAGGTGCAGGTTTAACTTTGATATAATCACGGGGTAACGGGCGGGCGCTGGTCTCTAAAACAGACCCGTGCAGGACACTACAACCTGGGGACGTCTGGTAATTTGCAAATTACCGCCCCATCTCTGTGTTAGCGCATTTGCACGGGATAAGCGAAGTCCATAAGTCTGTAAATGACTCTATTTTACTGACATTGACACTGAGATTGAAAGAGGAAAGAACACGGAAAGAAAAGAAAGAGATAGAAAAGGTGCAATTACAGCAACCAACACTGAGATGCAGATTCACACTGGTCTAGTACTGTCACCAAACGTCTGTGTTTTGCAAAATATACTAGGTAATTTGAGGTGGAATTTTTACTTTACAAATTACAGACGTGACGCATTCACACAGGATTAAGATCTCAGGCATCTTCCACAACTATTACAAACCACCAAAGCTCCATGGGTAAAACAATCCCGTGTTAATAGGGCTATAATTTGGCATTTTTGTTCTCAAGACTATGGTCCAATCAGAAATAGTCTCTCATTTCTATTGCAGTGCTGAAATCCAGTTGGTTTAAACCTAAAATTCTGGGGAGGGAATTCTGGAGGTTCTGACTTTCACATGAGACGTTGTTTGTGTCAGTTCCATTTCCTGTTGGGAACATAACATTTGCTTCTATTTTTTTTTTCTTTTCTGTTTGTTTTTAATGTGACTGATGTTTGTGTTTCTCCAGGACTCGGCGCTCAGGGGCAAAATGTGGGTGGACAGTGAGAAAGTCAAGAGCAGTGTGAAAATGGACAAGTGAGTGGAGCCGTGTTCAAGTGTTTCAAACTGTGTGTGTCTTTGTATCTGTGTCTGTACTGTGATGTTATGTGAATTATATGTGCAGGTTTGAAATATATATTCTATGTAACTAACTAACTAAAGGCCGCCACACACTATAGGAGAATTTGCCCGATTTTGACTGCGATTTGCTTCTGTCCAAGTTTGGGGAGGCGTGACCCGACTTTGTGTCTTTGTGTGTGATTTTGAAGCCACTGCTCTTCATGTTTGTGTGTCAGATCGTAACCACCAAGTTAGTCCTAGTTTAGTTCTGGTTTAGTTCTGGTTTAGTGGTGCAGTCCACATGATGTACGGGAGGAGGGACAGTCCACAAGGCGTACAGGAGGGGGATGGTCTGCTGTTTAAAATGTCAAATAAAAATGCCAAATAAAATATCCAGCATAAATTATTCATGATCTACTTACATTCATCATGTGTATATTTTACTTGACTCAGATTTAGTTTGCGGGACTGCAGTTTATCATCCCACCCTCCCTGGTTTTACTGTAGACAGGAAACAGCTGACGCAATCGCACTCACAACTTTATATCCTGTGGCAGTGTTGGGAAGGTTACTTTTAAAATGTATTCCCCTACAAATTACAGATTACATATCCCAAAATGTAGTTTGTAACAGACTCCATAAAATTACTTAAAGTGAGTAACGTAATCTGAATATTTTGGATTACTTGATTTGCTGTAGAGAAGCAAAGACGAGGAAATCTTCACGTAAGATGTTTTGTCTGCTAAAAGACAATTAAAAGTCCAGTCTTTACTTAACCAGATTAAAAATATTATTGATAGAAGAGGAGACACAGTCCATGCAGCATGATTTAGTCCTGTTAAAACCTGTTTTAGACCTGGTTTAGTCTTGGTTTAGAATTGGTTTTAGTCCTGGTTTAGTCTTGGTTTAGACCTAGTTTTAGACCTGGTTTTAGACCTGGTTTAGACTTGGTTTTAGACCTGGTTTATACCTGGTGTAGACCTGGTTTAGACCTGGTTTTAGACCTGGTTTTAGACCTGGTTTTAGACCTGGTTTTAGACCTGGTTTAGACTTGGTTTTAGACCTGGTTTATGCCTGGTGTAGACCTGGTTTAGACCTGGTTTTAGACCTGGTTTACTGGTTTTAGACCTGGTTTAGACCTGTTTAGACCTGGTTTTAGACCTGGTTTTAGACCTGGTTTACCTGACCTGTTTAGACCTGGTTTAGACCTGGTTTTAGACCTGGTTTTAGACCTGGACCTGGTTTAGACCTGAATTAGACCTGGTTTTAGACCTGGTTTTAGACCTGGTTTTAGACCTGGTATATACCTGGTATATACCTGGTTTAGACCTGGTTTAGACCTGGTTTAGACCTAGTTTTAGACCTGGTTTAGACCTGGTTTAGACCTGGTTTGGACCTGGTTTAGTGTCCAGCAATGAGTGGAATTACTGAGGAAAAAAAAAAAAGGGATATAGCCCGAAATGTGAAAACAGGAAAATACTGCTGTGTAATCCATTTATTTCAACAAATTACCACTCATTAATACAGTAACTGTAACTGAATACAGTTAACCATAATTTGTAATCTGATTACGTAACTCCGGTACATGTAATCTGTTACTCCCCAACACTGTCCTGTGGTCTGCAGACAAATCCCGCTGCAGTCTTTGCGATCTGAGATTTTAAGTCTCATAAGATTCTCCTTGTGTCTGTGGTGTGCACTTTTTGTCACATGTTTAAAAATCATTTAAGACCGAAAACTCCTGTTGTGTGTGGCGGCCTTAACTCAGTAAATCTAACACTGGAGCACAGGAGTGTTCCAATCCCCAACATCATGTGGCAGCGATCGTTTTAACCTGATTCAAACTGCCTCAATCCTCTCTTATGTAAGGAGCTCATTGTTGGGACAGTAGTTTGATGAATTATCTCATGTTTTTTAAAAGTACTTTAAAACCTGAACTGAATCCTTGTTTTTGGACTCATGTAAGAAACCAGACGAGTAATACTTTTGACATTTAAGTCTATAATATGTTTTTTCAGTTTCACCCTGTCTCTGGCCAGCACTGAAATTGGACCCTTTCAGGTAAAATTACAACAAGTGAACACAAAAAGGCACACTGTGTAACTTTTCTGGAGGGTTTGTCACCTGCTTGTTTCCATGGAGATGTTATTGCTTTGGCTTGGAATTAAATTAAACATTAAACATTAAACAACACTAAACATTTCCATCTATCATTTATTCACTGCAGGAGTTTCTGTTGCTCAAAAATGCACAAGTTCTTTCTGTGAATAGAGTTAAAGACAAACAGGCGGCAGACCCTACACTAGAAAAGTTACGCAGTGCAACTTTAAATTATAAATACATTTTCTTTACAGACAGACAAGTTGGAAAGTATAGCCAAGGTTGGAGCAGGCAAAGCAGTGGATATGCTCAACAGTGAGTTTAAGAATTAACAATATTCGATTTTAAATGACATTAAACAAAGACATACAGCTGAATTGATTAATGCGAGGTTAATATCTGCGTTTGTGACTTCAGAATACCTGGCCAAGGGTTTTGATTTGCCCCAAACCAGATGTGCCCAGCTGCTGAACTCTGTGCTGAGTGTGGAGGAGGTGGGTTTGACACCTTTTTGTTTTTCATCAGCCTGTATCTGTTTAATATCTGTAACTTTTGTATTTGTTCATTTCAGGGCTTCATCGTCTTCTATTCAGACGCCAAATTCCAGTCGCCATTTTAACTGCACTTTTTTGTTTTTGTTTTCTTTGTCACTTTCACAAAATGAGGGAATGAGTTATTGTTGCTGTTGATGTCGAATGTATTTTCTTATTTTTGTCTGTACTTCCAGAGAAAGTGATGTGTCCAGATTTTCAAAATAAAACTTGTTGTTAATAATAAAATTGTGAAACGAGTGCGTAATTAAAGAAAGTTGTTCTACTTTCGACCCATTTATGACTTACTCAACACTAACATGACTCAGTATCGTCACATTTTCTTTGTGTTTTCCGTATTTTTACCTAAAGAAATGACCGTTTATGCCTCTCTTTACTGTTATTAGGCATCAAATTGGTCAAAAATAGGAACACCTGGGACATTTCTTGTATAAAACTGGGACAAATTGCTGGTTTTGGATAAATCTGCTGGGACAGGGGACACAGGAGTCAAAACTGGGACTGTCCCGGGTAATTAGAAACGTGTGGTCATCCTAAGACAGGGGTCTCCAACCTGTAGCTCGAGAGCTTCCAGTAGCTCTCCACCCCCCTCAAAGTAGCTCGCCAAAGGATTTTGAAATTATACAATTGTGCTGATGAATAACTCTTTTTTTTTGTGCACATAGAGCAGATGTCTCAGTGAAAAACAACCAAGGACCAAGGTCACCCTAAATCTTTGTTTCCCAAAAGACTGTGTCGCAACCCTCAATGATTTCTTTGGGTCGCCTTTTCACGATCTGCATATAGATCTGACATATAGATCTGCATATAGATCTGCATATAGATCTGCATATACAGTTCTGACACATGAGCGAGTGAGTCAGTCTTTTTGCAATTATTTTATTGACTTTTGTTCCAAAATTGCTGGTTCAATTGAATGTTAGATATTTTAATTGCTGGTTCAGTTACTGTTTTTCATTGTTTAAAACTTGAGTAATACTAGTCCAATGATATTAATTTGGTCTTCTGATATTTTATGTTATTAGGTTGTTTTTACAGACCAAGAGTTTGTTTTCATACCTGACAATTTCGACTGCTCCCTGTGGTCTTCCTCAGAGTCACGTGATGTTGCTGTGACGTGTCGCTCAGCTAATTTAAACAAGTTTTGGCGCTGCTTTACTACCGGTGGAGACAGGATGACAGCGCCATCTCCAGTCCGACTTCCTCAGGACAGTATCCCAGGTGTGTGAGAATAAAAAAGCCCCTCATCCCGGTTTATCGTCCTGTTGGCACGTTTCTGTATTTCAATTGCCTCTTTAATCCAGGGCGATGTTTGTTTTCCTCTGTTCCAGTGATGTTTGCTCTGTCCCAGTCCAGAATGTGCTTCTCTCTTTTACAGCACAGAACAGAGTTGTTCCTGTTTTGCTTTGTGTTTTGTTGCTCGTGTTTCGCCTTCGCTGTTTCCTTCTTGCATTCTGTTTTGTGTTCCTTTTTGTATGTTTTGCTGCAGGACATGCAGGGTGTTTCATATATGACATTACATTTATGCTCCGTTTCTATTTTGTGTTTCGGGTGGACGAGTAATTGTCTTTGAGTTTTCTGTACGGTTTCACTGGTGTGTTCATATTGTGTTTTTTCATCGCCCTCTGCCCTGACCACTCTGAGGAAGACCGCGAGCATTCAAAACTGTATGTATAGGTATGAAAACAAACTCTTGTCCGTAAAAATAACCTAATAACATTGAGTAATACTAATTATTCAGAGACACGATCACTCAGCCAACAATAAAATATCCTCATTAATGTTCAATAATGGTCAAATCCATTTTGGATTTGTGAATTATGTCTATTGACTTTGGTCGTGAAGGTTTGTGACTTTTAAAAATATGGGTCCCCAGAAAAAAAGTTTAGTAAACACTGATCACTGATGAAGTTAGCCCCACTCTGATCTTTTTTTTTTTTTTTTTTAATACCAGTTTTTCTGTATTTTACCTAAAAACAAAGAAAAACGTGACTATAACTGAGGCTGTCCCAGTTTATTTTGGTATTTTGGTATTAGGGTGACCAGGCGTCCTTATTTACCCGGCACTGTCCAGTTTTAAGCTGTTTCATACAAAATATTTTCATATTGGTGACCCTATTTTTGACCAATCTGATGCCTAGTAACAGTAAAGAGAGGTATAAATTGTCATTTGTTAATTTTTGTTGAAAATCAAACTCTTAAACAGGATCATGAACACTCGTTTTGATCACAGGCTTCTGAAAATGTACTGTTTAAATCAGTTTTCTTGAGTTTTTCTTGAGCTCTTAAAACTTTGTCTGTTTGCTAATGTGTGTGTATTGCATAACCATGGCAACCGCCGAAAAGAACTAGTCTAGAAATGACAACGAGCAACAACCCAACGTCATGAAACAATGAACCTCTTTATTTGAAACATCTCACTCTTTGTCTGTTTTTTACATTCGTGGAATGTAACAGCACCAAAAATATAAATATGACAATATTTACAGCCAACAACACTGTCATGGTCTGTAGAAAAGACGACGTGCGGTTTATAAACGGGGCGGGTCTGCGGAGAGGAGAGGCGATGAAGCATGAAACGATGTCAGAGGAAAAGAACAGAGCAGGGTTTTGTGAGTTTTAATTCCAACAGGCTGCGTTCATGTTTTACCGTCGGATAAAATGCCAGTTTCTGTTTCATGCAAGACAAAAAGAAAAGAAATATCTGCTGCACAATTCTGACAGTTTTCCGTTGTTACAGCAGTAACAAAACTCAAATGAATTAATTCTCAGTCGGCAAAAGTCTTCACAAGTCTTCACAGGGACTCCCAAAAATACTCTGCATTTTATTCATATTCACCGGAGCTGACAGACTTGGGAAAACTGAGCTGTAATTCTTAGATAATAGAAAATTAGAAATAAATATCAATTATAATGATCCAGTAAATGGTATTAAAAGGTGTATAGCTGCTAATTGTACAGTTGTTTAGTGAAGGTCAGAATTAAAATGGTATTTTTTTAAAATGCAGAGAATTTAAGGAGTCCTCGTGAAATCAGTCAAAACAAGAAGAAAACTTTCACCTTAAAATCATGAATCGGTGGAATACGATGTTATAAACAATGTTATAAACGATGTTATAAACGATGTTATAAACGATGTTATAAACGATGTTATAAACGATGTTATAAACGATGCAGCCTGTTGGGAGTTTTGGGTTTGGAGGAGCACACAGGAGCAGTGTTTCCACGGTAACGCGTAGAAAAGGCACATTACGGAGCTTTTGTCAAATATAAACAGGTTAGACTAAATAAATCGTTAACAAATTAAAAAACGACACTAACGACCTCGTGAGAAACAGATCACAAAGAAGTACAGTCATTTTAAAAGTAATAGTAATAGTAATAGTAGTGGTAGTAGTAGTCATAATAGTAATAGTAGTAGTAGTAGTCATAATAGTATAATAGTAATAGTAGTAGTCACAATAGTACAAGTAGTCATAGTAGTTGTAGTCATTGAAATACTAGTACGAGCAGTCATAGTAGTACTCGAAGTCGTAGTAGTAGTACTAGTGGAGCAATCATAATAATACTAGTACTAGCAGTAGTAGGTACTGGTCAGTAGTAGTAGTCAAAGTAGTAGTTGTAGTACGAGCAATCATAATAGTCCCAGTACTCGCAGTCATAAAAGTACTAAAAGTCATAGTAGAAGTAGTACTCGCAGTCATAGTAGTACTAGTACGAGCAATCATAGTAGTACTAGTACGAGCAGTTATAATAGTACTATTAGTCATAGTAGTACTAGTACAAGAAGTTGTAGTAGTAGGGACTGATAATAGTAGTAGTAGTAGTCAGTACTAGTAGTCGCAGTAGTAGTCATAGTAGTACGAGCAGTCACAGTAGTACTAGTACTCAATAGCTGTTGTCATAGTGGTACTAGCAGTCATAGTAGTCATAGTACGAGCAGTTTTAATAATAGTACTAGTAGTCATAGTAGTTGCCATACTAACGCTAGTACAAGCAGTCATAGTAGTACTAGTACAAGGAGTGATAATAGTAGGTAGTGATAGTAGTAGTCAGTACTAGTAGTCATAGTAGTAGTAGTTGTAGACATAGTAGTACCTGTACTCAGTAGTAGTAGTCATAGTAGTAGGAGTTGTAGTCATAGCAGTAGCAGAAGTAGTAGTTTTAGTAGTATTTTCGGTTCATCTGTTTATGCTCCTGTTTACTTCTCCAAACCCAAAGTACATTTACAAGTACCATTTAGAGCAAAATAGTTCTTAAATACACAAAATACTGTTCTTTGTACATAGACCATCTCGAAAAAATAGAATATCATGAAAAAGATCAGTATTTTTGTCATTTTACACCAAAAAATATCAAACTTTCTCATGATATTGTAATTTTTTTTGATAGTCTGTGCTTAGATCCATGTGGGTTTTTCACATTAACAAACACTGAAAAACAAAAACCAAACTTTTTAAATAGTTAACAGCCATCGCCACTCATTCATCTGAACTATAAATACGACAACAGTTTCGTTTTAGTTGAACTGCAAAATAACACTACGGTAAATGCAAACTGATTTCTTCACAGCCTTCCACGCTTAAAAAGACACACTGTGTAACTTTTCTGGCGGAGGCTTAGTCAAACGCCTTGTCTGGAATGTTCCGCGGCACGTTTTATGACATTTAACCTTTCTATCTTCACGGAGACCCAAGTTCCACGCCAGATCTGTGGAGAGGCAACCCCGTTTATAGTCAGAATGTAGTTTTTCTAAGTATTTTTGAGCTATAAAACCACTTGTAATTGAATAAATGTAGATGTAAATGTAGAGCTGCTTAATGTCACAGTGTGGAACATTCAGAGCAACGACCACGTGACGGAGCCTCCACCGGAAAAGTTACGCAATGCAGCTTTAATGTCAAAATAAGTTAACATTCAAGTATGAAGCACAAACCAAAAACACAAACAGACAAGGTAACATGAGGAGATTAGAAAGTGACTAAAGGCAGACCGACCAGCGTCTACCAGGACTCAAGAAGTACTTTTTTAGTACTATTATTATATTTTTAGAGATATGGTCCCCTGCCGTATAGCTGCTAATTGTACAGTTATTTATTGAAGGTCAGAATTAAATGGTATTCTAAGAAGAAAAAAAAAAATGAAGCAGTCAGTTGTAAAGCTATTCTCAGGTTTTAAAGTGTTTTTTTGTTTTTGTTTTTTTTTGTAAATGGTGGCACAGTAACTAGCAGAGGTGGGACCAAGCGTCGTTTTGTAAGTCTCAAGTCTTTGAACTCAAGTCCAAGTCAAGTCCCAAGTCACATACAGGCAAGGCCGAGTCGAGTCTCAAGTTGGGACAATTTAAGTTGAAGTCGGCTTTGAGCTTCAATTCATTTCAAGTAGAGGTCTGCGCGGGACAGAATTTTCAGTCCCGCATCCGCACCCGCAAAGAATTGTAATTTTTAGCGAATGGGAGGAGGCGCAGTGGCCGGTCTGGCGGCATGGTTAAGTCCTGGCTAAATCCTGGCTAAATCCTGTTTTAGACCTGTTTTAGTCCTGGTTTTAGTCCTGGTTTAGACCCGTTTTAGACCTGTTTTAGTCTTGTTTTAGTCCTGTTTTAGACCTGAATCGTTACGGTCAGAATAGAAAGAATTCAGATTTAAAAGTGCTTCTCAAGTCTTCTCAAGTCACAGTCAAGTCCCAAGTCTTTGACCTCAAGTCCGAGTTACGTCCCAAGTCAAATACAGGCAAGTCCAGGTTGAATCTCGAGTCAAAAGTCCAAGTCCAAGTCATCTGCTCTGAGATTGACAAGAGTGAATCTTATAGAGTGAATCATTACAGTCAGAATAGAAAGAATTCAGATTTAAATGTGCTTCTCAAGTCACAGACAAGTCCCAAGTCTTAGTCCATTTTATCAAGTTAAGTCGCAAGTCCAAGTCACCTCTGGTAACTAGCATTTTTATTTTATTTTAACTAATTTTCCACATAATATCAATCAATATAATATCATAAATACACAAAATTATTAGAAACTGAAATGAATTATGGTGGAGAATTAGTTCACAGTTGCCCATATTTTTAGTAGCTTTTACAAAATACTGGACAACACAGGCCTTATTTGATCTTGGCTAAAAAAGTTGTCAATATTTAGAACTTTAGAGGATACTTTAGAAGATTACCACTAAATTAAAAAGAAAATAACATGTTCAAGTAATTCTGTAAACTGGTTTTGAGTTAGAAACTGTATAAATATTTGAGAAGTCAGAGCTGAAAATACTTAATACTAATTTGTAGGGAGGGTAAAAGATCTCGTGCCTCAAGATCTCCTGAGACAAAACTGCCACAAGACTCTAGACACGTGAGAAAAATGATCTTGTGCGATTTTTTTCCAAGTGTTTACATTTGGATTGGACAAAAAAGGGTCACGAGTTTTCCGAGTTACATGTCTTACAGTTCCAAAAAGTTGTACAAGAACAGAAACACAAACATTAAATCACATAAATACAAAATGTGAGGCCAAAATTGGGAACTGGATTGTGAAATTTATACATTAGAAATTATGTTAAAACTCGTCTTGTTTCATTCTCGTGGTCCCAATCTCGTCTCGTCTTGTGGAAATTGTGTCTCATCCCACCCTTACGAATATGGCACACGAGAATTTCCAGAGTTAGTGTCAAACGTGTATCTAAAATATAAACTTAATACAGTAACACTTAATTCAAACGTGTGCATTAAAGGTTCTATATTACACAAAACTGACTCTTGTGAGCTTTTATCCATGTTCTAATGCTGCTACCTCCTCAAAAACAGACCTGGAGTTGTGTTTTGTTTCATTCACATTCTCAGTTTGAGTAATCCTGTTAGTTTGTGTACATTTCCAAAGCTCAAAATGCTCCGTTCCGCCTTGTGATGTCAAGTTAACAACTCCATTTTACCTTTAGTTCAGTAGAGATCAGCAATTTCTGGTCTGAAATTACCAAAATAATTCTAGTAAAGGTGCACAGAGTTTAAAAACACACCGTTATAATCACATGACACCACAAGTTCAGGGTTCCCGCTCTTTATCACGGACAAAATTTTAAAGCTTTTCGGCAACTTCTTCATGATCTAAAGTGAATTTTCCATGACTTTACAGCACTTTTACATCTAAATATGAAATGTTAAACCTTTCCACTCACTTTGTAGTTTGGTTTTATAGTTTTTTAACATTCAAAATACCGTCAGTGCATTTATTGTTGTCTCTTTTAAGCAATAAAAGGTGCAGACATTCGGAAATATTCATAATAGCCTCATGAGAACTTAACAAAACGCTGAAGTTGTGTGAAAGAGACACACAGACCATGACTTTTCCAGGATTTTCATGATTGTGGGAACCCCGCATAAGTGTTTTCAGAGTATTTTCTGTTCAAGATGTAAGAACTCAGCCTAAATATGCAGGATTTGTGTGTTAAATGTGTGTGAATGAAACAAAACACAACAATGCAGGTCTATTTGTGATAAGGAAACAACATAAAAACTCAGAAAATAGCATAATTTAACATGTATACTATGTATATTTATGTTTCCTTCACAATTTAACACCATAAGAGTAGTTTTACAAATGCAATAGTTGAGCTGCTTGTGTCCAGTTCAGGATAATACCAGTTTTCAAAAGGTCTAGAAGGAGTCAGCCATTTTGTTGCTTCAGAAACGATAAACAAGGGGCAAAACAGATACGAAAAACAAGATGGAAGAAAAGCTTTGCTGTGAGAAGGAGGAGGAGGAGGAAGAAGTACGTGTAGGCACTGAGTGAATTCAAAAAGAGTTTGGCAATCACAACTTGGCGAACCTCAAAGATCTACCTGTCATCGGCTCGAAAGTACAAAGATGGCAGATGCGCTGGGGTCGTGTTGTGGGCTGAGACTGTAGAAGAAGAGGAGGAGGAGGAGCAGGTTTGTGCATCTAGAGTCCATTGGTTCATGAAAGGAGGAGACAAGGAGGACAGGACAAGGAGGAGGAGGAAGAGAAAGAGGTGGAGGGTCATTTGTTGGTCATGGCGGCGGCCATCGGCGTTCGGATCGTCCCCCTCGCCGTCGCCGCCAGTTCTTCGATTTCGCTGTTGAGTCTCCGGATCACCCACTCCATCGCCTCACGCCCCTGAGAAAAACGAGGAATGATGGGTACATAAGAGAAAGAAGAGCGATATAAGAGTTTCAAAGCAATATCTGACCATAGACCGTATAAAGAAGTGGACTAAATGAGCGGAACGTCGATGATAGCGTTCAGTTCCAGTCAAAAGAAGCTCATCGAGGCTGGGAGCGAGTTTGGAGTTAAGTTCCATGTTAAGGCCGCCACACACTACAGAATTTTTACATTTTGTCTGTCTCCGCTATGATATCACTCTAGAACAGTGGTTCCCAAACTTCCCTGAAACTTCATGATAGTCGTGTACCCCAGACTGTGACACACTTGAGGATAAAGTTTGTTGACATGATATTTTCTTATATAATAGTTGGAATATTTGTAATTATGTCAAAGCATGTGCAGCACTTTTAAAGCTGTTGGGCAGGAGATCCAAATAATGCAAACATGAATGCCTTAAATACAGGCTCTCCTCTCAGTGCACTATAATAATAATTTCTTAATTGGATTACTTTCTGAAAAAAAATTACATTTCATAGACCACATTTTTATACCTCACCCACCACAGAGCATTTACTGTGTGAATCTTTAAATACAACAGTCTCACCAATAGGGCTGGGGTATCAGAAGTTGCATACCTCAATACGTAGGCCATGATACGATACATATCTCGATACAGTGAGCTTTCAATTCAATAGGATATATTTAAAAGCGAGTCAATACTTTTCAATAAAAATAAAGGCTAAATCATGGTTGTGATACTAAAAGTCTTTGTTAAACCACGGATGCAAACAGCTGGGGAATATTTTACGCACAAGACGGGCTGTGCTCAGGGTGAGTTCTATTTGAAACTTTAATACCCCCCTGTCCATCATGCCTGTGTTTTTTCTTTCTTATGAGAGCTTTTTATTCATTAGTAGGCATGTCACAATATCCAAATCTCTCGGTACGATACTTACACGATATGCAGCTCAAGGTTCGATGTCTACTGCGATATTTTGTAGAGGTGAACTGAACTGTGAATATGATGCATTTTTCTTTCAAAATGCCTTGACATGACTTTGATTCTGTCCTAATCCATAGAATTAAGATTTAAAACAGTTATTACAGGCACTGAAACGGAGAAAAGGATCATGGTCTAAGTAGTTCCCTCTGTTTTTTTTTTAGCTATTGCTGCACAATAACTAATCATTTAAGCAGAAAGACTTGTAATTTGATATATTGTGATGGCCAATGATATTACTGTGAGACTTCTAAGGATATCATGATATTTCGGTTACTGTTACATGCCTTTTCATTAGATTATCTTCATTAGATGTCATCTGTTTCATAGCGAGGCCTGGAGTAGCACCTGCTCGTGCTCAGGGCGTCACTTTGATATGGCACAGCTTTTGTTTAGAACCCTGCGTCCCAGGTTATAACACAGGAGACATACAGAGACAGACTCTTGCTCCAGAATAAAAATAGACAAACAATATAAACATAAACACGGACATAAAAGTGATATGGCAAAGCCCACTGTGCACCGTGTGGAGGATTGACACCCACATGTCAATTTTATTTTATCATGTTCCCCCATGACGCCGGGTGGTACCGCAGTTTGGGAACCACTGCTCCAGACCTTTATGTATCTTCCAAAATGTCACAATATGGAGACTTGTCCATACTTTTACACAGTTACAGCTAGGGATGGGCATGATTAATCGATTAATCGATAATTGATCATTAAGAATTTCATCGATTACGTTAATTTTAATCGACAAACCGAATGTAGGTTGCTGTGCGTAGCGTGACCAAACAGGTCCGTACATGTAGCTCTCTGCACTCAGAAGGAGCGAGCAAACAGAAACATTCGGTCAGTCTGCAATGTACCAAAGCACAAATGCATATTTAACGATGACTTGTTCAAGAAATTCCACACTTTCCGTTGCGTCCGGGACAAGTGTGAGTCCATGTGCACAGTGTACAAAGCAGGAACATATGTTTCGGTGTCCAGTGGGAAAAAGCTTTGCCAGGTGAGAGTCGCACAATGTCGATGACGAGGTCCCACCTCCCACCCCCTGTACGGTGTCCTGGTTTTGACAAACGCAAATATGGTCACACTAACCTGTATTCCACTGAGTCGTGTCTTTTAATCCGACAGAAATTGACCGCATCAGCGCACAAGAGCTGTAGTTTTATCTTCGCTTAGTTTATGCAAATTAGAGATGCGGCTTTAAGTTTCGTTTCTGTGAAAGTTGCGCAAAATTGAATTAAACACATTATAATGTCAAACGGATTGATGTGGCTCTAGAGTCGTTACGGTTTATATGTCGTAAAGTTGAATTTATTTATGCAGATTAGTAGTGCAGATAGTAATAATAATGATGATCATTTTAATATAAAAACGTTAATGATTAATCGATAATCGATCATTAATTCTTCCGATGATCGATTAAGAAAATTTGATCGAATGCCCATCCCTAGTTACAGCTACAACACGACCTCAGGTGTTCATTGAACACAGTAGAATCTTAATTCTGGCTCCAGTCCTGGTTAAATGAGTGTGTACCTTTCCGGCGTTGGTGGAGATGGTGTTGGCCATGAGCCCCTCGAGGTAACTGCTCAGACTGACCCCCTTCACACTGATTAGAGCCTCCTGCGTCAGCACAGTCCTGAGAAAAACAGGTCAGAGGGCAAAGGTCACACAAACAATCAGCCAGAGCTCTGTGGTAACCAACGTCCATTACAGGGTCGTTTTTAGTCCAAAAAAAAAGAAAAAAGACTTCTCTTTAGGTGAGCAGTCATTGTTCTTCATTACAGCACAAAAAATGTATATGTAACATATATATATATATATATGTTTACAAACATTACAAAACTGTAACAGGAAATCCAGACACCTTTCAATACTAAAACTTTTATAGAAACTAGATAAGACGACTGTGTGGGTTTTTTTGGTTTTTTTTTTTAACCAATACAGAATGGTATTTTCTTAGTATAATAAGAGTCTGAAATTTTAGTTTAGTGACAGCTCTAAACTGTAGTGAGTGTTAATGATTTAAAGTATACATTTGTGAACACTTAATTTTGGCAAAAGAGCTCTTTGCACTTACTTCTGAGGGTCTTGTGGGTGTGGTTTGTAGGTTAACTTCTCATCGACTGATACTAGATTTGTGAAGGAGATCTGGAGAACAAATAATTATATTCATTATTGTAGATTTTATGATTTTAGGTTAAGCAGTTCTATAAAACCATTTTCTACTTACATTTGTGGACTGTAGTTCAAATGTCTTCTCTTTAGGGTCGATTATCGAGTGCTCTTGGACATATGTGCATGTTCGTGTTACACCAATTATCTGGGGAAAAATAACAATACAAACTGTTCAGGCTTCAGTTATCCAGTATATTTTTCAACATAAATGTGTATCACAAACACAAGTTAAAGGCAGAATGACTTGGAAAATGTATCCCACTGAAAAAAAGGATAGTAAGATTTGAATGGACACTTGCAACATTTACATGAGAGTTTTAATTCCAAATAAAAATAATTTAATTCTGAATAAGAAATAATTCCATTTTAAAAAGACCATGTAAACATTTAATTCCTAATGAAAATGATTATTAATTCCAAAGTAAGTGGGTGGTTTATTCAGATTTTAAAGCTGAATTAATTTACTCCTTGATCATGTAAACGTTTATTCTTCTTAAAAATAATTGCAATCATTCAGTTCATGCTCGTTGTGTCTCCCTTCTGACACGATCCGGACAATCCAGCTCCACCAGTCGTGGCCTTGGACTTTCATCAACGTCTCTTTGGATTTGCAAGCAGGATGCGGGAGTGGGCTGAGGTAGAGCAGCCTCACACTCAGTTTGTCTTCTTCCTCCCTTCTCTGACACTCTTCCCTCCTCCTCCTCAGCTGACAGACGTAAAGCGTGATGAGAGAATTCTCCAGCTGCTGCGCAATTATCATCGGAACAACTGCGAAATAAGTTTGAATCGTGTTTGTGTCCGTGGCGTAATGACAAACCGAGATGACAGAAAAGTCGGTAGCAGTTGAAGTGTGTGTTTTCTTCTGGTCGACGTAAATATGTTTCAAATTAGAACACTTCCCCACCCCCAGAAATTGAGTGGAATTAAATAAAGGCAATTTAACGTGTTAAACTCGAAGGAGAATATTTTCATTCAAAACTATTTCATTCAGAACAATTAACTCAGAATTTTAAAAATATTATGTAAACGCAGCCAATGTCAGCAAATCGCGAAGGCTACAATGATTTAAGTCCTTCACAAATATCAAAACACCCTGTGTTATTCTGCATAAAAGCTGCTAGGGATGAATGTTTTGAAGCGGTAATTTTCACGTTAACAGCTTCTTTTAACTTTAGTTCAGAAGAGACTGGCAATTCCAAGGCTAAAAGTGAACAAATGATTCACTTTCCTGTTTCCTGTTTGAGATAAGAACTCTAAATCTGCAGGGTTTGTGTGTTAAACATGTGTGACTGAAAAAAAACGCAACTCCAGATCTGTTTTTAACATAAACATAGATCAGAAAAGGGCGTAATATGGGCCCTTTAACTGTATTATTTTCTCTTTCTCTTGTGGGTGGACTCACAGACTTGGCGATGGCGGGCAGTCCCCACTCGGTGCTGAGGAGCCTGGTGCTGTGGAGACGTCCGGCCGTGTCCACGTTCCGGTCCAGCACGTCCACTCCAAACACACTGGGGTTCATGGGGTTGGGGTATTTCTGCATGGCTGCTTTGGTCACCGTCTCCCAGGGGTGGCTGTTTGAGAGACACAGGTTCAACGTTAAAGGCTCTACTTTTACTCTTACTTTTACTTAAGTGTTGACACGATACTAAAATTTCAAACTCGATTTCGTTTCTAAGGACCAGACTCGATACTCAACACCAATTCCGCTACCACAGTAAGCTTAATACATTTATATGATTAAGCCTCATTTGACACTAGTCTCTTGCTATTTTTCCAACTTAATTAGAATTTATTATCATCTTTTAGATTTGTTATTGTCATATATCGTATTTTTCGGATTATAAGTCACACTTTTTTTTCATGGTTTGGGTGTTTCCTGTGACTTATACTCCGGTGCAACTTATATATTAAAATTTCCAGACTGACAGCCACAAGAGGCTTGTGTCTTGTCTAGTCTTGTGTGTCAGTATCTAGTACTACTATTACTCCTGTACCACTGTCACTTCGCTCTCTACTGCTCATGCCTCCTGTAGAGGCCGCTGTCTTGCCTCAAATTGTGAAATATTCAGCCGAAAAAGGTAATTGAGCAGAAATTTGTGAGGGACTGGCGGAAAGTGGAGATGGAGAACACTGAGCGGGTGCGCCCTGTAACTTTCGTGGAAGTCTCAATGAGAACTGAAACCATCCTGTCGGGATTCAGAAAGGCCGGAATAATTCTAACTGGAACTGATGCTGAGTCTGACGACAGCTACGCAGAGGAAGCAGCGCTCTGTTTACATCATGGATCTATGGTTTATCTCCAGAGGTCGCGCAGAAGTGACACCGAGGACAAAGAATTCAGTGGATTTTGTAATTTGGAGTGAAATGGAGAGTTTGGTACACCTATGTTCTGTTGTTTATGCTATAATTATCTGAATAACTGTTCATATGTTACGTCAACATATTAACGCCTGTTCAGTCTGTTGTTCTCTGTTCTATTGTTATTACTATAACTTGACTTTCAAGATGAAATGTCGGTTCCTGGTTTCTGATTTTATAAAATAAATTTCCCCAAAAAGTGCAACTTATATATGTTTTTTTCTTCTTCGTTGGACATTTTTTGGCTGGTGCGATTTATACTCTGGAGCGACTTATAGTCCGAAAATAAGGTAATGTGATGTGTGAGCTACTGTGTCCAAGTATTTTCCCTTGTGGATCAATAAAGTTTGTCTAAATCTAAGTTAGAAAGCAGAATATAATTCTCAATATTTACTTTCTTTAATATTACCATGTGGTCTTATATAATTATAATCCTTCAGTCACACAGGTAGATTCCACAGTGGTCTACATATGTGCTCTTAAACTTCTTCGTTCTAAAGCTATTGAGAAAAGGTTCATTTCTGTCCTGTGAATGTGAAAATGTGAAATGTGTCAACTGTTGGCTTGATTTTCTTGTTTTATATGCCAGATATAAAATAAATATTTAGCAGAGTTGTTGACTTTTGTATTTATTATTAAGCTGTAGCTGCTCTTTGACATTTTACATGCATTTTGAGCTGTAGAATGTCATTACTCACCACTGACACTCACATGATGCTGCCACTCATTGTACATTTAGGATGTACTAGTAATGATCAATTGCACAACCTCAATAGTGCGGTTATTCATGGGTTTTGGCTTCCTGTTCTGTGCAACATTGAGGACTTAATGCTATTCAATTGTTCATTGTTCTATGTTTACAGCAACAATCCTAATTACTCATTATTCTGAAGCTCATGAATAAGCAGAAAATGTCTTAGCCAGGAAAATTAATCATATTTTATGCCATCCCAGCGAGAAATATTTGCCATTACTCACAAAAAAAGGTCCTCCGTGTACCTTTCCTGGAATGTTTCACAGTATGGCATGAAAGTCATTTCCATGGAGACAAGACACCTAAAGGTCGAGTTAAAAGAGAGGCGAGTCCCCTCACAATAAGAATGCATGTTTCTAAGGGTATATTAGCAATAAAAACACCTGGAATTGAATTAAATTGAATTGAATTAAAACTAATAGATCACTTTAGCTGAACATTCCAGGCAAACCAATAACATCTCCAATAAGACAACCAGAAATGTTAAGGTGAGGAAATCCTTTTGATGGGAATTTAAGGAATTTAAGGCGCCTCAGCTTTAGAACAACCTGCCTGAGGAGATAAGACTCGCACCACCTGAATCATCTTTTATCATCAATCACTTCTTGAGACTGGTTGGCCTTCCTTTAGCTGGTTTTATCTTGATTTTATCCCTTATTTACTTTTATCCTATTTATTTTTATTTATTTATTATAATTTATTGGATTGTTTGCATTATTGTCTGTTTTTGTATGCTTTCTGTTTGCTATTTTGATGCTTTTTCTATTGTTCTTTGCTGCTTGTACAGCACTTTGTAAGCCTTATTTTTAAAAGTGTTTTATAAATAAAGAATTATTATTATTACTATTATCTCCATGGATAAAAGATGCCTAAAGGTTAAGTTATATGCCAGACCTATGGAAAGGCGAGTCCCCTTACAATAAAAATGCATGTTTCTCAAAGTATATTAGCAATAAAAACACCTGGGTTTGAATTAAAACTGATAAATCACTTTAGTGGCTTACTATGGAACATTCCAGGCAAAGCAATAACATCTCCAATGCGACAACCAGAAAAGTTAAGGTGAGGAACTTCTTTTGAAGGGAATTTAAGGCGCCTCGGCTTTAGAACGACCTGCCTGAGAAGATAAGACTCGCACCATCAGTATCATCATTTAAATCACTTCTTGAGACTCATTTTTATCGGTTGGCCTTCCTTTAACTGGTTTTAGCTTGATTTTATTCCATATTTATTTTTATTCTATTTCTTTTTATTTATTTATTATAATTTATCAGATTGTTTGCATCAGTGTCTGTTTTTGTATGCCTTCTATTTGCTATTTTGATGCTTTTTTTACTGTTCTTTGCTGCTTGTACAACACTTTGTAAGCATCGTTTTTAAAAGTGCTTTATAAATTAAGAATTATTATTCTTACTATTATCTCCATGGATACAAGATGCCTAAAAGTCAAGTTATAGGCCAGTCCCCTTACACTAAAAAAGCATGTTTCTCAAAGTATATTAGCAATAAAAACACCTGGAACTGAACTAAAACTAATAGATCACTTGAATGACTTACTCTGGAACATTCCAGGCAAAGCAGTAACATCTCCAGTGAGACAACCAGAAAAGTTAAGGTGAGGAAATCCTGAGGGAATTTAAGGTTTTTTTTTTTTTTTTTTTTTTAAAGAAGCACAAATATTTGGGAAGGGAAAACAGTAGGGATGTAACGATATCCAAATATTTTATATATTATTGCAATATTTTGGAGAGGCTGATATAATTGTAGATAGGACACTTTTTTGCTTTTAAAATACCTTGAAAAGATTTTGGTGTGCATTATTTCCATCATAATCCCAAGATTTCAACTCAAAAACATATTTCTTCGTGTTGTTTGCACTGAAATGAATCATGGGATATGTACTTCCATATGTTTATAAGCTGTTGCTTCTATAAAACCATGCTTTTAAGGAAAGAAACTTGTAATTCAATATATTGTGACAGCCCACGATATTAATAGTGAGCCTTTTAACAATTATTCCTAGAAAACAGAGGTTCATTCTCACGTTTTCTAGAATACTGAAGGGAATAGAAAAAAATAAAAACTCCCTCTGCTGGCTCCTTACATAACACATTTGCTAAGAAAAATAAACGCTGTCCTTGCGTAGAGACAGAACGTTCAGAAGATAACAAAGTCACAGAAATGTCAGGACAAAAAAAACACTAATGCATCAAGGATTTTTTTTTTCGCGTTGGCCGATTGCAGCGATGCTCTCCCGGGATGACGCCCCCTCCCTCCGCAGCAGCAGCATCATCATCATCCCGGAGCTTCCAGAAACTTCCCAAACACCAAAGAAACGTCGAAAGCATCTCAGATCCACAACACAACTGCAATTTTTACGATAATCTGGATAAAAACACGGTAAAAACCCACGCAGCGCTGCATTTTAATCGCATGCAACCCGCTGCCAATCTGTAATCTGTTATGTAACCAGTGTCATAGCCTGTCAAAAACAACAGAACACTTAAAATATACAATTATACAAGGTTAGGACGAATGGAGAAGCTGCTTTAAGTTATAATTTAATCTTAATAATACATGTCCTGAGGTGTTGTCCCCTGTGACCGCAGTTAACCCTGGGCTACTGCTAACTAGTAAGAAAAAAGCTTAAAGTGTGCCAAAACAATGATCAATCTTTACTAACACGAGAATATACGTGTAAAAATAATCACAAATATCTAAACTTAGGTGTTGCTCACGTAGGATTAATAATATGTAAGATTTAGTACTTTTACCATCGACGAGCGCCAAGTTATGTATGTACGCGGCAAATGCTAACATGCTAACACGTATTTAGCAGTGTTACGTGACTTTTCTTTGTTTTGAAGCGAGCTCATGTCACGTTATTAAAAGAAAATTCACGCATAAAGTTGATCGCTTACTTGAATACGTGCTCTGACGCCCAGATCTTCATTTTTGACGGGTTTTTGAGTCAGGGCAAGGGAGCCGGTGCCGAATGACAGCGTGACCGAAGGAAGAAGGAGGAATCAGCCGCGCCACACGCCTCTAGCGGCCGAAACGCGCACTGCAGCGTATTACTGAGTTATGTAATAATAATAAACTTCTAGAATCTGGTGTTTTTGATCAGACTTAACCCTCATATCAGTGATTAATCCGTTTAAATCCTTGTATATTCTGGTATTTATCCATTTACACAAGTAGAAAATATTGGACGTAATAAAGTAGGGATGTAACGATATCCAAATCTCTCGGTACAATATTATCACGATATACATCTCACGGTACGATGTTTATGGCGATGTTTTGTGAAGGCTGACAAAACTGTGAATATTCAACTTTTTCCTCTTGAAATGCCTTGACAAAACTTAATCCAAAGAACTAAGACTTAAACGTGCTTATAACTGTTATTTCTTCACGTAGTCTACACTGAAACAGAGCAAAGGATCATGGTCTATGTCAGGGGTGTCAAACTCATTTTGGTCCGGGGGCCGTGTCCAACCAACTTTGATCCCAAAAGGGCCAGATCAGAAAACTCATGGCATATATACCCCAAAAATAACAATAAGTTCAAATATTTGTGCAGAGAAACGCAAATCTATTACACAAATATTTTTTAATTGATGAACTCTTTCTTTTACAAAATATTATAATATTATGAACAACCTGAAACTTTAAGAAAAATGCAATTTCATTTGACATTTTGCTGATGAGGGTGTCACGATCAACAGTCAAAACGATCGTCCTTTAAGAGCATTTGGAAAGAGACAAGTCTTCATTTGTGCTGCTCTGGTGGGAGGGGCCACGCACGGAGACGCTGCTCTGCTAAGCACCGCAGAAAATTAACAATATTTTAATAGAAAATATAATTAAAATATTTTAGTAGAAAATCACCAGAGGGCCAAATTAAAGGTCTTGGAGGGCCAAATCTAGCCCCCCCGAGCCGTATGTTTGACACCCTTGGTCTATGTAGTTCTCTCTGTATTTTTAGCTATTGCTGTGTCATAACTTTTCATTTAAGTGATAATTCGATATATTGTGACAGCCCACAATATTATTGTAAGACCTTTGATGATACAATATCATGATATTTCGGTTGTTGTTACATCCCTATAATGAAGGCATGACTGAATGTTTCTCCTAGCAACTAAACTATTACAGGCACTTAATCTAGTTACAAGTATGAATTTGTAATAATGAGGTTTAAAGGAATATTTAATTGTTCTTACATTGAAAACTTTAATACAGATGTTGGTGTTTTATGACTAAGGTCAGTGGTTCAAATTCCCATCAGGCTGTGTTCAGCAGTGAAAATCAACCCATCCTGCTCAAAAACGTAAAAGAAGTGAAAGGTACAGATTAACATCAACATTCCCATCATTCTCATATTTTCCAGGTTCCAGGAGTGTTGAGTTACTCTGAATCAAAGAAAATTTCAAATCTCCAATGGCTTTAATAGTGATAAAACAGTGTAACCACCAAGTAGAGAAATGATTTGAATAATATCTTGTTTTAATGATTCTGTGGAACATTTATTGAAAGTTCAGTCCAGCTTTAAATGTCAACAGAATAGGTTTAAACCAGGCATGTCCAAACTATGGCCCGTGGGCCATTTGCGGCCTTTAGACAATTTTTTCTTGGCCCTCAGGCTTCCAGGTGAATTGGCCCAAATTATCTTGCATCAATTAAAAAAATACTTTCTATTGCAAGTTTTTTTCAAAATCTACCTTGATAAAGCGAATATTTAAAATTTAGTGTGCGGTTTTAAGGATCTTAGCATGAATAAAGGAGTGATGGCTCATTCTAACGTGTTAAACTTGCACATATTTTAATTATTCACTGTATTGAGCACCAGTCTACTGCCCTCGATCGGCCCTCTGCTTTGTCTGTGTTTAGATATGTGGCCCTTGATGAAAAAAGTGGACACCCCTGGTTTAAACTCATAGCCCCATTTTTGAGTTGATGGTTAGTTATGGTTGGGTAAATTTGATGGTACAATATTATTTTTCTTATATTACTCTATAGGAAAGTGTATTACCATTTTTATATTGTTTTGATGGTCATGTTCTTGATGAATTGTATTTTAGACGATAATAATCCTGACGAATTTGGTAAATGTGCATTTTTGAGGATATTAATGACATTGAAATTTTTAGAAGATAATGATGAATTTGAAATCTTGTATTTATGGAAATTAGAATGAATTCATTTTGATTGTTTTAATGATGAATTGGATAGTGGTTATTTTAAGGAGACACTGTTAATGATGATTTATTGTTGTGTAAACAGTTTCCTTAATGTATTTTGTACCTGCCCAGTTTAATGTTTTCTGTGCACTGTCCTTGTTTTGAATAAATAAAATAAAATAAATAAATAAATAAATAAATACTCTTTCTTATTGTGATGTGTGAACTCTAAACGCCCCCTAGTGACTGCAGCCTATTTCTGCCTTATGTAATAATAATAAGTACACTAATAGAATCTGGTGTTTTTGTAAATTTGACCGTACAATTTTTTTTTTTTCTTAAATTACCCTATGGGAATGTTTATTACCACTATTATATAGCTTTTTACTCTTTCTTACTGTAATGCAATGTGATGTGTGAGCTACTGTGTCCAAGTAAGTTCCCTTGTGGATTAAAAAAGTCTGTCTAAGTCTAAAGAAAAATAACCCTACCCTATATTGTGCACAAATAGGATTTTGTTTACCTGGACACCTCCCAAGGGAGGTGTTCCGGGCATGTCCCACCGGGAGGAGGCCCCGGGGAAGACCCAGGACACGCTGGAGGGACTATGTCTCTCGGCTGGCCTGGGAACGCCTCGAGGTCCCCCCGGAGGAGCTGGAGGACATGTCTGGGGTGAGGGAAGTCTGGGAGTCCCTGCTTAGACTGCTGCCCCCGCGACCCGGCCCCGGATAAGCGGAGGAAAATGGATGGATGGATGGAGGACTTTGTTGGATGGATGGAGGACTTTTGTTTGTTTGTTTGTTTGTTTGTTTTTGTTTTGTTTTTTCTTTCACATATGTTTGAGTAGTTTTTTTTTTTTGTTTTTTTTTTTGGTCTGTCTACATCTCCATATCTCAAAATGCTCTGTTTCACCTTGCGATGTCATATAGTGGTGGTTTTTAAGTTGAGCTGCAGCTGCTTTTTACCTTTTGTAGTAAAGACTGGATATTCCAAATGATTCTAGTGAAGGCGTATGGAGTTTAAAACACAGTGGAGCACTTCATGTATTACCTCATGACATCACAAGGTGGAACAGAGTGTTTCCAGTTTGACAGAAGAACACAACCTAAATATGCAGGGTTTGTGTGTTAAACATGTGTGAATGAAACAAATAATCTCTTCTGTTATAGTTGACCTTGAAAACATGAACCGCAAACCCACACACATTCACACTCATTTGCTCACAATTTCTTATTATTACTTATGTTAAATTTTGTATTACTAAATATGTTAAGCATTTATGTATGTTCTGTGTATTACTTTATTTGTTATCTGTCTGTCTAATTTTTTTGCTTATCTTATTTATCTACAGCTGTTATTTTTATAATTTAAAAAAAGAAAATTATAAAGCATGTTAACTATTTGCATATACACTAGGGTGACTAGACCTCCCTATTTACCCGGGACAGTCCCAGTTTTGAGCCCTTTGTCTCCTGTCGCAGCAGATTTATCCAAAACCAGTGATTTGTCCCAGTTTTATTCAAGAAATGTCCCTATTTTTGACCAATTTGATGCCTGTCTACAGTAAAGAGAGGCATACATTGTCATTTGTTTAGGTAAAATACAGAAAAGCTGCTTAAAAATGACCAAAACACAAAGAAAATGTGACTATACGGACTCACATTAGTGCCAAGTGCATAACAATTTTCCTTAATTACACACTCGTTTCACAGTTTTATTATTACCAACCAAACCAAACCAAAGATGACCCAGTTTTTTTTCTTTTTTCTTTTCTTTTCTTTCTTTGTATTTATTTATTTATTTATTTATTTTGCGACCATCGAAACAATCGCACGGAAAAGACAACGGAAAAAATAATAAAAAAAATAGACTTTGATAAAATATATATGCTAATTATTAATCCATGACATAACCAGATTAGTTTTATTATTACAAATATTTTTATAAAGCAATTTTTTTGGATGTAAAAAGCTTAAGTACTTAGGGGCGGGTCATGTCGCGGTTTAAGATGTCAGTCAAAGCTCTCTAGCGTTTTTATTGGTCAGTGTTCTCACGCACGTTTGACGTTATCACGCACGCATTCGACCGTCCTTGAGCCGCACTCAAGCAAAATGGTCGCGTACTGGAGACAAGCTGGTCTAAGGTGAGATTTTACGGATTTAAATTGAAATTGACCCAGCGTTTTTCGTCTGGATATTGTTAAAATTATAACTGCGTAATCTCTTAACTATTTGGAGTTTGATTATGACCAGAATATGCTCAGATCTTGGTGCTATGCTATGTAGGCTAGCTTGTGTCACATTGGAATGAATTGAAATCGTATAGCTCCACATGCTAATGAGTGCTAATGCTAAATAAACCTAAAATGTGCTGTCTGTATCGCCAACTTGATCATAAATGTCGTGTCCTTTTGCAGCTACATCCGCTTCTCCCAGATCGCCGCTAATGCGGTGCGGGCTGCGCTAAAGCCGCAGTTTAAAGCGGAGGCAGTGAAGGCCGCAGAGGCGAACGTCAGAGTCAACAAGCCCAAAACAGCATGTGAGTAAAACCCTCTCCTACACCTGTACATGTCCGACTGAACCGGAACATGTCCAACTGAAGCCTGACCTGTACCTGTCCCACTGAAGCTCTACCTATGCAGCTCTACCACTGTGAACTCTGTGACCTTTAGTTTGCCCTTTGTGCCACTAATTTTAGTGAAGATACTCGATGCAGGGTGATTATGGTCGGAGAGAAATTAGAGATTGAGGTAAAATTTACTCTCAGGTCTTTCTTCCTAAGGTTAAACCAACTTTAAGCCCACGGTATAGTTATAGTCAGAACTCTGACTAAAGTAAAGACTTGTGTTGTCATTCTAGCTGTTTTTTGCACTAAAAAACCCCCAGAAAAAACACTTGTCTTTACTGTGAGTGGATTTGCATCTCCACAAAGGTGACTCTTATTTGACTTTGATATGGACTTCTCCTGCTTGTTTTCATATCTCCATGAAGAGTGGTTTAACTTCTGCATTATGCAGGTGCTTCCTCTAGGAAGATAAATGCTTTACCTTTTTATCATTTAACTGGTAGTTTTCGGTCCCTAACACTCACAGATTTAGAGTCTGTACTGAGAGAAAGGCAAGATGCCATAACATTGTTTACCTCCTTGTTTCCTTTTGATAAGAAATGGGAATCTGATTCTCTTCTGCCATGCTGAAATGGCATACACAATGGATTTTTAAACTTTACACACAAGTACCAACTAAGTCAGTCTGTCCCAGGGCAGCTGTGGCTACTGTAGTAGTTTACCCCAACAGGGTATGTAAATGGATGCATTATTAATTAGGTCTAAAACTAGGATTACAACCACGGGGACTAGCCCAGGGGACAAATCACAAATAAAATTTACTCAATTAAACCAAATGCTAAATCTACAAATGACCTCTCAGTCTGTTTTACTATTTCTTGTGTATCACATTCTAACATGTTTTTCTTGCTTCGACAGGATTTGAGCTGCGTTGTACATAGTTTTGCTTCTTTGTTCCTGACCTCGTCCAGCCGAGCACCAGAGAAAATGGACAACACCAAGAGAAATCCAACTATAGAAGGGGGACTTGGATGAAATAATTTTTCCTCATTTGTAATTAAAGTTATCCATGTTTAAAAACAGTTTCTCGTGTGTAATTGCTGATTTTTTTATCAGAAAGAAACGCATGACAACATTTTTCTGCAAAGTTTTAATTTCATATAAACAGCCCGAGCCTATACATCATTGGAAGATCAGACTTTACCCTCAGTGATTAATCCATTTAAATCCTTGTATTTTCTGGTATTTGTTCATTTACACAAGTAGAAAATACTGGACATAATGAAGGCATGCCTGAATGTGTCTCCTAACTACTAAATTATTACAGGCACTTAATCAAGTAACATGAAGTTTTAAGTATGAATTTGTAATAATGAGGTTTAAAGGAATATTCAATTGTTCTTACATTGAAAACTTTAATACAGCTGTTGGTGTTTTATGACTAAGGTCAGGGGTTCAAATTCCCATCAGGCTGGGTTCTATCCTAGAGTGAAATGTAAAAGAGGTCATAGGTACGGATTTGCATAAACATTCCCATCTTTTCCAGGTTCCAGGAGTGTTGAGTTACTCTGAATCAAAGAAAATTTCAAATCTCCAATGGCTTTAATAGTGATAAAACTGTGTAACCACCAAGTAGAGAAATTATTTGAATAATATCTTGTCTTAATGATTCTGTGGAACATTTATTAAAAGTTCAATCCTGCTTTAAAAGTCAAAAGAATAGACCTCTTTCACTAAGGCTGGATGTGTCGCCATGTAGGGTAAACGTCACATACGTCAATGTTTTTCTATGGCAAAATATCTGTGGATGGATTATCTGTCTGGCATATTCTCCACCAGCTTCATAAATCTGCCCCATCACCAAATCTTCAACCAACAAGGTCCACAAAGGATAAACATTCTAACATGAAGAATTTATCCACAACTATCAAAATAAGAAAGATGAAAGCTTAAAGAAGAACGACGATGACGCATTAGTGAATTACTGACCAAAACGAACATTATGATCATGAATAAAACATAAGTAACTTGTTCCCTCGGACTGACTCTACAATTAAAATTAAAAATCGATTTCATGATGTAGATATTAGCACAGACAGAGAGATTTGTGAAGTTTAAATGCTAGAAAATGTAATCTGTTAACATCTGTAGAATTTAAACTGCACAATATCCACACTGCTAATATCCACATGAAATAGATTTTTTAAATTTTAATTGTACAATTGGTCTGAGTGGTCAAATGGTCACATTTTCTATAGCGCTTTTCCACCTTCAAGGTACTCAAAGCGCTTTACAACAAGGAACCACTCACCCATTCACACACCAGTGTACGCAGACACTGTGGGCAAGGTGGGTTAAGTGTCTTGCCCAAGGACACAACAGCAGCATTCATCTGTGGGAGCTGGAATCACACCAGCCAACCTGTGGGTCAGTGGATCTGACCGCTCAACCTGTGATGTTTATGTCGAGAGCTGGATTTGAACTGCCAACCTTCAGATCAGTGGGCGAATGCTCTACCAACTGAGCTACTGCCGCCGTGAACAAATTACTGTATTTTTTTGGACTATAAGTTGCACTTTTTTCATGGTTTGGGTGTTTCCTGCCACTTATCCTCTGGTGTGACTTTTATGTTAAAATGTTCACACTGACAGCCACGAGAGGGTGCTCTAGGCTTGTGTGCTCCTGTACCACTGTCACTTCACTCTACTGCGCATGTTGGCTGCAGAAGAAAGAGAAAGAGCCTCTGTCCTGTCTGTATCATGTCAGTACATTGCACCATTAGTTCTGCATCACTGACAATTTAAAATTTAAACAAACATAAAGATGATCGAAACCATCCTGTTGGGATTCAGAAAGGCTGAAATAATTCTAACTGGAACTGATGCTGAGTCTGACGACAGCTACACAGAACTGCAACTTGTAGTCAGAAAAATACAGTACTTATTAATGAATGACTTTTTACTATGTTTTATTACCTGGTCCCTGAAGGTTTGACCAGGTTTTGTATTCACCGTGTGTGTATGCGTCTGTGTGTCTGTCCACCCACAATAATTCTGCCATTTATGGACCGATTGTCACCAAATTTCTTACGTGGGTCAAACCCTCGTGCCCAATGCCGCAAAAATGTTTGGTGATGATCCGAGGTCATTTGAGGTCACACAGGTCAATTGAAAGGTCACGTCATTATAAAGGATCGGCAATTTCAACAATTTCTGAACCATCTGTGGGCTGAAATATTCACCCAATCATCACACAAGTTGGCACACACATAACCGGGGCACACTGGATGTTACAGGTTCAAACTGGTCAAGGTCACTTGAAGGTCAAGGTAACCAAGGTCAAATATGTGTTTTTGGTCATAACTCCGCGAAAGATCGAGCTTGACCAACGGGAGTGGTCTCAAAATCTCAGAAAAATTATTATCTATTTATAATTCTATGCATCTGTATAGTAAAATATTAATAGTTTTTGAGATAATCACTAATTATAACAGTTATTTTCTCTTTCAGTGTATGCCGTTAAAATTCTAATTGGAATGAAAATCATTTCCATTTCTTCTTTTTCTGGTGATACACAACACACTGATCTACAGTCACACAACTAACATATACACAACTCATGAAAAATTACATTTTGGTTACACACTAGTAAACACAGACATTCTCATGTGTGACCAATATCACACAAATGTTCATGGGCCTGTACAGATACACATATTACATTGTGGATATAACCATCAGGTAATATGGACTGGGCTCCTCATAAACTGCTTCTGTGGTGATGAACTGCCCCCACCGATGCCTCATGGGGACCAGGTTGCTGTCTCTGATTGTCCTTGTTCATGCATAATGTTAGAATTGCTCAGTAGTTCACTAATGCGTCGTAATTGTTCGCCTTTAAGCTTTCATCTTTCTTACCTTGATAGTTGTGGATAAATTCTTCATGTTAGAATTTTTATCCCTTGTGGACCTTGGTGGATGAAGATTTGGTGATGGAGCAGATTTATGAAGCTGTTGGAAAATACGCAACACATTTCCACGATATTTGGCCACAGAAAAGCATTGACGTACATGACATTTACCCTACATTGCTGCACTTCTGGTCATCATGAAAAAGGTCTACAAGTTTAAGCTCACAGCCACATTTTTGAGTTTATGATTGGGTCTGTATTCACAAATTTGCCTTATTAATCTTTTAACTTAGTAGTATATTTTGTTTTTTGTGGATTTACATAAATATTAAACACAATACTTGGAGTTAAAGGTCAAATATACTTGAATTAAAAACTATGAGCACTTTAAAATATTCCACAAACCGAACCTTTTAGTCAGACTTGAGTAACAAATGAGCACATCTTTACACATGTAGTCATAGTAGTATTACAATTACAACCAAATAAATACATATAAGACAGCTGATGGAGCCTGTCGAGTCTTTGGGAGCAGCACATTTCTAGCTGTCTTTCTTCTCCCTGGTCATTTTGATCATGGTTTCGGGGGATCTGTAGAGGAAGATGAGCTTCTCGAACAGGGTCTCCTCCAGCTCCATCTCGCCGGTCTCTCTCACCACGAAGATGTCCGTGCAGAGCTTCAGCACGCGGTCCACGCACGGCAGCTCCTCGAACATGATGGACCTCGAGATGCCGTTAAAGAACTCGCGCACGAATTTACCAATGACGAGGACCACGGACATGTACAGCCCCACAATCCTGCAGAGACAGAGTGAGACAGGTTATGGATTTAGTGTAATAAATAGGATAAAAAATATATTCAAGGTCCTATATTAAGCAAAACTGACTCTTGTGAGCTTAACCCACATTATAATGTTGTTACCTCATCCAAAACAGGCCTGGAGTTGTGTTTAGCTCAGGGGTCACCAAACTTTTTTCTCTGGGGGCCACATTATCGCTCCAGACTGTGATGGGGGCCAGGGTCGGGTCGGCCTGACGACGCAGATTATATTCTTTGAAAACCGCCAGACTTTCTTTACACATCAGACAAACTGCACGGTCCTTACACTGAACAAAAAAATGATCGGTCGTCCACTGTTCTTTGAAAACTCAGCACTCTCTGTCAACTTTTCGTACTTAAACATGAGACATGAGATTTTTGTTGAAGATCACCAAGGACTGTAGACTGTGTACTGGACATTTCATCCGAAAGAGTAAAGAGTAAATTAAGACAAGAATGCATTTTTGGCGCCTTTAATGTCCTGTCTTCTCTCTTTTTTGCTGTTTGATTTCATCTGAACTATCCTTTCATCTGGTCTCTATATGAACATTTGAATCATAGAACTAACTGAAGTCACACACACATAAAATCAGTCTATGAGTAACTCTTAAACAGTTACACTATCGCGTTGGAGACGTATTAAACTTTTCAGAGATTATACATCTACAGGTCGACACATAGACCAGACATGTCAAACTCAGGCCCGGGGACCAAATTTGGCCCACGATATAATTATATTGATATATATATTATATATGATATCATATCAAACATGTATGAGAGCTGCCTACAGATAGACTATAGAGACATTATATATTTAAAATTGAGTTATTATTATTTTATATTGTTTGTTCTGCATTCAATGTTTAGTCAAAACTATTATTAAACTTTTTTTTTTATATATAAGAAAAGGTTTAATATTACATATCTTGAAAGAAGAGAAAACATTCAGATGTTGTTGAAATTTTTCAATAAATATTTAGTTTGACCCACAACTTAGTCCCACTTTTTAATTTTGGCCTCTGTGAATTTGAGTTTAACACCCATGACATAGACCGTTTATATGAATGGACATATATTTTAGCCTCTTAGTGTTTTGAATTACTTCACGGCGCATAGACCTACATGAGAGTATCAGTGTTTTCAGGCGTCCACACAGTGCCGGATCAGACCTGTACTCAGATGAATTTGTGGGAGCTGGTGGCACCAGATCACTGCGTCTCTGGAGCCGTTTTCAATCAGATTAGTGTGAACAAACACTGCATCCACAACGAAAATGACATGAATATGTACTAGTGTGTGGATGGGGCCACACTTAGTTAACAGCTCCTTTTGTTCAGTAGAGATGGGCAATTCCAGGACTGAAATTATTCAAATAATTCTAGTAAATAAACGAGAGTTAATAAATAGAATATTAAAACACAGTGGAGAACATCCTGCATCACCACATGACATCACAAGGTGTAATACAGTAGAGTGCTTTCTGTTTGAGAGAAAAACTCACATATGAAACCCAAATATGCAGGATTTGTTTGTTAAACATGTGTGAATGAAACAAAACACAACTCCAGGTCTGTTTTTGAGGAGGAATATGGTGGAACATTCCCGCCAAAGCAATAATATATCTACTAATATTATAATGGTGTTTCATTATAACAATAACTCCTACTCTTTAAAAAAAATTCTGTTGGAAACACTGCAAAAAATCTTGGCCAAAATCTTAGATATAAGCACTTAAATCTATCATAAAATGACTTAAAAGTAGTGAAATTATCTGACCATGCAGCAAGATCATTTTACTTGACCAGTTATCTTAAAATAAACAACCTCTAGACAAGAATTAAAGAGTTTCTGTTCTAATAAGTAGATCATAAATCTGAAAACAAAAATCTTGGCCAGATCAGAGAAATTTGCAGTGATTGAATGTTTGTGTTACCCATGTCCTGCCAGGAAGCCCAGACTGGACGGACTGACTTTGTCGCTGAAGATGGTGATGTGGATGTTGTGGCAGCTGCGTTTGGGCCCCGTGTTACACTCCTCCACCACCCACCACTGGTCTTTGTCGTCGTCCTGGTCAGAGCCGCTCTCCTGCTGCAGCTTCAGGGACAGCGGTCTGAAGAAGGAGAGAGCGTGGAGGTCCGGGCGCTCTGAAAGATCTGACACAGCACGGGAGATTAGACTCAGACACTGCTGGAAGGAAACAAAGTATAAATGTAAAAGTAAAATTTTTATGTATCTGTACTTTACTTAAGTTAATTTTACAGCCAGTACTTTTTACTTTTGGGTTAGTCCATATGAAATCAGCCACCCTCCACTATGAGCCATCTCAGATTCAGCTGGAATATTTTGTTTTTAAATTCTAACATTACCAAATGAAAGAATCAAACATTTTAGCTCAGTCCCTTCAGTCGCTTTAAACTAATCAGAATATGCCAAAGTTTCTCTGGTAAAAAATGTTATCAACATCTATCTGTGCCCACATGGGGAACCGAGGCTTCAAAGAAGGGGCCAAAAAGATCACATTTGGTCTGTGACTATATTTGTGACTTTACACCATCCATATGAAAGCTCAGAAAAGTGTGAGATTGTTGTCAGAAATGATCATTCTCTCAAATATTCAGCCTCAACAGTTAGTTTGTAAATATCTGCTTGGAGTAAATAGATCGTGGACCTCAAACATTGAAAAAAAAATTAGCAGCAACCAAATTTGAGATTTTGGGGGCCCACAGCACCCCCATTAATAACTAGAAAAGCAGTCAGAGAGCGCAGACCTCCACCAAGGACTACCCCCATTTTTTATATAAATTGGGATAAAATCAGTCTTCTGGATCAGATTCGGATCAGCCTTTGGAATATGAAAGAGGATCCCACTGTCCATCCCTGAGTCAAATTTCATGGGGTTTGGTCAATAATTAACCGAGATATTGAGAAACAAAATTTTTGGCCCCATTTACCACAATGTTAACTAAAATTTCAAAGTGATCCAGAATCCAGGATTTCTTCCGGATCACCCCCAAAATGAAATCAGTTCTTCCTTTTCACATTTCCAACAAATCCTGAAAATTTCATCAAAATCGGTCCATAACTTTTTGAGTTATGTTGCTAACAGACAAACAAACAAACAAACGCCGGCAAAAACATAACCTCCTTGGCGGAGGTAAAGATACACAATAAAGGTACCCAACAACAGATTTACAATCTATGACCAAGAATCTACAATAATACAAATGTTCAGATTCCTAGCTCTATTTTTTATGAAGTTATGGTCTCTCAAAAATGCTTATAAATTAAGGTTTCTGAAAAAGTGAACATGGCCCCAAAATTTCACCGGGCCATAACTCAGGAATGACTGAAGGGACTCAGCTAAAATTTTAGATTCTTTCATTTGGTGATTTTAGAAATTTTTAGAATTTTTTTCAGCCAAATCTGAGATGGCTCATTCCTTGAAGATGGCTGATTCATATGGACTGATGCACTGACCCTTTTACTTCACTACATTTGAGAGCAGGTATCTCTATTTTCTACTCCTATTCTACTACTTTTCTACTACTATTTTCTACATTTTAGATCTGTACTGAAAAGTAAAAAGTACTTTTTATGGTGAGAGACTGATTTTTAGCACATTTACAGTAATTTGATCAACACAAAACACAAAAACAGTGAGAAAAATAAACAAATCAGTTGAATCGTCCACTGAGGTTCATTTGGTCTTCCAATAATTTATGTTATTAGGTTCTTTTTTCAGACCAAGCTCAGGTTCAGCTGTGGTTGTGGTCGCTATTTCAAACCTCCCACATTATCAGTTTGCTCAGTGTGTAATTCACTCAGCATCCTCCAGAGGGCGTGTGTCAGATCATGAGCTGTCTGTGCAGTAAGTAGACATTAGTGTTTTTATATTCTCTGGCTTTTAACACCTCGTGAGTTGTGTGGTCCTCTGTGTTTTTTATTTATTTTTTATGCGTTTTTATGTGGTTTTATTGATTTAATTTATTTATTGGTTTATTTATTTCTATTCTGTGATTTTGTTTTTATTTTATTTTATATTACTGGTTTTATTATTTTAAGACTAGTATTATTTTAGTTTATTTTATCATCATTCATTATTATTGTTGTTATTATTATGTATTTGTGCAGCACTTTGGAAACTGTTTATTTGTGAAATGTGCTATAGAAATAAAGTGGATTGGATTAGTGTGCTCAGATATAGTAAGAAAAGTGCCATTGTTATGTAAATGAATACTGTAAAGAACTTCAACTGACCAACTTTCATCCTGGTGGCCATTTTAGACTCGGGTCCCTTTGGTCCGCGGATAAACTTTGGAAGCAGATGTTCGATTATCCTGGAAAATCACATGTACATAGTGTATATAATCACAATACACTGAATCCAGTACTTCATATTTGATCATATTTGGGTTGGTTCCTTACACAGGCTTACTGCTGTTTCCTTTGAGCATTTGGACGATGCCTTCTCTCAAAACCATGTCCTCATATTTCACCGTGTGCTCTCCCACAGTCTCGGGGTTCATGGAGATGGAGGCATTCCTGCAATACAAATATACAAACTATATTATTTTTAGTGCTGTCAAGCTATTTAAAAAATTGAGAGATTAATTATGATCTGTAATTAATTAATCTAATTAATCTCTTTTTTAATCTCACCTAAAAATTGCTGAGAAAAGCCTTCAACTTCAAGTATTTTCATTAACGATTTATATAAGTATCATTATTATTACTATTACTAATCTGCATAAATAAACTCAACTTTACAACATATAAACCATCACCACTCTAGAGCCACATCAGCCCGTTTGACATTATAATGTGTTTAATGCAGCTTTGTGCAAGTCTCACAGAAATGAAACTTAAAACCACATGGCTAATTTGCATAAACTAAGCAGAGAAAAGAAAAAAAAAATGCTCTTGTGCTGATGCGGTTCAGCTTCTGTGGGACTAAAGGACACGACTCAGTGGAATATGAGTGTTCTCTCTGTGACAGAGGGATTTTGATGCTGAAGGTGAGTCTGTTCTGTGTCTGTGTCGCGATGTTTTCAGAGATCATACATGTGCAGGTTTATCGCAGATGCGGCGAGAACAGGAACTAAAATTACAATTCTTTGCAGGAGTGAGCGGAGCAGGACTGCACAGTGTGGGACTGTGTCCTAACAACACATAAAAACAGATTTTATAATAAGACAACTCACATACAGAAGCAGTAAAGTTAGAGATAAAAAATAAGATTAACACGATTAAAAAACATAATGCACTAAATATGACTGTAATTAATTAATATCAATTAACACGATAATTTGACACCCCTAATGATTTCACACTTGTATAGTTGATAAGAGATTCATTGCATTGTTTTTGCACCCTGCCTGACTTATCCGGCTGTAAAAATTAATACAAAACATATTACTCATTTGTTCCGTTTGTCATTTGTCACGTGGCAGTGCGTGTGAGCGTACCTGAGCAGAGTCCACCTGAGTGTGATGTAAATGTGGGAGGAGTTGCTGAGCTCTTGGATCATGGCGGCGCGTGAGGCGGGGCTGATACTCCACAGCAGACTGGCGTCGCTCTTGATCTTCGCCACCATCACATCCTCCGCCTCGTAGTTCATGATAAACTGCATTGCCGACTGAAACGGGGAGAAGTTTGACGTTTAGAAAGGAAAATGATCTGCGTATAATGAACAGCAAAAAGGTGGGTTAAAGAGAGTTACGGGGTGTGTCGCGTAGACTTTGGTGAGGCGGTTAAACGCGGATTCGGAATAAGGCACGAGGTTCTGCTCCTGAGCCGTCATGGTGAACAGAGGCTGTGAACACAAAGAAAACACTAAAGTGGTAAATAGGTCACATTTAGTGCATGAACTATTCACACATGGACATAATTATAACATATACTTAACTTAGAATAGAACAGAATAGAATAGAATAGAAAGCATTTATTGTCATTATACAGTATAATGAGATTCAGAGCTGCTCCGACAAAGTGCAAGAAAAAAAAAAAAAAAAAAGAACAGTTCCCAGTGTAAAGATGAGTTCAGTATGGTGACAGCTTTGGGAATGAAGCTGTCCCTGACTCTCTTTGTTCTGGCTGGAATGGATCTGATGAGCCTGCCAGAAGGTAACAGGTTGAACAGGTGGAACAGATGTTCCTCGCTCTGCTGAGACAGTGGGAGTTGTAAAATGTGGTTAAGGACAGCAGAGGGCAGCCAATAATGCCCTGTGCAGTGTTGGTGACCCTCTGCAGATGCTTCCTGTCGGCCTCTGTGCAGTGAGAGTGCCACACTGACACAGTAGAGGTCAGCAGGCTCTCAATGGTGGAACGATAGAAGGTCACCAGCAGCTTGTGTTTAGTTGCTCCTTCTTGAACACCTCAGGAAGTGTAGCCGCTGCTGGGCCTTTCTGACCAGTGCTGAGGAGTTGACTGACCAGGAGAGATCCACAGAGATGTGAACCCCAAGGAACTTGAAGGACTCCACTCGCTTCACACTTAAGCCGTTGATGTACAGGGGGGCAGGGGTGGCTCTGTTCCACCGAAAGTCCAGGATGAGTTCCTTAGTCTTGGTGATGTTCAGTGCCAACTTGTTAGTTGCACACCGCTCGCTGAGTTTCAGGACCTCATCTCTGCCTTTTGGGTGCGACCGCAGGAGCCTTTGTTGTTGCAGAACGTTTTGTCGACATTGTGGGTTTTGTCGGGGAGAAAACTTCTTCTCTCACGGCTAGCAATCGAACATTTATGTAATTTGGCGAGCTGGCGAATGCACCTGTACTGCACAAGAGACAAGGGATGGAGGAGATTGATTGACAATGGTCTGTAGTCCCTTATCCAATCAGGATGCAGGGGGAGGTTACTGTTTTAGATGCCTGTCATATACTCCATCAGTCCCAGCTTCTGTCATGAACTTGTTGTCTGAGCTCGTTCCTTGACAGCTCGTTTGCGGTACACACTCAGTTTTACATTTAGATTCACCAGTCTCATGTCTGTACCTCATATCCTGCGATGCTGAGCTGGATCGACACATCCACGGGCTGGTTGGTGACTCCAGCTGCCGACTGGACCAGAGACATGAAGAGCAGAGGAAACCAGATGATCCCGATGAGGACGAATATCAGAAGACCTCCCATACCATACTTCACCACCTTCTTCTTCTTCTGGCCCGGAGGATGAGGGAATTTCTACAACCAAAACCATCAATCACAAATTATTCACAGTTCCAGATGTAGCAGTGAGACAACAAAAATCTACGTTCGAATAAAACGTAATTAAGCCACACTGCAAGAGCTGAAATATCAGGGTGTCCCAAAAAGTTTGACATAATTTCTTAATTTTTGTTAAAATAACCTTTAATTTTCACAGAATGTATAGAAACAGATCAAGATTTTATGTTTAATGTTTTATTTTTGTTCCGTTTTCAGGTTGAGCTGTTCACTCCCAAAGAGAAGTCATTTTGTCAAAGATGTTCATTTTGTCTTCTTATGTACTATAACGAGACAAGACTAGACTAGACAACAAGAATTAACCACATTATGGATTTGGACAGGGCTCGGGTCATTGGATCAGAAAACAACAATTTGAAACGCTGGATCAGGGAGGAAATGAGGCATGGACAGCATTAACCAAGATGACAAAGCATTTCTTTTTTCATACACCTGGGACACCCTCCTCCAGAGAACATCAGGCGACGGGAGGTGTGGTCAGTCTGAGTGACCTGCAGGTCCATCAGGTCTGACCACGTCTACAGGAAGTAACAACAGCTTATATATGACACATCAGCAGTAACAGTTCTGTAGATGGCTTTCAGCGAGCAGCCGAAACATTTCAGCAAGGTAAATACACTTTACTGTATTGTCTTTAAAAAGAACCCAAGAAGTTATAGTCATTTTGTGTCTTGGAATCTGCTGCACACACTCACCAAAGACTGTGCAGCCTTCAGCCTTTGGAAAAACTTCACCAACTAGCAAACAAATTTGGACTTGGTACCAAAAATTTAAAGAGAAAGGTTGTTTATGCAGGGCTAAAGGAGCTGTAGACCAACATCAACATCAGAAGAGATGGTCGAGCAAGTTCGTGAAAAACTTGCAAACCCCCAAGAAGACAGATGAGAAAAAAATATTATTCCCAAGCCACAACTTCTTAAAATTATGTCAAAATATGGCAAAAAGTTTCATATATATATACTGTATGTGTCTTATTATTTTTGTTAATTTTTACAGTGCTATGTTATTAAATAGGGAGCCATTTGGGAGCTGATCCAAAAGAGCCAAATCTTTGAAAAGAGCCAAAATGCCCAACATAAATTTGTACAGAATTTTTCTTCATTGACAGAACTATCATAGACTCTTGTGCAGTTTACTTAAAAAAATACAAATGAAAACTGAAACTAAAACAATAAACCTTTAAATATAAAAAAAAATCAATCTCACTTTGTCAGACTCCCTCCAGCACTTGAGGATAAAGATATTTGCGTAAATGTCCTCGACACAGATCCAGCTGGACAGGGACAGGGTGGTGTCGGTCCAGACCCAGTCCATCACCGCGCGCAGCTCCGTCAGGAAGGGCACCATGCGGAACCTGCAGGGGCACAGAGGGCACAGCCAGAGGGCACACAGACTCAGACAGAGTGGAGATTAAACACCAAGGATGTAAAAGTCACAACATGCCAGAGAAAACAACACCAGAGTCACTGTATCTGCAGTTTGAGTGAAAAAGAATTTATAAAACAGTAATCCGTGTATCATTCGTTCATTCGTTTTTCAGTATAAAACCCAAAAAAAAAAAAAAAAAAAAACATCAACTATTTGTTTTTTTCGCAACTATGAAAAAATAGATAATATTTTTTTCAGTTTTGTGTTTTTTGTGTTTAAATTAATAATGGAAAAAACTCATCATGACCGTTTCCCGTTTACGTGACTTAAAAGGCGATGCCGGACTGAACCAGGACTGAACCAGGACTAAATCAGGTCCGGGACCAGATCAGAACCAGACCTATACTGAGACCAGGACCAGGACCAGGACTGAGACTGGGACCAGACTAGGACCAGACTGTGATTGAGACCGGAACCAAACCGAGACTGAGACCGGGACCCGACCAGGACCAGACTGGGACCAGACCAGGACTGAAAACAATTTAGTCCTGGTTTAGTCCTGGGACTTGACTGGGACTTGATGTCAAAAAATTGAGACTTACTTGAGACTCGCAAAACAATGACAACAACTATTTTCTTCATTTATTTGTCTCAAAAACCAAAATGAAAAAACAGATAATGATTCATTTTTTTCATTTTTTGATTTTGTGTTTAAATGAAAAATGGAAAAAAAACTGTTTCGCGTTTCTGTAACTTAAATTGCAATGCCGGACTGAACCAAGGACTAAACCAGGTCCAGGACCAGACCGGAACCAAACCAAGACTGAGTCCGGGACCAGGACCAGGACTGAGACCGGGATTGAGACCAGTACTAGACTGGGACCAGACCAGGACCAGACCGGAACTGAGACCAGGACTGAGACTGGGACCAGATCAGGACTGAAAACAGTTTAGTCGTGGTTCAGTCCGGCATCTACAACTCTTACGTAAATACTCTATACTCATATAAATATACAATGACTTTTTATGTACAATTTATCTTAAAATTCATATAAATAGTAAAAATCTATGTTGTACTAGATTTAAAGACTTGAAATGACTTGAACCTCAAAGCAGACAACTTAGTCTAGACTTGGGCATATGGTCTAGTGACTCGAGACTCGACTTGGACTTGCCTGTATTTTACTTGGGACTTGACTGGGACTTGAGGTCAAAGACTTGAGACTTACTAGAGACTTGCAAAACAATGACTTGGTCCCACCTCTGATATGATCATAAAATCTAGTTCTAGTTTAACAGGAATGTCACACACTCTAAGTCCACTACTTTGTGCAGTCTGTGAGCGTGAGAGGACGACTTGCATGAAGCATCGAGTCTTTCTTTTATTCTCTTACCCCTGGAAGAGGAAGAGGTTGAGGTAGTTGTAGTTCTTGGTGAGGAAGTTGCCCAGGATCCGGTTTGGATATCCACATTTGATCTGATACGCAGACAGGCCGAAGTAAATGCACTTGACAAAGTACCAGAGCTGAGCCACTGGGTTTCTGTTGAACCTCCTACAACGACACAGAACAGAGAGAAGTATTCACATCAAACAGGCTTTTTATTTATGCATGCACAGTGTCCTCAAGAAATATTAGCACCCAAAGTAAATATAGGAAAATCATTATTTCATTATAAAAATATGATTCCAAACTAGGGCTGACTAAAATTCCTGGCCAAATTAACAAAATAAAATAATAGATGAGATTTGTCTCATTTCAGCATGTGGACTGAATATTCTCTGAGAGGGACTTCTTTAAAGAGGTGGTATTAAACTTCTATGGGGTATGAATCAGTAAGACATATTGAGATCACCACTTCATCGCTTTTATTGATTAACTGAAAACAATGTAATAACATGTAATCACAAGAATACTAAAACATGCATGGAAGACATAAAACATCTTCAGGCATGTCATGAAGAAAACTATCTTATATAACACTGTAGAAGATTCTCAAAATTCTCTTATTACCTCCGCCAAGGAGGTTATGTTTTTGCCGGCGTTTGTCTGTTTGTTTGTTTGTTTGTTTGTTTGTCTGTTAGCAACATAACTCAAAAAGTTATGGACCGATTTTGATGAAATTTTCAGGATTTGTTGGAAATGTGAAAAGGAAGAACTGATTTCATTTTGGGGGTGATCCAGAAGAAATCCTGGATTCTGGATCACTTTGAAATTTTAGTTAACATTGTTGTGGTAAATGGGGCCAAAAAGTTTGTTTCTCAATATCTCGGTTAATTATTGACCAAACCCCATGAAGTTTTACTCAGGGATGGACAATGGGATCCTCTTTCATATTCCAAAGGCTGATCCGGATCTGATCCAGAAGACTGATTTTATCGCAATTTATATAAAAAATGGGGTAGTCCTTGGCGGAGGTCTGCGCTCTCTGAGTGCTTTTCTAGTTTTGTATAATACCCATCTTAAAGGTCTACAATGCATTCAGCTAATGTCGCCTTCTTGTTGTGCAGAACTGTTTTTATTGCACAGAGAAGCTCCTCCCTGACCTTTCAGTGACCCCAGGCAGAATGAAGAACATCCAGAAGTGAATGCCAAACACGAGGACCACCTGGAACACACACTTCCCCAGCAGAGACTTCTTCAGGTACAGGGCCCGGTCCACGATCATGGTCCCAAATTGCATCAGCAGCATCACCAGGAAGGCCTCAGGAACCTGGTCTTCAGACAGGGACTCTGTGATGTCGGCCGCTGCAGAGTATTTCTAAACACACAGTTGTTCTCGTTAGAAATACTTCTACAAATACATCTGCAGTACTTTCCACATTATTGATTCTGTGTCCAAAAGTTCAAAGTTGGCCTCATTGTCAATTTCTCATGCGTAGACAATTGGAAGAGTGAGAGGCCTCTACATCTGCATGTACTGCAAATATACACATTTATATGGTCTGGATTGAAGGATGGGTCAAATGCAGAGGATAAATTTCTCTTCGGGAACCGTAAAGTCTTACTTTAGTAGGTTTTACTTTCTCTTCACCTTGAGTACTTCACATATTTGACAGCGTAACTGAATGAGCACTGGGCCTGGGACAGACTGAGGCTCACTGCAGCCTGGAGAAAGTCTGTTAGACCCAACAGAAAACAGGCTCTAGAAAATACCTCATAAATGTTATTGGATCATATAGTCATATGTTTATATGAAATAATTTAAGAAAATACATAACTTACAATCATGGAGGAATTTGAATTTTTTGTTGCATTATCAGAGAAATAATATTCTAAAACAGTAGAATTCTTGTTCTTACAAGTGCCCCTGACTGTTTGTAGGATTTGTTCTTCCAGAAGAACATTTTCAGTTAAGAAAAAGTTTTGTGAATGCCAAAAATGTTCAGAAGAAGGCCTTAAGTACAAATTTGTTTGTAAGAAAATTTCATTCCCTTCCAATTACATGAACTTCAAATAATAATTACTCTTAGCCATGTCTGGGCATTATAAAGATAAATAATTAATTGCGATCTCAGTACAGAGGCTTTGTGTCACTATGTCTGCTCATATCTAATGCAGATTTCTGCCCAGATATTTTTTTCTTATATCACACTCCCCTACTCTTAGCTTAGTCACAGGTTTACTAAATGTTTTTTTCTCTTTCTTGACTGATTTCTAGTAGTGACACTTTACAACACTTGTGCTTAATACCAAATCAAAATCAAGAGTTACCCCGAAAGCCCAGTATCCATAAATGGTGACGATGAAGTTGACGACATCGATGAGGAACATGAGCGCGTAGACGTCACACACAGGGCTGTAGTCCGGGTGGATAATGTCATAGAAGAACTGCCTTATGGGTAAATAAATATGGAGTCCACTGTGGGGAAGAAGAAGAGGAGGGATTTAATTTATCCGGTAAAAGTAAAGGCTTGCCAAGAAAGTGCACAAGGTTTGATCCATTTGTCCTTTCCACCTTCTCACAGTAAGCCTAAAACTAGATTTGTGATAATAACCAAACTTAAGAGTTAGACGTACACTTCGATGATGGTGGCTTTGGCCTGGAGCATCTTCTCTCGGATCTGCTGACGGAGGCGCTGTTTTCGGGTCAGAGGAGTTTTGTGGCGCTGGTTTCTCCTCTTTTTACAGCTCTGCTTCTTGGGCTTTATCCCTCCTGTAAAGAAACAATATACACAGTTTTCATTTAAATAAGTGATGACAGCAAAACATGTGTGTAGTAAGAAATATAAAATGTTTAATTTTAGAGAGTATTGACCAATTTGAAAATGCTGCTCAATATCCTTGTCTCCATAAAGTCTCATTATGCATAAATAATAAATTATGTGTATGTCCATCCGTTGATTTTCTTCCGCTTATCCGGGGCCGGGTCACGGGGCAACAATCTAAGCAGAGATTATCAGACTTCCTTCACCCCAGACACTTCCCAGGCCAGCTGAGAGACATAGTACCTCCAGTGTGTCCTGCAAAAGTGTACATTTGCACAGGGAAGTTGGGGACATGTCACAACCAATATTAGGGAAGACAAAATAGTCCCTATCAATATTTGCCATTTTATTTTAATAAACAAAAATATTAATTTATTCCAATATTTTTCCAAACTCAAATAGTATTAATTTAACATGTTTTAGTTCACATTTTGTTTATTAGACGTTCTGAGATGTGTTCAGTGATGTGACGACAGGGTTACAACAGAGTGATGTCATTAGTGGAGCCAGGAGCATAAACTGGGGAAGCGGCAGGACAGGGCCGCACCTGAAGATGTCGGCTTGAGCAGGCGTGAGTGAAGACACTGAACACCAAACTTTGAAAAACTTTTCAAAAGGAACTTACTTGTCTTCATCTTCAGTTAAACTTGTCTTATAATGAGTGGCCGTGGAAAAAGAGTGACTATCAGCACAAGTGCACCTCCCAAATGGAGCTCTACTCGTGCGCTGTGAGACCCCGACTCTACTGACAATATTCCATGGAAAAATGTTTAGACATTACCTCACAAATATCTCATCACCAACAAGCAAAGGGAAATCTCCTACAAACTTCTACATCACTGTTATCCGCTAAAGAATCATCTTAGAAGGACAAAGGACACAAACTGTACATTTTGTGAACTGAAAAATGAAACCACCTCTCACTTATTTTGGACCTGCTCAGACTCTGTGTTTTTGGAAAGAATTCATAAAACATATACACAACTTTTTATCCTATCCTATCCTATATTTTATCCTTTTTTATAAAGGTGTGCTGTGTGTTTTTTGCAGTGTGCATCATACAAAAAGTGAACAATATTATATAATTACTCTGTTAATCAAGTTAATTGGTTTTATGGGGTGGGGAGCTGAGACCAAACCTACGCCCTTGGTGTCCTGGGTCTTTCCCGGGATCTCCTCTCAGTGGGACGTGCCTGGAACACCTCCCAAGGGTGACACCCAGGAGGCATCCGGAACAGATGCCCGACCCACCTCAGGTAGCTCCACCTGTGTGACTGAGCTCCTCACCCTATCTCTAAGGGAGCGCCCAGACACCCTGCAGAGGAAACTCATTTTGGCCGCTTGTATCCACGATCTTGTCCTTTCAGTCATTGCCCAGAGCTCATGACCATAGGTGAAGGGAGGAACATAGACTGACGATAAAGCGAGAGGTTCACCTTTCAACTCAGCTCCCTCTTCAACACTACTGTCCAATACAGCGACCACATCACTGCCAACGCTGCACCAATCCGCCTGTCAATCTCACAGTCCGTCCTCCCCTCACTCCTGAACAAGAACCCGAGATACTTGAACTCCTCCACTTGACTTGTATGTGCACGTTTGACTTAAAAATATCAGTTATCACAATTAGAAAGAAAAAAACATCCCTACTACTGTACGGTTGGACATATTCACCATCTGAGTCTGCGTCCCCTTTCCTGCGCCGACAGAACAGGGAGGTGGAGGAGGCGTTGAGGGGCAGAAACTTGAGACAGCGGGACGCGTCTTTACTGTTGCTTTTCTCTGAGCCCTGGGTCTTCTTCTTGTCCACCTTCTTCTTCATCTTCTTAAAGAAATCGGGCATCTCCACCTCTTTGTTGTCCCACAAACCATGGCACTGTTGGCAGAAGCACGGAGGCATCAGCTTTAATCACACACGGAAAAGGGGAAGAGCAGCAAAAGATTGTCTGATTTTGTATGCTACAGAAAGTGCTTGGACAAAGTTGGAACAGCCAAAGGGACCTGCCTGAGGATTTATGGCTGCAGAAGGCTTGTACAGGGTTAAAAGATCTTAAATGTAACTTGGGGTGAGACCTAAACGAGCTTTAAAAGTGAGTGTGTTCAGTGTTTAGCTCCAGTCAAATGAAGTTCACTGAGGCTGTAGTTATAGGAGCGAATTTGGAGCTGAGTTCCATATTTGAGTCCGAACAGGAATTAACTTTCTCTTCACCTTGAGTAATTCATATTTTGACAGAGTAACAACTGAGTATAAAGTTTTGGATTATGGTAAATGGTCGCATTTTTATATAGCAACTATTCTTGTTTTTATGTTTATATACTGTAATAAAAATTCACTTTTTACTTTCTTTTCAATAAGTACAATAACATGGAATAATAAAATGTAATCAGTACATTTTAAAAAGTGGATATTTTCTTTGCTTTTCTATTAGGAATCTATGGAAGTCCATTTCTGCCAGTAAATAAAAAATAAAAGCCTCACAGTAAGTCATAATTATAATTTTTAAACTCATAATCATGTGTTTAAAACTCAGAATTATGTGTTTAAAATGTGTAATTATGACTTTTAGACTTTAAAACTCATAATTATGACTTTCTGTGAGGCTTTTTTTTTTATTTACTGGTGGAAATGGGCTTCCATAGTAATCCCAAAACTAAAATATGAAAAATAAAAAAATAATCTTGATTGATATATTGACTGTATTGACTTAATTACTTTTACTGTGAAGCACTTTATGACTAACATTATGTCTGTGAAAAGCACTGCATAAATAAAGTTTACCGACATAATTACTTATAAATGAGTAAAAGGAGCAAAAAATGTCTTGTAAACCACAAATGATAACGGTACACAGTAAAGACGTCAGCGTTGTCTTCACCTTGAGGATGGACCTGTGGAAGAACAGAGCCAGCAGCTGTATGAGGTCGAACAGCACGTATCCGTCCTTCTTCTCTACTCCGATGATGTTGGGTAAAGCGAAGGGCCGGTCTGCGTTTATGCCTCTGTACGCAGACGTTGTCCAGGGGAAGAACCCGAACTGGAAAAAGTACTTCACCACCACAGTCAGCTGCACACACCAAACAACAAGAATAGAGATTAAAAAGACGACGCTGTTAGACGGTCTGAGCAGATGTGAAAAGAAAGAGATTACTTGGTTAGAGCTACAACAAATGAGATTATTTGTGCTGTTAAACAAATCAATGCATAAAATTACAGTTACACTGCTATTTTGACATTGGCATCTAATTGTCCGAGTAGCAGTATAAACATTATTTTTCAAGCATCCAATTACTTCGACTTTTTTTTTTCATTTTTGCAGTCAGACGAGCAGCTCGCCACAAGACGCAGAGTGCGACTAACCACTTTTTTTTTTTTTTTAATGTTGTTTATATACTGAATTGGGAATCAGTAAAGCTGATCTATTTACCTACCAACCTATCAATCAGCACCATGGACAGCAGCCTGAATATGCACAGACAGCTGTCGGAATAGCAAAACTAAAAAGTGTCACGTCTAAATAGAGACATAATAATCTGTGTATCATTCGTTCATTTGTTTTTCAATATAAAACCAAAACTAAGAAAACAAAAAAAACAACAATTTTCTTCATTATTTGTCTCCAAAACAAGATGAAAAAATGGATAATTATTCGTTTTTTCAGTTTTTGATTTTGTGTTTAAATGAAAAATGGAAAAAACACGTGATTTAAACTGAGATGCCGAACTGAACCAGGACTAAACCAGGTCGGTGTTGGGACGGGTCTGGAGGCTGCTGGGTGATCAGGACTGAGACCAGGATTAGACCAGGACTAAGACCAGGACTGAGATCTGGACTAAGACCGGGACCAGGACCAGGACTGAGACCAGGATTGAGACCGGGACTAGACCGGGCCCGAGATCGGAACTGAGACTGTGACCAGACCAGCACTGAGACTGGGACCAGACCAGGATCGGGCCCAGGACTGAGACCGGGACCAGGACTGAGACCAAAACCGAAACTGAGACTGGGACCTGACGAGAACTGAAACTGGGACCAGACCGGGACCAGACCAGGACTGAGATGAGACCAGGACAAGACCGGGACTAGACCAGAACCAGACCAGGACTGAGACCGGGACTGAGACCGGGACTGAGACCGGGACCAGACCAGGACTGAGATCAGTTTAGTCTGGTTGAGTCCTGGTTTAGACCTGGTTTAATCCTACTTCAGTTCTGGTTTAGACGTGGTTCAATCTGGCATCACAGTTTAAGTCACAGAAACGGCCATTCTCCGTTTTTTCCATTATTCATTTAAACACAAAATCGAAAACCCATCTTTACACAGTCTTTTGCCGTACCTCGGTGTAAATGATCGCCGTCATCCAGAAGCGCTTGGTGGGCCTGGGCACAGAGAGCATGGCCCAGAGGAAGATGAGGATGGGCAGGATGAGCGACAGCAGTGAGGCGGACACGATGTGGTTCAGGATGATCACAAAGTAACACAGCATCTCAGACTTGGACACCATGGTGTTGTACAGAGCAAAGAGCAGCTTCATCGGACGAGGCAACTTCAGGAAGAACTTATCAGACTCCGAGATCTCATCGTTTTCAAACATGCTAAAAAATAAAAACAGGATATTATTAGATATTAAATCTCCCGTTTTGACAGGAACCAATATAACGAGAACATATCACACCCATCCTTGCGTCTTTGCACTGGCTTTCTGTTCGATTTAGAATTGATTTTAAGATTTTATTGTTTGTTTTTAAAGCTTTGAATGGACTGGCCTCTCATTACATCTCTGAACCTCCTCCAGATTTACTCCCCCTGGGCTCGCTCTGAGGTCCGTGGGCCAGAGCCAACTCGTGGGGCCTAAGACGGGATTTAAAACCAGGGGGGACAGGACCTTCTCTGGCCGAGCTCTGGAACGCTCTACCCCCCCACGTCCCAACAGCCCCCACACTGGAGTGTTTTAAGACCCATTGTCTTGCTTTACAGAATAAGAAATACATTAAAATCACAATAAAAACAAATCAAAACAAATAATCCATCCAGTTTCTTACGCTTATCCAGGGCTGGGTTGCGGGGGCAACAGTCTAAGCAGGGACTCCCAGACTTCTTTCACCCCAAACACATCCTCCGGGGGAATCCCGAGGTGTTCCCAGGCCAGCCGAGAGACATAGTCCCTCCAGCGTGTCCTGGGTCTCCTCCCGGTGGGACGTTGCCGGAGCACCTACAGAGGAAGGCGCCCAGCAGGCATCAGGACCAGATGCCCAAGCCACCTCAACTAGCTCCTCTCGACGTGGAGAAGCAGCGGCTCTACTCCAAGCTCCTCCATGTGTGACTGAGCTCCTCACCCTATCTCTAAGGAAGCCCCCAGCCACCCTGCACAGGAAACTCATTTTGGCCGCTTATATCTGTGATCTTGTCCTTTCGGTCATTACCCAGAGCTCATGACCATAGGTGAGAGGGGAACGAAGACTGACCGGTAAATCGAGAGCTTCACCTTTCGGCTCTACTCCCTCTTCACACAACGGTCCAATACAGCGACCGCATCACTACTGATGCTGCACCGATCCCTCACTCCTGAACAAGACCTCAAGATACTTGAACTCCTCCACTTGAGGCAGGGACTCTCCACCCACCCAGAGAGGCCAAGACATTTTTTTCCGGTCAAGAACCATGACCTCGGATTTGGAGGAGCTGATCCTCATCCCAGCCGCTTCACACTCGGTTGCAAACCGCCCCAGTGCATGTTGTAGGTCCTGGTTCGATGAAGCCAACAAGACAACATTGTCTGCAAACAGCAGAGATGAAATCCTGTGGTCCCCAAACCGGACCCCCTCCGGCCCCTGACTGCGCCTAAAAATTCTTCAATGAACAGAACTGGTGACAAAGGGCAGCCCTGGCGGAGTCCAACATGCACCGGGAACAGGTCTGACTTACTGCCGGCAATGCGAACACAGCTCCTGCTCAGGTCATACAGGGACCAGACAGCCCTTAGCAAAGGGCCCCGAACCCCATACTCCCAGAGCACGAGCACCTCCCACAGGACACTACGAGGGACACGGTCAAATGCCTTCTCCACAAATAATCATCATATAATTAAAAATAGAGAAAGACATTAAATGAGAGAAGAGTGCAGAATGGAAACCTTTCAGTCATATGCAGCTGAAAAGAATGGATTTAAACAGCGTCAAAGTTGAGTCTATCTCACATCTTCAGGAAGACTGTTCCAGGTTTTAGCTGCATGAATCTGAAACTAACTCCCCGTGTTTAATCCTGACTCTGGGCACTAGCAGGAGGAAAAGTGCTTTTGGACAGCTCCCTTTTGATTATCGAGCAGGTCAAACATGGAATACAGTACCTGCTCATATTCGAGAACTTCCAACACTGGCAGCATTTTCTAAAGCTTTAAAACAGTGGTTGTTCAATGCCCAAATATGTCACCATGTTTAACCAAATAACTGTAAATAAATAAAAATAATAAAATTAAAATAAATGCAGTGCAGACTTACTTGTTGAGCAGTAATTCGCTGGCCGTGAGGTTTCTCGTTTCCTGACTCAGAGGCCTGGGGGATTCTGGGAGATCGAGGCTTTTGTCTGCGTCACTGTCTCTGAAGCCCAGGGAGATGCTGCCGTCCTCAGTGTGCTCCTCCTCCTCTTTCTCTCTGAACTCTTCATCGCGCTCCTGATCAAACTCACAACTCACTGGGTCATGGGCATCTGAATGTGCGGACCGCTCCTCTCGCTCCTCTGGCTTCTCTGGTTTCTCTGGCTCCTCTGGTTTCTCTGGCTCCTCTGGTTTCTCTGGCTCCTCTGGCTCCTCTGGCTCCTCTGGCTCCTCTGGCTCCTCTGTGACCGGGCGTTTCACTTCTGTGGGTGATTCCAGTGCTTTCTCATCTTCATCCAAAACTTCACGCTTTTCTTGAAGAGCGAGATCTTCGAGGCTGTTCCACAAAAGTCAAAACGGCAACAATATTATGTCACAACAGTCATTGCTTAAAGAGCCCATATTACGCTATATTTTAACCTTTTTTATAATTTTCCTCATCACAAACAGACCTGGAGTTGTTTTTTTTTTTCATTTTGAGCTTTGAAAATGTACATAAGGACCTTTAACACTAAGTATGTATCTTGCATTCTTACTGCTTTAAAAAACAAATAGAGATAAACGATATTTGGACTTTTTAGCGTATTGCCTTAAAATTCCATCTCAGGCCGATATTTTGTTTTGATTCAATCTGCTGACTAAAAAAGTTTTATTTTAACACTTTGATACAAAGATATAACTGCCCAAAGTGACGCTATATTGTTTAAAGAATGTTGGTTAAAAAAATGGCTGTGGGTGAGTTTGTTGTAAATTTCAATTAATCAATATTGGCCCTATACACTGCCAGGCCAAAAAAAAAGTCACCACTGGACTAGACCAAGGATTGGATGGAATATTTAAAAATGTCTCCAACACTCTGGCTCACTAAAAAATGAGGTCCTATGTCCAAAATTCGAGAATGTTCCTTTAAGTTTGTGGTAAGTAAATCTTTATTTATATAACGCTTTCCACAGACATATGTCACAAAGACACTTTACAGAGCATTGTTCAGCATTATTCATTCACTCCAGACCCAGTGGTGGTAAACTACTATTGTCGCCACAGCTGCCCTGGGGCAGACTGTCAGAAGCACGGCTGCCATGCCAATCAGCGCCATCGGTCCCTCCGACCATCACCATCACTCACGCACACACCACTTTCATACTAGGCAATGCAGATGAAGTGTCTTGCCTAATAACACAATGACAGTTTTTGTGACTGACGCCCCCCTGTTGCTCCTGATTTTCCCAGTGTCTCCATCCAAGTTCTAACCAGGCCCAGCCTCTGAGCGTCTGTGATCTGACGGGATCAGGCTTTGACAAGCCGTTATGGCCACGTGGTGTTTGTCCCTTTAAAGACAGAAATCTTTACTTGCCTGGGTGAGCGGTCATCATTGTCAAAAGAGCCTAAGTCCACATTGCTGGTCTTCAGGAGTCTCCGTCTGAGCTGGTCTGGACCTGGAGGGACCGGGGGCTCGTCCAGCTCCTCTTGGGTGGGCTGCCTGGACCCCAGCATTGTCTCATCTGTCATACAGCTGACGGGGAAATACACAGAAAAATTAATTTAATCTTTCTTTGGGAGGCCTCCCATTAACACAAACATGACTGTGGTGATGCAACAAATAAATGCACATTTAAACTGGCAAGGGGTGTTGCTCAGAGGCACAACAACAGGATGAACAGAGGAGAACAAGATGAGAATCTCTGCCTCAGTGTTGTCCAAATGTAATTAGTATAACTTATTGCATTTAATAACCAACTATTTTTACTATACGCACACACACTGACCTGGAAACACACACACTGACCTGGAGACACACACACTGACCTGGAAACACACACACTGACCTGGAAACACACACACTGACCTGGAAACACACACACTGACCTGGAGACACACACACTGACCTGGAAACACACACACTGACCTGGAAACACACACACTGACCTGGAAACACACACACTGACCTGGAAACACACACACTGACCTGGAAACACACACACTGACCTGGAAACACACACACTGACCTGGAAACACACACACTGACCTGGAAACACACACACTGACCTGGAAACACACACACTGACCTGGAGACACACACACTGACTGACCTGGACTGAAACACACACACTGACCTGGAAACACACACACTGACCTGGAGACACACACACTGACCTGGAGACACACACACTGACCTGGAAACACACACACTGACCTGGAGACACACACACTGACCTGGAAACACACACACTGACCTGGAAAACACACACACTGACCTGGAGACACACACACTGACCTGGAAACACACACACTGACCTGGAGACACACACACTGACCTGGAAACACACACACTGACTGGACACACACACTGACTGACACACACACTGACCTGGAAACACACACACTGACCTGGGACACACACACTGACCTGGAAACACACACACTGACCTGGAGACGCACACACACTGACCTGGAAACACACACTGACCTGGAAACACACACACTGACCTGGAGACACACACACTGACCTGGAAACACACACACTGACCTGGAGACGCACACACACTGACCTGGAGACACACACACTGACCTGGAGACACACACACTGACCCGGAGGCACACACACTCACCCGGAGACGCACACACTGACCTGCAGACACACACACACTGACCTGGAGACACACACACTGACCTGGAGACACACACACACACACTCACCTGGACACACACACACTCACCTGGAGACACACACACACTGACCTGGAGACACACACACTGACCTGGAGACACACACATACTGACCTGGAGACGCACACACTGACCTGGAGAGACACACACACACACACTGACCTGGAGACACACACACACACACACACACACACACTGACCTGGAGACACACATACATACTCACCTGGAGACACACACACATTGACCTGGAGACGCACACACACACTGACCTGGAGACACGCACACATTGACCTGGAGACGCACACACACACTGACCTGGAGACGAACACACACTGACCCGGAGACGCACACACACACTGACCTGGAGACACGCACACTGACCTGGAGACACACACACACACACACTGACACTGACCTGGAGACACACACACTGACCTGGAGACACACACACACACACACTGACCTGGAGACGCTGCTGCCCCAGGACACTTTGGAGGCCTGGCTCTTGAGTTTGGCGTAGCCCCGTCGTAGGGTGGGCGCAGTAGACGGAGAGCAGGGCGCAGCCGGGGGGTCGTCCAGATCCTCCTGAGACGAGAGGGTGTTCTGACGCGACATCCAGCTCTCGTAGAACTGTTTCACACTCTCCTGGCTCACCTCTTTACCCTGGGGAGGCCACACAAGAAGATCCGCTGAAAATACTCCTACTAGGATACATGATGAATACAACAACTGAGGGTCAATATTTACTGTGGGTACTTTTACTTTGAAATATCTCATTGCAAATGGATTTATGATTTACGTTTTGATAACAGGATTCACCTCCGATTGTGGAGGAAAGCAGGGGGCGAGCTTTATTTTTTCCTTCCTGTGCCAGCGGAGGTCAGGTTTAATAATCCCAATATCTGCTGGCTGGTGGTTTTAAACAATCTCCATTTTAATAATTTTAGCTATTTTTAATATTCTTTTAATGGGTTTTTATCGTAAGTTTCATTTCTCTCCAGCAACTAGGTCAGGAATCAGAATACAATAGATGGTCCACAAAAACCCCGGAAGTGCAAGTTCAGGCACCCGACAATCAACGACGAGTCATTCTGTGTTGTCAACGATTCCCGAGATTGAGGATTTAAAGCCGGAACAAAGAGAATGTTTGGTGAAATTCATCAAGGGGAACGACGTTATTGTCCTTCTTCCTACGAGATTTGGGGAAAGCTTAATATACCAGTTATCCCTGTTAGCGGCGCATTACATACGTGACAGCGTGACATAGCAGCGATTGGTTAAATGATAAAAAGTACCTGCCTACTGTCGAGCAAACAAATACGAACACTGCGAGCTCAGACGGTTTCTATGAGGTGAAACGAAGTGAAACCGGCAGATGAATCAGGCTAGACCAGGGGTCGGCAACCCGCGGCTCCAGAGCCGCATGCGGCTCTTTAGCACTCCCCTAGTGGCTCCCTGGAGCTTTTTCAAAAATGAGTGAAAATGGAAAAGGAATGATTTTTTTTGGTTGTTGTTTTAATATGGTTTCTTTAGGGGTAAAACCCTCGTTCATCTCTGGTCATGGATCTGATCTATGGATCTGATCAGCTGTGTGTGCAAATGCAAACACATGAAAAGTGTTTCAGCAGAACAAATAGATGAGCTGAAGCAGGGGTGGTGTCCGGTGCCGCCACCTGAGAAGCGCTTTCCCCGAAAAAAAAACAAAAAAACATATGCACAGACGGACCCTCAGAACAACATATAACGAACCAAATGGGACGCGCTTCTATCCGGATACTTTGCACCACCTCGGAACCAGCCACGGTCGAGCGCGGAGGACTGGAGCAGCCCGCCTGGACCTGTGGTCCACAGCACATTCTCGCTTTTCTCGCATGGAACCAGCGCACAGATGACAGCACTGAAGCACTCAGACCCAGTCTTTTGCGTGCTGGTCTTGTTCGCCCCCGTCTGGAACCAGGACATGGAGGACGAAGCCTCCGGACAATCTGACCAACACTGGACCCACAGCCCCGTCTGGAGGAGCTGCGCGATGAGTGCTCCCGTGTGTTTGGCGCTGCTGCCCGAGTTCAGAGCTTCTTCTCCGGGCTGATGTTGCATATGAAGTTCTACATGGTGCTGTTTTATGAGTGCTCCTATGCACAATCAGAAGAAATGCGACTGCTGCTCTGAATGCTTCCATCATCATTGTCAAAGCAACAGGTAAACGTCAGTCGCACTTTCGGCGCATCAGCTCCTAAAACTCCATTTATCTCAGTTTACACGCAAACGTGAAACCGGAGTTTTCCAAAATCTCCACTCTAGCCGGAATTTTTAGAAAGATTCGTTTTCAGAGGTGAATTAGCTGTTTGCATGTAAACGATGTGTACAAACAAAGGGAAATGTCTCAGTTTTTAAAAATACCCATGTGCGTGTAAACGGGCCTAAATGACAAAGGGATAAACACTAACCACCTGATTTCAGTGGCTACAGATGGCGCACCGAGTATGAGAGGGTCGCAAAAGGGGTTTGTGTCATCATGAATGCTCATTTTGTATTTGTAGCCTACTTAGTCATTTTAATACTAGGCTTATATAGCTAATATACTGACAGCCTATGTTGCCTTCATATTAGGCTTATATAAGGCTTTTCATTTTGTGCGGCTCCAGGCAGGTATGTTTTTTGTTTTTTTGGGCCAATATGGCTCTTTGATCAGGGTGAAAAAATGCATAGCACACTCGGTTGGCCGATGTCCAAATACTATTTTTAAGTTGTATGAACAACTTAAAAACATCATAACTAAACATTGGCATATACTAAAAACTGACCCTTCATTGGGTGTGGCTTTCAAAGAGCACCCCCTAGTGGTGTATAAAAGAGGAAGAAACCTTGGAGATAGACTTGTGCACTCCTACATTCCTCCTAATCAAACCACATCATACCAAACTATACTGACTCCTATTCCTGATGGAAATCGTCGATGTGGTGGGTGCAGTCAGTGTAACTACACATATCGCTGCAACAGTTTTAAGCACCCTCACACTGGTAAAGAAATAACGATCAAAGGAATTATATCCTGTAATACCAAGTCTGTGATTTATATGGTCACCTGCCCCTGTGGTAAAGCTTATGTGGGTAAAACCAGCAGGGCTTTAAAAACACGGATTGCAGAGCATAGGAGTACAATCAGATGTAAAAACATGAACTATCCTGTGGCGGCTCATTTTGTTGATTTTAACCATCCTATCTCTTCCTTAAGATATATTGGCATTGAACATGTGGAACTGCCCCCTAGAGGTGGTAATCTAGAGATGCTCCTGTCAAAAAGAGAGCACTTCTGGATTCACCATCTTAAAACTCTTACTCCTCATGGACTGAATGTGGAGTTTGATTTAAGATGTTTTTTGTGATAGACAAACTATTTTTGTATTTTATAAAATGTTTTTTTATGTAAACTGTTGTTTCTTGTTGTAGAATGGGCTGAACTCACTGGGTGACCTCACTTTGGGACCTCCCATTCATTGAGTGGGTATATGGGCACCTGGGCTGGCAACCATTTTGTGTGCTGTGGTCCAAGACAAGAAAAATCTGATGAAGGCTTTTTTTGCCGAAACGTTATTTTGTTAATAAAATAGTATTTGGACATCGGCCAACCGAGTGTGCTATGCATTTTTTCACCCTGATCTGGCTACTCCTTGCATTTGCACCTCTGCAGGAATCTTGGTGTGCGTTTTCTGTTTCTTTTTATCCAATATGGCTCTTTGAACATTTTGGATTGCTGACCCCTGGGCTAGACCTTTTCCCCCCCGAGTGTTTACATTTTTAAGGTAGGATAGGTATCTTTTAAATCGGGGTTTTTAACATGGTTTTAATCCTTGGTTTTAACAATAATCTGTCCTTTTATCATAGAATTTTGGTCTGCTACTCTTTTTTTGTTTAGTTTTATCGTGTTTTACTGTTTTGTGTAGTATAGTTTTTTAAATGTAGTATATTTTAGCTCTATTGCACATTTTAAATAAACGTGTGTTTTATCGTTGCTTTTAATTTCAGTTCTAGTTTATGTTCCCGGGTCGTGCTTGGGAGGGGTTTAGCCCGTACCTTTTTGTTTGCACTTGGGTTTTAAGTTATTTTAGATGTGATTGCATGGTAGCCCTTTCTCTTTTGTTCTGGGTGGGGCTGCCCTCTCTCAAGTCATCCTTGTTTGGTTAAGTTGTAACATTTATTTCTGTTTTTTCAGATTTGGTTTTATCATTTTAACCCTCCACCTGGCTCTTTTATAGAATAAATCCTTTTATATTTCTACCTGCCCTTCTTTCAGTCTTTAATACATTTTAATTATACATTTTAAGTCACATCTCTGTCCTTTTTATTTTACCTGTGGCCTTGGTCATTTTATGTGTTTTATTTATCTATTTATTGAAATAGATGGGTACCTAAGGTCACACAAGTTCACATGAGAATTGACAAAAAGACTGAAATATAAACTGACAAACTAAAACAAGAATCACTTTTCAGATCATTTTGTACAGGTTTGCAGTTTTTATGCAGAATAAGACAGGAGATTATGTGATGGAAATGATGGTACTTTAAATATTGCATTGTGCTAACTGTGTCCATCTAAATAGTGAAGCTGATTCGATTGTGATTGATCTTGTGACCCCATTTTATTGATCCCTCCCTCTGCATTTGATCCATTTTCAACAGCCTGTCAGGAGCAGTCAGCTGTGAGCTGTAGCGCTCAGGGACCAGTCTCTAGATCTTGAGCAAGGCTTGGTCTGGAGATTTTACCGATGGTGCATTTTTTGAGCCTGACTATGTGGAGTCTGCATGTTTCTCCCTGCGTTTACTAACCGATTCCACTAACCATTCTGCTACTTATTAGTTTTTTACAGTACTTTTTTGGGATAGTGATCTTTTCTTAATATGTCACACTTCACATTTCACTTTCAGACATTCACTGTGGAGTGCCCCAAGGGTCAGGTTTTGGGCCTCTACTTTTTTCAAATCATCTGTTGCTTTTCGGATCAATTCTCCAAAAACACAATGTATCATCTCATTTTTATGCAGATGAGTTCAGTTGTACGTGCAGCTGAACCAGTCTAATTCTCTTGTGGAGTGCTTGGATGAAGTCAAGGCATGGATGGCTTCTAACTTCCTGCACTTGAATGAGAAAAAACAGAGGTAACGTTGTTCTCTCCCAGTGGTGCCGCTGTGGTTGCTCCTACACAGTTGGGCTCCTTATCCCAGACCGTGAGTAGTCAGGCTGGCGCCACCTAGTGCCTCCACTCAATTTAATTTCTCTCCAGCGACTAGGTCAGGAATCAGAATACACTAGATGGTTTGCAAAAACCCCGGAAGTTGTAGACCGCGCACCGGCCAATCAGTGAAGAGCTGTGAAGCCATGACGTCAAACTCAAGCATCTGTCTGGGTCCCTTTTGTGGAACAGCACAACAGTAAACAAAGCATCGAGATGGATGTAGACGAAGACAGACATTCTGTGTTGGCAACGATTCCCGAGATCGAGGATTTAAAGCCGGAACAAAGAGAATGTTTGGTGAATTTTATCAAGGGGAAAGACGTTATTGCCCTTCTTCCTACGGGATTGGGTGCAACACATACGTCACGACTAAATAGCAGTAATTGGTTAAATCAGGGGTGTCAAACTCATTTTGGTCCGGGGGCTGTGTCCAACCTACTTTGATCCCAAAGGGACTGGGGAAAAAAAAGGCATATATACCCCAAAAATAGCAATAACTTCAAATATTTGTGCAGAGAAACGCAAATCTATTACAGAAATCCTTATTAATTGATGAACTCTTTATTTTACAAAATATTAAAAAAAACTATAAAAAAAAAAATGCAATTTCAACACAATGTTTTTAGCATTAACTTGTATGCAAATAGGAATAAGTCTATTTTTCTTGGAAAATCCTGCACTCGGCGTCCACTTTTCTCATTTTGGACATTTTGCTGATGAGGGTGTCATGGTCAACAGTCAAAACAATCGTTCTTTAAGAGCGTTTGGAAAGAGACAAGTCTTCATTTGTGCTGCTCTGGTGGGAGGGGCCACGTACAGAGACGCTGGAGACGCTGCTATGCTCAGCACTGCAGAAAATTACCAATATTTTAATAGAAAATATAATTAAAATATTTTAGTAGAAAATCAGCTCAGGGCCAGATTAAAAGGTCTTGGAGGGCCAGATCCGGCCCACGGGCCGTATGTTTGACTCCCCTGGATTAAATTTTAAAAAGTACCCGCCTACCATCGAGTGAACGAATCCTAATGCTGCAAGGTCAGACAGTTTTACACTACTATTTTCACTACACTACTATCATTTCTTTCTTTCTTTCTCTTTATCCTCTTTAGTTTAGTTTGAGTGTTTGAGTTGTGTGTTTGTGTGTGACCTTCTTGAGTTGTTGGTTGAGGAGAGCTCTCTCAAACAGCAGCACTTTGGAGATGTCCAGGTTGTCTTTGCAGAATGAATTGAGTCCCTCGGTCAGATCATCCATCAGAGACTGAATGAATGCGAAGCCGAACTTCACGGTGCTGATCACACGCTGGAGGAGGTTTTCTGGAGATACAACAAACAAATCATGTATTATATTTATTTACTTGAACTTTTTGAACGGTTCCTTAACATGAACTGTTGGAACCGGATCTCAGTTTTTAATTCTGAACCAACACAAGAATTGATCAACTGGTAATGTAGGATGTGTTCGGTCCTAGTGCACTTACCTTTCTCTTCTGGTGCCTCTTCATCCATCGTGGTTTCATCAAGTTCATCCTCACTGGAATCAGCTCTTTCAAGACCTGCAAAGTCAAAAGTAAAATTCTTCTGTGCCATTTTATTATTTATGTGTGTGTGGAAACTGGTTCAAAGGTCATTTATTGAGCAAAATTGACTTTTGTGAGAGTTAAGCCAAGTTATAATGCTTTTACATCATCAAAAAACACACCTGGAGCTGTATTTTGTTTCATTCACACATGTTTGAGTAACTCTACATTATTATTCTGTCTGGATCCCCAAAGCTCAAAATGCTCAGCTCCAACTTGTGATGTCATGAAGCAGTAGTTTTAAGTAAACAGCACCTTTTGCCCTTTAATTCAGTCGAGATTGGCAATCCCAGGGCTGAAATTATCCAAATGACTCTAGAGTTAAACATGAGCAAATGAAACAAAACACAATTCTGTATGTTTCTGATGAGGAGGTGGCCCAACGTGGTCAGAGTAGGAGGCAGGTTAAAACCAAAAAAAGAGTCTTTGACCAGACAAATATTTCCAGACTTCTGGAGTTAACGCAAAACCTAAATCAAAAGCACCAACACCATACGCCCATCTGGAAGTCTCTTTTAACTGAGTGTTTAACAAAAACTATAGAGTGTGTTGAAATAACTATAAAATAACTATAAAACCACAAAAACCATATACAGAAAACTAATGAAACAGAACTTAAACCAATTCTTCCTCCACATGGTCCAGCCCACGACCTCCTCCCAGGTTTTAAAAATGAGGTACACCCCCTTTTTTGTCTGGACCATGTGGAGCTGCAGGTAAATATGGTGAATATGGAAAATAAAATGAATTAACAAATAAAGTATATTTAAATTAACAATGTCTAACAAAAAGAAGCAAGAATTATTGTAACTGTATAGTTGGATATGGTAACAAATTAATGTGTGAACTTAAACAAATGAGAGTTTAAAATGTTAGTTTTAATTGGGACCAAGGCCCACTTTGTCACAATGAGGAAACATAAGTCATAAAATAGTGTAATATGGGCCTTTAAGCGAAAAACATATATGACATTTACAACTGTTAAAGTCCCTGTACCTGATTGTCTTTTCCATATATTTAAAATAAGTCTTGCCCCAGTACAGATATATTGTATAAGCAGCTCTGGAAGTGTTTGCATCTCACTATAAACCCTTTTATTGCTCAATAATCAAGAAGTGCACTGTTAGCATGCTCAGAATGCATAAGGTCAGTGAGGAATAACTTCGGACCACTGCAAAAATGATCTGTTTTTGCTTTTCACGTTCTGTAGATCAGTGTTTTCCAAAGAATGGGTCACAAGAGATTTTTTTGGGGGGTTGCCTTGTCACGATCTGCATGTAAGTCTGTGCATGTAATTTTCTGTGCTCACAAAAAGACAAAGCACAGAAACAGACTGAATGCTGTGCCTGATCTGCACCCGGACTGGAACGTGATACAAAAAAACAGACAGGTCCACCTATGTCACTAGAAATGTTGAAAAGTTAAGACATGTTTGTATCATTTCTGCTTGTATAATTTTTCTTTTTGTAGTTATTTTATTGATTGTTTTGTTCCAATGTTGCTGGTTCAATTGAATGTTGAAAAGAAAAAGAAATGGGCCAGATTTAATGTCCAAATAGGCGACTTATGGATCCTTTTATTGCTGCTTCAATTTCTGTTTTTCATTGTTTAAAACTTGAGTAAAACTAATTGTTCAGAGACACGACCAGTCAGCAATAAAATATTCTCATTAATGTTCAATAATGGTCAAATCCAGGAGTAAACCAGGACTACACCAGGTCTAAACCAGGTCTAAACCAGGTCAAATCCAGGACTAAACCAGGACTACACCAGGTCTAAACCAGGTCTAAACCAGGTCTAATCTTGGACTTAAGAGGGAGAAGCTTGAGCCCACGGAGCAGGGTGTCTGCAAAGCGCTACCGGGCGGCAGCTGCGCTTTCCTCCATGAGGTGTGGAACTCTGCGCGGGTCCATTCGCCTTCTCCCTCCTTTCTCCTTTAGTCCTAGTTCAGTCCTGGTTTAGTCCTCCTCTTCAGTCCTGGAATCAGTCCTAGGTTAGTTCTGGGTTAGTCCTGGTTTAGTTTTGGTTCAGTCCGTGGAGTGTGCAAACGCAAAAGTTTGATATAATCTCGGGTAACAGGCGGGTGCAGTGCTGTACTGCGTGGGTGCGAGTCTCCAACAATGGACTCGTGCATGACTCTGTGCTGTTGGGCTCCATTACAGAATAAATTAATCTTCGGTTCGTTAAATAAAGAAGAAAATAACAAAAGGACGACAGCAGCAATAAGTTTTAAGAAGGATGTAAAAAAGTGTTGTTAAGGTCCTGTGTGAGTATGTGGTGAGGGGTTTTACAGACTTAAAACAGATATAATAATTGTAAAATATAAAGCTGCTTTGTGGAATAAAACTCGATTCGTATTTTGTTGAAGGTAAAGTTTTACAGGTCAATTCAAACGTGTTAAATGTAATCGTCCTCACCCTGTAGTTTTTGCATCTCTTTCTTGGCTTTCTTCTTTTCCTCTTTCTTCATCTTTTTCTTCTCTTTTTTCAGGTCTTTCAGGGCGTTTTTGGAGCTGGTCACCCACGCTTCATAAGCCAACTGCAGATGTGTCAAACATGTATGTGTGTTAAATGTAATATTCTAACATTTATAATCAGTATATTTGTTCTAATTTACCTGAAAAGCAGATTTTTTCTTGGGGGGCTGCTCTTCCTCTTTTTTCTCTGTGACCTCCTCCTCCTCTTCTTCACTGTCACTTTCAAACAGGTGATACCCACAGTTGTTTTCCACTGTTCAATGCAAAAAGGTAAAAAGAGCACAGATATAATGAGCTAAATGTATAAACTGTATGATACTGTAAATATTGTTATTTCATATATTGTTTATTCACACCTCCGGGCTTTGAGACCCAAGGCTTCCACCACTTCCCTGCATCTCTTTTTGCTTTTTCCTCCTCATCTGGATTAATAAAAGAAACATATTGGATGCTGAAGTCAAACAGAAGCAGAGTCTCATGATGATTTAAACCTCACCTTCTGCAGACTCCTCTGGTCCAGGCTCTTCTTTCGGGGCAGGTCGACCCTTCTGTTTAGATTTTATTTTCTCCATTCTCGAAGGTAAACATAATGAAGTATTTTTAACAATTTAATATTAATATAACTTAACAAATGTTCTTTCTTTTGTTCTTACTGTTTCTTGAGCGTGGCCACAGACTTCTTCTCCACCTCCAGACGAGCAGCCACTAACTTCTTCACCTTTGCTTCAAACAGTTCAGCACCTCTAAAGTAAAATAAAAGACACACTCACTGTCCATTGTCTGGGCTTCTGCTGTGAATGCTCACATCCCCTGTAAGTGTGAGGCACTGCTTAGACATTTAGGCTGAATCCCATTACACCCCTTGGTCATACCACTTTCCCCTACCCCTCCGTTTTGCACGTTCACAGGCTATACACCCCTCCAAATGAGGATTTTTTAGAGGCACAGTCCAAATGGAGGGGTCTGAGCAATTTCTTAGAATGCCTTGCGAATCACCGGCAAAGATGGCAAAAGCTTGTTGCATCTGGTTACATAAAAGCTGGTGGAGACGACTGATGACGTATGTGATTGTTGAAGGGGTGTCCCAATTCATAGGGGTTTACTCTAAACCCAAGGGTAAGGGGTTGGGGTAGAAATTAAAAATGGGATTGGCCCTTAATGTACACATTAATGCAGCGCCTGGAGGTGTCTGAAAACTCCAACATAATGACTCTGACCAATGTTCAAATGAGCTCATGCCATTATACCTCTGCTCTGAGGACACACTGGGCAAAGAAACTCTGCACTTTTTAATGAACTTTATGGACTAATTTGTGTGCTGTGTATGTTTTTTTTTTTTTTTGTTTTTTGTATCAGTTTTTTCTTTTAAACTATGGAGCGGATAATATTTGTGTCTAAAATAAATAATAATAATAACTGATTCACTCCAAACTGTGTGGTGGTAAGCTACTATTGTACACAGTTGCCCTGAGGCAGACTGACAGAAGCAAGACTGCCAATCTGCGCCATCTGCCTTTAAGATCACCACCAACACTCACTCATGCACCACATCCATACTCGGTCTTGCCTATCTTCAGATTGAAATTTCATGCAATCAAGGTATAAAACTGTCATATCAAAACTATTACTTTTATAATATTTTAAAATAATTTTACATGCACACACCTTTAGGGCATAAACAACATTGTCCTAAATGTGGTTTAAAAAGGCAATGAAAAACATAAATCCCATCTATTATGTAGCAGTACAGATCCTATGGCAGTACAGACCTAGTCAGGCTGGTGCCATCTAGTTCCTCCGCTCAATTTAATTTCTCTCCAGCAACTAGGTCAGAAATCAGAATACACTAGATGGTTCACAAAAACCCCAGAAGTGCGAGCTCGGGCACCAGCCACCAGACATTATTGTCCTTCTTCCTATGGGATTTGTGAAAAGCTTAATATACAAGTTAGCCCCGTTAGCGGTGCATTACGTACGTCACAACCAAATAGCAGAGACTGGTTAAATGAAAAAAGTACTCGCCTACTGTTGAGCAAACAAATCCTAATGCTGCGATGTCAGATGGTTTCAACGAAGTGAAACCGGCTGATGAGTCAGGCTAGTACAGACCCTAACAGAGCAGTACAGACCTGGAGGCCAGTATCTTGGAGGACTTGAGGTCTGACACCACGTAGAGGAAGTAGTAGCTGAGAAACACCCTCCTCTGGGCCAGGAGCACCGTGAAGCAGATGGCGTCCCACACGATGCCCGCCTCCCCCTCGGGCAGCTCACACTCATCATCAGGGTCAGCTGGAAAACAGACATCAAAACCATCACAATCTCCAAAAAGGAAAATCGAAACAACAACCTAATTTCAGCCTAGGTTTTGGGCGTATATGGCATCCAGATTTACCTAAAGCTTAGGCCTGACTGAGCGACACTTACGGACGTCGTATCCTTTAATGGTGCAGAACATACTGAAGGCTTGAATGAGCCAGCAGCCGTTCTTCAGCAGACTGTCCAGGTACGCACAGGAGCCCAACTGAACACACACAGAGAATCAGACATATTTCATTGCACAAAACAAGTTATTAAAGAGCACTGTACGTGATTTTACTGTCTTCAAAACGTGAATAATGCCGTCATGGTGCATTTTTAGGCATGTAATAGACTAGGGATGTAACAATAACTGAAATATCATGATATTGTATCATCAGAGTCATCACAATATATCTAATTACAAGTCTCTTTGCTTAAATTATGAGTTATGGGTTAAAAAAGTTTTAAAAAGACAGCGGGAACTACATAGACCATGATCCTTTGCGCCATTTCAGTGCAGACTATAAGAAGAAATAACAGTTCTAAGCACTTTTAAGTCTTGTCAAGGCATTTTAAGAAAAAAAAAAAAAAAAAGTGGCATATTAACAGTTTTAGCTGTTTAGCCTCCACAAAATATTGCAAAAAAATTCGTACCGTGAGATGTGTATCGTGAAAATATCGTACAGAGAGATTTGGATATTGTTACATCCCTAATCGTGAGTCTCCCCAACATATCGTGAGTTTTCCCACGATATCGCAATAAATATTGTACCATGAGGTTCATTCCGTGACAATATCGTATCGTGAGACTTGGATATCGTTACACCCCTATAATACACTTTTTTCACAACGGCCAGAAGAGCTGCGATGTAGGGTAAACATCACGTACGTCAATGCTTTTCTATGGTAAAATATCTGTGGAAATGTCTGGCGTATATTCCACCAGCTTCATAAATCTGCCCCATCACCAAATCTTCATCCTACAAAGTTCACAAAGGATAAACATTCTTCACTCCTATTACTCCTGTACCACTGTCACTTGAAAGTTTGGAGTGAGCAAAAAACTTGTGAGGGACGGTGGAATGCGAGAATGGAGAACACAGCTTCACGGTAACCGGGCTGATGCACCATGAAACTTTCCTGAAGTCACTGGATGGATGGACAAAGCCTGAACTTCAGTGAAACTGAAACCATCCTGTCGGGATTCAAAAAGGCCCGAATAATTCTAACTGGAATTGATGCTGAGTCTGACGACAGCGACACAGAAGAGGAAGCGGCGCTCTATTTACCTCCGGAGGTCGAGGCCGAGTTACTCAGAAGTGACACAGAAAATGAAGAATTGAATGGATTTAGTGATTTGGAGTGAGATCTAGAGTTTGGTAAACTTGTTCTGTTCTGTTGTTTATGTTATATTTATCTGAAGAACTGTTCATATGTGACGTTAACAGTCTGTTGTTCTCTGTTCTGTTGTTATTACTAGAACTTGCCTTTTCAAGATGAAATGTCAGTTCCTGGTCTCTGATTTTATAAAATAAATTTCCCCCCAAAAGTGCGACTTATAGTCCAGTGTGATTTATATTCCGGAAAATATGGTTTTATTTGTGACCATAAAGTTAGTTTTGCTCAGGAGTAGTTCACTAATGTGTCGTCGTTGTTCGCCTTTAAGTTTTCGTCTTTCTTATCTTGATAGTTGTGGATAAATTACTTCATGGACAGAATATGTCCTTTGTCAGTCTTGTTGGATGAAGATTTGGTGATGGGGCAGATTTATGAAGCTGGTGAAAAATACGTGAGACATTTCCACAGATATTTTGCCATAGAAAAACATTAACTGAAAGTCTATTATTCACCTCAATGAGTTTATAATGAGTTTATAAGTACTTCACAACTTTTTTGAGGCATCACATCACAATAATGCATGTCAATTAATTGAATTGTTTATTACATGTAGACAGAAGACAGCGGCGTAAGAGCAAATTTGACCATATATCTTTACTGCAAGACATATTTTACTTTATTACATGAAACAAAAGTCAAGTACAGCCCCTTTAAATGGAATTACTCGAAATATTAATGCATTCTTTGAACACTGGAAAACAGGTATCGAAAACATCAGAATCTCCAAAAAGGAAAATCGAAAAAACAACCTAATTTTGGGCCCAGGTTTTGGGCGTATATGGCATCCAGATTTACCTAAAGCTCAGGATGTCGTATCCGTTCCTTCTTTGAATAAAAACAGACTCACAGACAGCAGGTTCTTCATGGCGATGACGAAGCAGGTGTATCCTATGAGCCAGTCCCACAGTCTGAGGATACAGCGCACAGGCTGCATCAGGACGCTGCCCCCGAATAGCATGAAGTAGAAACAGGCCACTAAGTATCCCAGGCAGAAGATGTTAATGCGCGTGGTGCCCGTGATGAAGATGAGGCACAGCACCAGCCAGAAGAAATAACTGAATACAAACACTTTCACCATGTCCAGGTAGGATCTGCAAAGAGGAGGGAGAGTGAAGTTAACTGTAAACCAGAGGAGAATGCATATGACAAGTTTGACTCAGAGAACCTGGAGCAGTCTTCAAGAACATGTGACACTTTTGCTCTGACTGTGTTTAAATCCAGGCTCAAAACAGTTCTGTTTAGCTCCATATGAATAAAAAGTTTTTATCCCACACGCTTCTCTTTTAATGTTTATTTTGTAGTGATTACTTATGTTTTTATTTGTTGGTATTGCATGTTTTCATTTGTTTGCATTGTATTGTATTGTTGTACTGCTTTTATGTATAGATTTAATTATTTTTGTTAATTGATTTTATTATTATTATTTTATTAATTGATTCTATTAGTTTCCTCATGGTTGAAAAATAATTTATTAGATTTTGTCTGTCTTGTTAGTCTTGTTTATAAAATGTGCTATAAAAATAAATAAAGTTGGATTGGATTGGTTGTATTATATATACCGTATTTTCCGCACTATTAGGCGCTCTGGATTATATATAATATATTATATTGAATGGTCTATTTTCAAACTTTTTTCACAAATAAACCACGTGGGACTTTAAAGGAAACACAACAGTTGGATGGGTCAGTGGGACTTTGTTTGGTGCGTTCACGGTGACTCTGGGCTTTGTTCAGTTGTGGCGTGTAGGGAGGGTGCTGTCTGGGACCGCTGGATTGTTGGCGTGTTCACAGTGACTCAGTTGTTCAGTTGTGTCTAGAAGTGGCACATTGCACTCGCTTTTTCGGTTCGTTCCTCCGTTCCTCGTCGGCGTGGAGTGATGAGTGTGTCTGTATGTGTTTTTCGCTGTGCGGTCGCTGTCTGCTCCGTGCGTGTACAAAAGGCCCTTTGATTTCCATGTTCATGTTCGATAAGTTTTCTGGTTTAGTTGTAACCTGTGGAGGGTCCAGTAGAGGGCGCTCTTACCTCCTAAATTGCCTAAGTAGTGACTGGGAAAACGTGGTTCCTGTAACTGGAGTTTACTTTAGATTTTGCAGATTGTCATTTGGAAGTGTGCGTTTATGACCACAGTAAGTTTGTACCTTATTATGATGTTGTATTATGTGTCTTGTTTCCTATTACTGTTTGATTGTGTAAGGTGTTATGTTAGAGGGGGACTAAGTGAATTTATATTTGTGTAGCTTGTATGTTTGTTGTTTATTACTGACAATTAGTAATTGAATGTTTTATTTCTGTTTATTCCTAGAGACCACACACATGCATACCCACTTATGATCACCCCCGTCAATGTGTACCTCCTTATGTCAAATATAAGAACCTGAACGTCGCCATTTGTCTCCTCATTGCCTCCTCCTGCTGAGTATTCATCTGGGCCTTAAGAGGTGTTCTGGCCGACAGCCCAGAGCAGTGACAGCTTTACACCTGAACCAGTGCCTACAGTCCACTCTAGTTAAAGTTCCTACAACAGTGCGTGTTTGCGTGTTCTGTGGGCTTTGTAGTTTACTGAAGTCGTGCTGGGACACCCGAGTGGATTCGTGTATAGGGTGCTCTGGATTGTGGTGCGCACAGTCGTTTTTTGATGAGGTTGGAGACTTTTGAGTGCGCCCTATAGCCCGGAAAATACAATATTCTGTGTAAAGTAATTTGAATTACTTTGTGCAATTGTGCTATACAAATAAACTTGCTTTGCCTAAACTGTATAAAGAAGTGGACTAAGGAGAGTGACATCACCCACAGCATTCAGCCTCAGTCAAGTGAAGCTCATGAGGACATGAAGTTAGAGGAGCTAGTTCCATGTTACAAATAGGAATTTATTTACAGATAAAATAGTGAAATGAAAACACCAGGACCATGTAGAGCAGGTTAATAGGAACATTTTAAAACCAAAAATATTATAAAAGCTCATTCAGAACTAATTTATAGCCATATGCATTGCTTGTAAAATGGCCAAAAAATCATTTACAACATTCAAGACAAGACAAACTAACCTTTCACATTGTCTTGTCTCACTTTGTCTTTCAAAGTGCTTCAACCATTTAACATTTTCAACAACAAAATAGAAATGTAAATACATCTTATGAGAGAGAGAAAGAGCGAGAGAAAGCAAGAGTGCGAAAGAGAGAGAGAGAGACAGAGAGAGAGAGGAGGGAGAGAGAGAGAGGTTGCACTGCAGACAGGTTGAGTACGCAAAAAATAGGCTAATGAAACCTTTCTACAAAAAATTAGACTTGGACAATATAGACTTTTTAAGGCTTTAATTCAGGAACATTAAATTTAAGACCTTTTTAAAACATTTAAAACCCCGCGGCTACCCTGTATAACTGTATTTAGGATCATGGTGAAGCTTTTTAATTTTATTTCCAGACTGAACACCATACGAACTAGTGACCATATAGTAAACAAGGCCAAAGCTCGTCTGATTTACACAAGAGTGTGTGAACAAAGATTTGACAAATAAAAATATATTTCAGCAGCTTTTAAAGTACTTTTTATCCACCCAGTCAGATGCCCCTGATTCTAATCAAATTTAATATTTCATGAGAAAAAATAAGTACATTTGAGGCAATATATTTGACAGTATATAAAACGTCAATATACTACAACTTGGTCCAGTCCATGAAGGATTTTAGAGCACACCCAGACCTCACTCTGACCTGATAAACTCTACATTTGTTATTTCTTTCAACAACATTCAGTAACAATAAGATCTTATCGTGAGCGTCCATCTTCTGAAGGCTAATGTAATATTCACTGCACCTTCTAATCTTCCCCGTTCTGTGAATTTAAGTTGTGTTTTTACAACCCAGACATAATGCATCATCAGCGCTTACCCAGCAAACCCGGTTTAACAGGAACAGCTCTTCTCCCAACTCTAAGCACACATGAATTAAAGATCGACTCCTTCATATCGTCCAATTAAAAAGCACAAACTGAAGCAATGGAGTTTCCATTTGCTGCTGCGGCTCCGGCAAAACAGACATAAAGACCTCAGAGAAGTAAACCGAATGCTCTGGTTCAAATATCTCTGGAGTGAATGTGATCAAACATCGATACTTTATAGTGACATGATCCTGGGGACTACTACATGTATGTCTATGGAGGAATGTTCAGCAGTTACCATGGTGACACAATGTAAACATTAGCAAACGCTGGACAAATTCAATATGGATTTAAACAACACAATTCAGGAGCCTCTTCATGATCCTGTTTATGTTTTTGATTTTTCATTTCTAAGTTGTTGTTTTTTTTGGTTGTTTTTTTTCCTAAAATTTGGCCCTATGTTCTCACATTTCCTTTATCATCAATTTGCACCAGATTTTATCCCAATTTCTCCCAATTTGGTCATCATTTACTCCCAACGTTTTATCCATGAGCAGCAGCTGAATACAGATGTAATAAAGAGGTCATGGTGCAAAGGATCCTAGGTTGAAATGACTCCGAATTATCCCTTTAAATGCAAAATAAAAATAAAAATGATTTGAATTGGAGTTTCATTTTGAGAAAAATCTTAGAAATAAATAAAATCTTAGAAATGAGGGAACATAGGGCTGTGGGAAAATAGGGCTGACCCCGTACAGCTGACCTATTGTAGTTCCAGCGAAGTTATTCATGGTCAGAATGTGTTAGAATCATAAACTGTATATATAATAATCATAAACTGCATAATATAAATGGAAAGAGCTAACATTCTAGCCGCTACGTTCCAAATAAGAAGTAACCAAGGGCGCTTCCATCTCCATTGACTCAAACTAACTATTTATATACTATTTATAACCTCATCATTTCAGTCTTAAAATATTAGTTTCAATCTGCTGTACATGATCCTGATGTTTTTATTTCAATATTTTTTCAGATTAATAAATTCTTGTTCCTAATACAGAACCCTGCTCCAAATTCTTCCTTAAACTGCAGCCTCGGTGAACATCATTTGACTTCAGCAAAACACCACAGGTAAAACACAGCTTCACTCACCGAGCTAAACTGATGATAGTATCTGCTGCAGAGTATTAGGACAGGCTCAGAGGGAGTTCAGACAGAGCTGGAGCGTCTCAGGTGAGAGTTACCTGCAGTGGAGGAAGTTGTCAACTGGGATGAACTGGTTGAAGGAGCAGGGGTCCAGGCTGCGGCTGATCTCCACGTTATCTCCGGCCAGAAGTCGGATCGCCGCTCGATTCTCCTCCTCGAAAACCTGCCACTGGAGCGAGGCACAGATCAGCAGCATGTAGTCGTCTGTAAAGAGAGAGCGTGTTTAGTAAAATGTATTTGTGTTTAAAGGGCTCATATTACGCTATTTTCTGATCTATGGATTATTTGTTTATCAGCACAGTGGATGTTTGCGCAGCCTTAGTGCAGAAAGAGCCGCTGTCTGTGTGGTTTACATGAAGTTGCAACACTAACTAGCATTAAAACAGTTTATCGCCCTGTGATAAAATAAGTTACGATGCTAAATGAACATTAATGAGTGGGATAGTCTTCATGACCCATATGCGTTAAATGTAGGTGCAATGCATGAAAACAAATGATAGGTTACTTGATTAACAAATCCATTGCCTTTCTAAGATGATTCTTTAGTGGATAACAGCGATGTAGAAGTTTGTAGCAGATTTCCCTTTGCTTGTTTGCTTGTCCGCACATTTTTCCATGGAATATTGTCAGTAGAGTCGGGGTCTCACAGCGCAGGAGTAGGGCTCCGTTTGGGAGGACCACTTGTGGTGATAGTCGCTCTTTTTCCACGGTGATTCATTATAAGGCAAGTATAACTGAAGATGAAGCCAAGTAAGTTCCTTGCTTGAGGTTTGGAGGCATAAACAGACTCATTATGCAGGATTACTCAACATTGTTGGGCAAATTACTTCAAAATTGTAATGTGATATTTATGACTTGTTTTGGTCATTTCAAAGTGATTCGTAACTTTACAATATTACTGTGTTTAAAATGTAAAATATTCCATTACCATTGCAGCACTTTTAAGTTACTCTCACCAAAATAACTGTGAAGATGCTGAACTTTTGCGCTGTATATGGACTGAACCAGGACTAAACCAGACCTGAACTGGGACTGAACCAGGACTGAACTGAGGACTGAATAAGGACTAAACCAGGACTGAAACGAGGACTGAACCAGGACTAAAATAGGACTAAACCAAGACTGAACTAAGACTAAAACAGGTCTAAACCAGGACTAAACCAGACCTGAACCAGGCCTAAACTAGGTCTAAACCAGGACTGATCCTAGAACTAAACCAGGGGTAAACCAGGTCTAAACCAGGTCTAAAGCAGGACCAAACCAGGACTAATCTTGGTCTAGAACAGGGGTCGGCAACCCAAAATGCTCAAAGAGCCATATTGGCCTAAAAAAAACCAAAACCATACCTGCCTGGAGCCGCAAAAAATTAAAAGCCTTATATAAGCCTAATATGAAGGCAACATAGGCTGTCAGTATATTAGCTATATAAGCCTACTATTAAAATGACTAAGTAGGCTACAAATACAAAATGAGCATTCATGATGACACAAACCCCTTTTGCGACCCTCTCATACTCAGTGCGCCATCTGTAGCCACTGAAATCAGGTGGTTAGTGTTTATTCCTTTGTCATTTAGGCCCCGTTTACACGCACATGGGTATTTTTTAAAACGGAGACATTTCGCTGAGTTTGTATCGTTTACACGTTAATTCGCCTCTGAAAACGAATCTTTCTAAAAACTCCGGCTAGAGTGGAGATTTTGGAAAACTCCAGTTTCACGTTTGCGTGTAAACTGAGATAAACAGAGCTGACGCACTGAAAGTGCGACCGACGTTTACCTGTTGCTTTGACGACGATGATGGAAGCATTCAGAGCAGCAGTCGCATTTCTTCTGATCGTGCATAGGAGCACTCATAAAATAAACCTGAAGCAGAAGCTCTGAACTCGGGCAGCAGCGCTAAACACATGCGAGCAGTCAGCACGCAGCTCCTCCAGACGGGGCTGTGGGTCCAGTGTTGGTCAGATTGTCCAGAGGCTGCGTCCTCCATGTCCTGGTTCCAGACGGGGGCGAGCAAGAGCAGCACGCAAAAGACTGGGTCTGAGTGCTTCAGTGCCGTCATCTGTGCGCTGGTTCGGGAAAAGCGAGAATGCGCTGTGGATCACAGGTCCGGGCTGCTCCGGTCCTCCGTGCTCGACCGCGGCTGGTTCCGATGGGGTGCAAAGCATCCGGACAGAAGCGTGAATCTGTCTGCGCACGTGTTTTTTTGTTTTTTGTTTTTTTTCGGGGAAAGCGCTTCTCAGGTGGAGGCACCGGACACTTCAGCTCATCTATTTGTTCTGCTGAAACACTTTTCATCTGTTTGCATTTGCACACACAGCTGATGGATCAGATCCATGACCAGAAATGAACGAGGGTTTTACCCCTAAAGAAACCATATTAAAACAACAACCAAAAAAATAATTTCTTTTCCATTTTCACTCATTTTGGAAAAAGCTCCAGGGAGCCACTAGGGGAGTGCTAAAGAGCCGCATGCGGCTCCGGAGCCGCGGGTTGCCGACCCCTGGTCTAGAACTTGGAATCGCTGCTGAGAGAACCCCAAGCCCGTGGAAGAAGGTATCTGCAAAGTGAGATCGGGCGTCAGCTGTTCGGTCCTTTCGCTCACAGTCACCCGACGGTCTACACGGGCGCGTCTCTGGAATTTCACCTCTGCTGATATCGCGGTGATTTAAGCGAATTTGTATGAAGAAAAATGAAAAATCCACCACTTCAGTCCAGGTTAAAAAAGCATTGTGCCGCACGTTACTGACTTTTGTACCGAGTAAAATATTTTAAAAATGTTTCCCTGTACTCCCACATTACTGCGGTACAGCAAAAAGCAACGCATTACAGTAATTCATTACTTTTATAACACATTACTCCCAACACTGTTACTCAAACATGTGTGAATGAAACAAAACACAACTCCAGGTCTGTTTTTGAGGAGGTCACAACATTATAACTTGGCTAAAACCTCTCCAGAGTGGATTTTGCGTAATATCGGAGCTTTACGTAAAAAAAAGTTTTAAAGGAATCATAAATTACAGAATATGAAGAGGGGATTGGGTCTCATAGCGAAGTCCGGCAGGTAAAACCACTTGATCACGTTGGAGGTTAGAGGTCGATACGCAGTTCTCCACGGATAGTCTGAAAATCAAGACAAAAGACAAATAAATCCACAAGAGTTAAATACGGACAACAATGAAAATATAAATACAATGTTGTGGAATTTGTTTTTCAAAATAAAACCAAAAATAAGATTTGTCATGATTTGTCTCCAAAACCAAAATTTGTTTTTTCAATTTTCGATTTTGTTTTTAAATGAAAAAATGTGAATAACGTTTCTGTGACTTAAACTGCGATGCCGGACTGAACTAGGACTGAACTAGGACTGAACCAGGACTAAACCAGGAATGAACCAGTACTAAACCAGGATTGAACCAGGTCTAAACCAAGACTAAACCAGTACTGAGTGTTGGGACGGGCCTGGAGGTGCGCCCACAGTGGAGGGTGACCAGACCGGGACCAGACCGGGACTGAGACCAGGACTGAGAATGGGACCAGACCGGGACTGAAACTTGGACCAGACCAGCACTGAGACCAGGACTGAGAACGGGACCAGATCAAAACTGAGACCAGGACTGAGAGACCAGACTGAGACTGAGAACAGGACTGAGACCAGGACTGAGACGGGACCAGACTGGACAGACTGAGAGACTGAGACCAAACTGAGACCAGGACTGAGACCGGGACTGAGAACGGGACTGAGACCAAGACTGAGACCGGGACCAGACCAGAACTGAGACCAGGACAGAGACCTGGAACAGACCGAGACTGTGACCGGGGAAAAGACCGGACTGAGACTTGGACCAAACCAGCACTGAGACCAGGACTGAGAACGGGACCAGATCAAGACTGAGACGGGGACGGAGACTGAGACCAGGAACTGAGACCAGGATCGAGAACAGGACCAGACCGGAACCAGACTGGTCCTGAGACCAGGACTGAGAATGGGACCAGACTGGAACCAGACAGGAACTGAGACCAGGACTGAGACCAGGACTGAGATCAGGACAGAGACCGGGACCAGACCAGAACTGAGACCAAGACCAGACTAGGACTGAGACCGGTTTTAGTTCTGTTTTAGTCCAGCACCGCAGTTTAAGTCACAAAAATATACATTTAAACACAAAATCGAAAACTGAAAAAACAAATCATTTGTTGAGTTGTAGGAAGTTCTGTGTCAGATCATGTACATAATGCACCTTTAATTTTATTTAGTGGTAGTTTTCTTTATATTTCTACATCCACATGCCCAGGCTTTAAAGCCTCACTGTGAGTCTCAGTGGACTCAGTCGACATTTTCCGTACCAACACAGATCGCAGGAGGGATGCCGATGCAGAGGACGTACTGCAGCACCATGAGCCCCGCCGTGAAGCAGCAGTATTTGGGCCACACCTCCCCAATGGCCTTCCTCCTTCTCCGGGACAGAACCAGCAGCAGAGCGAACGAGTGGAGCAGAGCGTAGAAGTCCATCCTCTGACCAATCACGTTCACCGCCACGATCAGACTCACCTGTGGAGGACGAGGGACGCAAACGAGTGAAAATAATGCAAGCGTACGCGTTAAAGGCCCTGTGTTTGAGTACAGATATTTAGGTCATTCTGTCTGCTACTTAATAATCAGGAAATACCTGTTAGCATGCTAGTTTTGACTGAGACCGGGACCAGACCAGGACCAGACCAGGACTGAGACAAGGACTGAGAAAGGGACCAGACCGGGACTGAGACCAGGACTGAGACCAGGACTGAGACTGGGACCAGACCGGAACTGAGACCAGGATTGAGAACGGGACTGAGACCTGGACCAGACCGGGACCAGACCAGGACTGAGACCAGGACTGAGAACGGGACCAAACCAGGACTGAGACCTGGATCAGACCGGGACCAGACCTGAAGTGAGACCAGGACAGTGACCTGGACCAGACCGGGACTGAGACCAGGACCAGACCAGGACTGAGACCAGGACCAGACCAGGACCAGACTAGGACCAGACCAGGACCAGACCAGGACCAAACCAGGACCAGACCAGGTCTGCGCATTTTTGGCCTGTGCGACTAATAATCCAGAAAATATGGTAATACATAAGGCGCACTGTTGATTTGTTGATTTTTCAAAAAATTAAGTGCGGCCTTATAGTCCAAAAAATACAGTACTCAAGTTTTCAACAAGCATTAACAGTAATCAGTGTTTCCCACAGAAAACTGGTTAAGCAAGGTGGTGCTGCAGAAGAAGTGAAGAGCGGGGGGATGCGCGGAGATGTCACGGCCCAGTCTTTGGGAAACAATGATGTAAAAGGTACTAAACAAAAAATGGCACTTAAATACTACTTACATTTGATGAAGCAAAAATGCAAGCAAAAAATTATTTATTGTTTTTACACTATTTAATTCTCAGCCCTCGATGTGTCCACCAGAGACGAACTTTATACCTCAAGTCCAAATTTGTAGAAGAAGAAGTTGATGAAGTATTTGACGCAGGGCGCGACGCCGTGGTCCAGGTGCTGCCGGGTGATTCCCTGGAACAGGATGGTGAAGGGAGGAGGCTTCAGGTCATTATGGAGACGGAAGTAGAGCTGGTGACGGAAGACTGTCGCCTCGAAGACAAGCAGCCCCAGAATCATCAGGTGGTTCTGCAACAAGAGAGAGACAGAAGCGAGCTGTGTGATGGGTAATAGAACACGACAATAATATTTCATAAGAGCAATTGTGAAATTAAAAGTACAAAATCTGTTGTGTCAGAAAGAAATGAAGAGTGTATAAGCAAGACAGAACTTATAAAAAAAAAAATAAATGACCTGTGCTCCAAGGTACTGTACACTTTTATGATGTAGATGAGTGGTGTAGTGGGGATTTGTTAAGTGGGGCACCCGATTCATGACGTCACCCTAACCCCCTCCCCCACTCAAAATGATGCAGAATCATGTTATTAAGATTAAAACCATTTATAATCACCTACAGAACATAAAACACAGGCTACAACACATGTGCCCAGGACAGAACCCGGACTAAACCAGGACTAAATTAGGACTAAATCAGGACTAAATCAGGACTAAATCAGGTGTAAACAAGGACTAAACCAGGACTAATCTTGGACTTCAGAGTGAGAGAGAGAACCCTGAGCCCGCGGAGCAGGGTGTCCGCAAAGTGCGATCGGGCGACAGCTGCACTGACCCCACACCACAGACCACAGAGCTCTGTGCCGGCCCTTTCACCTGCGGTCACCCGACAGTCTACACGGGTGCACCTCCAAGCCCGTCCTGACACTCCTAGTTCAGTCCTAGTTCAGTCCTGGTTCAGTCCTGGTTTAGTCCTGTTTTAGTCCTGTTTTAGTCCTGTTTTAGTCCTGTTTTAGTCCTGGTTTCGTCCTGGTTCAGTCCTGGTTTAGTCATGTTTTAATCCTGGTTTAGTCCAGGTTCAGTCCTGGTTTAGTTCTGGTTTAGATCTGTTTTAGTTCTGTTTTAGTCCTGGTTCAGTGCTGGTTCAATCCTGGTTTAGTTCTGGTTTAGTTCTGTTTTAGTGCTGGTTCAGTCCTGGTCCCTCATGTCTCAGGTCACTATAGGACAGAAAAAGTATATATAAAGAAATGGGTGGGAAACAGGGTAGGTGAAAAGATCCTGCCCTAAATGATCTTTTTTTTTTTTTTAAATCCTATATTAATTGAAAACAACACATTAACATGTTTTTTAAGTTTATAATTAGTTTATTCAAAAGTAAAAATGACAGATATGTGTGAGTTACTCTGAGACAGGGGAGGATCCGGCCCTCACACTTCCGCAGAGCCCCGCACCAGTACACCGGGTCCACAGGTTCAATGTACAGGATGGACCTCCTCAACAGCTCCACCATGTTACTCCTCAAGTCCTCCTCTTCCAGAAAGGAACTGTTGGACTGCAGCAGGCCCTGACAAACACACACAAACACAAACAGAAGCATCATCACACATTTAAGAGAAAAATCAGGACAGGACAGGAAAAGAATATTCAGTAACAAGATACTGTATGTCCTGCTGTTTGGACCACTTCTTTACCGGGCAGCAAATATTTTACGTTTTATACACATGGTTAAAGGGACAGTCTGGAATTTTGGACATAGGGCCTCATTTCCTAGTGAGCCAGAGTGTTGGAGACGCGTGAAGACACTTTTTAAAATATTCCATCCAGTCCTTGTATTTGCAGAGGTCGCTGGTGCTAGACTAGTGCATGTCAATAGTCATAGGTATCCTGCCACTAAAAACAGTCTTACCCACTCCACAAAACACCCGAAGAAAATCTATTATTACACCAGACTGTCCATGTAAATGTCTGTGTTGATAGAATAATTTCAGAAGTAAAACCAACCTTGAATTTGAAGGATTTATGGCTGAGCAGCAGTGAGCTGTATCTCCTGATAGAAAGCTCTGCAGAGGTGGACTGATATATGAGAAAATAGTCCCTCAACATGCGACGATTCACGCGATGCAAGGTTAGTTTTACTTCAAACATTATTCTATCAACACAGACATCTACATCGACAGTCTGGAGCAATAAGAGATTTGCCTCAAGTGTTTTCTGTCTAAGAGAAGAACTCAGAGTTTATGCATCAAACATCTGTGAATAAAACAAACAATAAAATAAAACAAAACACAACTCCAGGTATTTTTTGATGAGGAAACAAGATTATAACATAGAACCGAAATCAGATAAGTACATGAAACCAGTACTGTATTTTTTGGACGATAAGTCGCGTTTTTTTCATGGTTTGGGTGTTTACTGCGACTTATACTCCGGTGCGACTTATGTATTAAAATTTTCACACTGACAGCCACAAGAGGGCACTCTAGGCTTGTGTATAGTTTTTTCGCATGTCTCCTGCAGAAAAATCTGCTGCAAGTAGTGAAATATGCAGCTGAAAACAGTAATCGAGCAGCAAAAAGAAAGTTTGGAGTGAGCGAGAAACTTGTGAGGGACTGGGGAAAACGCTGAGCCATGCCTGGACTCCAGTGACAACCGACGTTGCGTGGATTTGCTTAGAAGTGACACGGAGGATGAAGAATTCAATGGATTCAATGGATTTAGTGATTTGGAGTGAGATGGAGAGTTTGGTAACCGTATGTTCTGTTGTTTATTCTCTAGTTATCTGAAGAACAGTTAATATGTTATGTTAACATACCAGACGCCTATTCAGCCTGTTGATGTTTATTCTATTGTTATTACTATAACTTGACTTTCAAGATGAAATGTTGGTTCTTGGTCCCTGATTTTATAAAATAAATTTCCCCCAAAAAGTGCAACTTATAGTGCAGTGCGACTTATATATGTTTTTTCTTCTTCATTATGCATTTTTGGTTGGTGCGACTTGGAGCGAATTATAGTCCGAAAAATACAGTAAATGCTTTTGGGTGTTTAGGGCTGTAGTTGGCTAAAAAATTCTTGGTCAACCAAAGACATCGATCACTTGACCAAAAACGTAGTGTGGTAAAAGCTCTTAAAGTATCAGTATCCACGTATTCGACCCAAACTGCACTCAAAAGACAACATCCAAAAACAACTATCTACACAGAAAATTAAGAGGGTATCAGGCTTCCAATCCAAGCTATAGAAACATGAAGAAAGTTATTGAAAAAAAATAAACTATTGTCCAGGGCTGTCCAAAAATATGTCCTTTGAACATTTTTTTAAAATCTTTGTCTTGTCCTCTACTCACAGCCGTGCAGTTGGACGAGTATTCCAGAGGCTTGATGACTTTGAGCTGGTAGAACATCTTGCACACCACCATGATGCAGGCGTGAACGGCGGAGATACTCGAGGCCAAAGGTCGTAACCGTGGAAACGGGAGGGCGAAGACCCACAAGACCAGAAAGAGCATGTTCATCAGAGAAACCTAGAGAAAAACAAAGACACGACAGATACTAGTATGTGATGATAATCCGTGTATCATTCATTCATTCGTTTTTCAAAAATAAAACCACAAATAAGAAGACCAAAAAAAAAAAAAAGAAAGCTGTTTTCTTCATTATTTGTCTCCAAAACCAGAATTTAAAAATGGATAATGATTAATTTTTTCACTTTTTCGATTTTGTGTTTAAATGAAGAATGAAAAAAACGCATAATGGCCGTTTCCCGTTTTTGCCATTATTCATTTAAACACAAAATCAAAAACTGATCATTATCCTTTTTTTAAAATTTTAGTTTATGATTAATGATTATGTTAACTGATAGAAGAAAAATAAACTACCTAACTAACTAGCGCTGTGGATCGGTGCAGCTTCGGCAGTGATGCGGTCGCTGTATTGGACCTTTGTGGTGAACAGGGAGCTGAGCACAAGAGCAAAGCTCTCGATTTACCGTTAATCTACGTTCCTCCCCTCACCTGTGGTCATGAGCTCTGGGAAATGACCGAAAGGACGAGATCACAGATAAAAGTGGTCAAAATGAGTTTCCTCCACAGGGTGGCTGGGTGCTCCCGTAGAGATAGGGTGAGGAGCTCAGTCACACGGGAGGAGCTTGGAGTAGAGCCGCTGCTCCTCCACATAAAGAGGAGCATTTGAGGTGGCTCGGGCATCTGTTTTGGATGCCTCCTGGGCACACCTCAGGAGGTGTTCTGGGCATGTCCCACCAGGAGGAGGCCCCGGGGAAGACCCAGGACACACTGGAGGGACTATGTCTCTGGGCTGGCCTGGGAACATCTTGGGATCCCCCCAGAGGAGCTGGAGGAAGTGTCCAGGGTGAAGGAAGGCTGGGAGTCCCAGCTTAAACTGCTGCCCTTGTGACCCAGCCCCAGAGAAGCGGAAGAAATGGATGGATGGATGGATGGATAACTACCTAACTAACTAACTATGTATAGTGTGTGTTCTGGTGTTATGTACTACTGTGTGATTGTTGTTGTATTTTCTCTGTCCTGTAGATGATTTCACATCAACCTGCAGAGGGACTGAAGATGGAAATTAGCCACGCTGGCTATAATCTTTACATATTTACACTTTAAATCTTCATTAATATGTGCTGTAAATAACTAAATAAGAAGAAGGAGTCCTGGTTTAATCCTGGGATATTCTTAGTTCAGTTCTTAGTTCGATACTAGTCTGTGTGCTCTTATACTTGTTCAGATTCATCTCTAAAAGCTATTCAGGAAAATTTCTGTCCTGTGAATGTGACGTGTTTAGTATTGATACCAGCTCAAATGAGTATCTAGTTTTGATACTATTTCTACTTTCATCAACCCCATTCTTTTCTCTTACTAACAAATTCACTCCATTCACAAATTTCCTCTTTGCTCAAACCCTTTAAACTTTTGTCCACCAGCTCCCCTCGGTAGCTTGTTCAGTTATACCACGGTCAGTGAGTTAATACTGCATAACACACACAGCTTCTCGTTGTTCTCGTATGCTTACTTAAACTACATATCTAATTGGTTCAGCCATTGAAAATAATATTAGAATAATTAAAAACATTAAAATATATTACAAAACTAGAACCATGTCACACCTCTTGCAGTGAGACCCAGATGATTCCAGCGGACACGATTTTGAGATTGTGCAGTTCCATGAGTCTCCAGAGAAGCTCCTGAAACCTGCGCAGTCCTGACAAACCCTGGTACAAGAGGAGACTAGCCCTGTCCACGATCACGTCCCACTGGTCCACAGCCGGACTGGGAGGGCGCTCTGGGGAACAAGAAGAGAAAAAAAGAGACATGGCCATTTATTAGGGTTGTAAGATTAACTTATTTAGCAAACCTGCAATTTTCGAAGTACCATAATTTCCTCCACAAACAACAAAATCTTCTGCATAAATACTGCTAACCCTGTAGTTTAGATCTGCACAAACAGGTTCTGAAATACATGTGATTGCTGTTTTATTTTGAGAGTTTGTATTTAATTAATTGTATGTTTGATCATTGGGTTGCAACCAAACACAAAAGTGGGTAATAGAGAGTACACAAAATTGTTACTATTACTATTACTACTACCATCCATCCTCTTACAAAAAAATATATATATATATTTACACATGACACTTATTGTACATAAGCTTGGCTGTATGAAAAAATCTGTTTGCTACTTATGTTTTTGAATCAGGATTTGGTTCACAGAAGCATAAAGATTTGAGAGACTATAGACTGAAATCTGAACTGATAAACTAATACAAGAATCCCATGTATTTCAGAACAGTTTTGTAGAGGTCTAAACCGGTGTTTCTCAAAGACTAGGTCGCAACCCTCAGGTGGGTCGCAAGAGATTTTTTTGGGTCACCTTGTCACAATTTGCATGTACCATGTTTTGCAGACTGTAAGTTGCACTTTTTTCATTGTTTGGGTGTTCCCTGTGACTTATACTCCAGTGTGACTTATAAATGTCTCTTGCCGTTACCGTCTCCCGCCTCGCTCGCCTCCTCCCCAGGGTCTTTCTCTGAAGACGTCTGGAGCCCCACACTGTTCAGAGTGTCCTGGCTTTTGCCTTCTCCCATCTGCTCCTTCGCCAGTCTGAAATATAAAAAAAAAATACATGTTCACTAATCAAACAAAGTCTAACAATAAAACCTAGTCATGAAGTAGTGGAATCATACCTATTTCTCAACTTCGTAATGGTTTCCTTGATGCTGAAAAACAGAAAGCAAAATGTAACTGTCACAAAACTTGAATCGTGTCATTTACAAAAAAAATGACACTTACATGTCTCTTATTATGGCAATTGAACTCTTCAGCTCCTCGTCACTAAAAACAAGGAAATAAAAACAATGATTAGAGCATAAAGTGCACTTAAACTACACAACTGTACATCGTGCAATCAAAGCGTGTTTATGATCATACAGCCTATTCGTACAAGTGTTTATACAGACGTTACGGAGAGAAAATTAACAATTTATTTGTGTCTTTATGTGAGTCTGTGACAGTGTTGGGAAATAACTAAAGACATGTACTGAAAATATGTACTCTGAATACTCATTTTGAGTAACTGTATTCCAGTACAGTAACTTTTCTGTCCATCCATCTATCCATTTTCTTCTGTTTATCCGGGGCCCGGGTCATGGGAGCTGCAGTTTAAGTAGGGACTCCCAGATTTCCATCAACCCAGATGCTTCCTCCACCTCCTTCGGGGGAACCCTGAGGCATTCCCAGGCCAGCAAAGAGACATAGTCCCTCCAGCATGTCCTGGGTCTTTCACGGGGCCTCCTCCCAATGGGACATGCCCAGAACACCTCCCAAGGGAGGCACCCAGGAGGCATCAGGAACAGATGCCCAAGCCACCTCAGCTGCTCCTCTGGATGTAAAGGAGCAGTGGCTCTACTCTGAGCTCCTACCATGTGCCCGAGCTCCTCACCCTATCTCTAAGAGAGCCCCCAGCCACCCTGCGGAGGAAACTAATTTCGGCCACTTGTATCCTCAATCTCGTCCTTTCTGTCATTACCCAGAGCTCATGATCATAGGTGAGGGCAGGAACGTAGATTGACGGTAAATCGAGAGCTTTGACTTTCGACTCAGCTCCCTCTTCACCACAACGGTCCGATACAGCGACCGCATCACTGCCGGCGCTGCACCGATCCACCTGTCAATCTCACGCTCCGTCCTCCCCTCACTCGTGAACAAGACCTCGAGATACTTGAACTCTCCCACTTAAGGCAGGGATTCTCCACCCACCCAGAGAGGGCGGTTTATATATTATATACAAAGTCTCTGGTGTAGGTCTGGCGCTTGAGGTTGTCGTCATGTCTCCAGAAACGTCTCCCCTGCCATAGACGCCCTGTGACTGGGCTGACTACTGTGGGGGGTGATTTTAAACTGAACAGCGGGAGCACCTCTAGATGGAGTTTGTGAACTCACAAATATCCCATGAATCCATCTTGCTGTGCATGGTTAGTGAGGATGTCTGAAAATGAGTTGCTTAAATGCATGTAGGTAAAGCTGATTTGTGAAAACCGTTGGTGCACCTGGATGCCTGGCGCACTGGGACATTCTCCAGGTCGGTGAGAGCGAGGAAGTCGGCATTGAAATAATGCAGCTGGAGAATACAGGCCAATAGAAACGCAGCAGGCAGCAGGATGCGAGCAAACAACTCCACTGTGTCGTAACGCTCCAAACCAAGGTCACGTAGACTGCAGAGAAACACAGTGGAATAATAATTAAAGCTATAACAAGTTGTGCTGTCATGATACTAAAATTTCAAACTCAATTCCAACACTAACTGATTCAGTACTTCACACCAATTACAATATCATACAAATATTAAAGCTGCACTATGTAACTTGTTCGGTAGAGGGTTCTCCACATAACTCTCTCCATGGAGATGTTAACTCTACCTCTCACTTGCCTGCAGACAGACTCACCCGTCCTCTGACATGCCCATGATCTGCCTGAACAGAGCGGACACACTCCTGAACTGGTACATGTAGATGGCGATCAGCACCAGCATGGAGTATCCCACCACCACGGCCCAGAAGTTCTTCAGGATGCGGCGCCACACATCGTAACGCGTCTGAAAAGGAAATATTATTCAGTACAATGACATCAGAACATTTGGTACTGTTAAAAAAACACAACACACCTCTGAGGAACCTGTGATCAATACGAGTGTTCACGGTCCTGTTTAGGAGTTTGATTTACAATAAAAATGGTGAATGTGAGTAACATGTGTAAGAGACTTGTTTAACAGAACAAATCAACTCCTGCGCTGTAGTTCCTGTTGTAGCTAAATGAGTTCTTTCTAGTCAGATTGTGCTAAGATAAAGCACAGATTAAAGTCTAAATAAAGCCTCAGACAGAGCAGAGCTTACAGTTAGCGTCACACTCCCAGGGACTGTCAACCAGTGATTCTGCTCCAAAGGCTTCTCCAAACAACCCCACCATCACAAAACATGAAAGAAGTGTCACATCACCAAACACACAACAATAATATAGGATGTAATTTGGTTATAAGATGTTCTAGGTTGAAGAAGTAGTTTAAGTAAATCTGATGACAAGGGACACTGTAATGCTCACACAACTAGGACTAGACCTGGGTTAGACCTGGTTTCAGGACCAGCGTCCTGTTGATTTGATCTCCTTAGAACCGGTCCTGACTTGGTTACACTTGTGTTAGACCTGAGTCGGTCCTAGGTTACAATACATCTTTGTATATCACATTTTACCAACACAAACTCTCCAAAGTGCTGCACAAAGTAGGCAAAATATTAATTAATACAATGATTAAAATAAACTATAAAAATAAATGAGTAAATCAAGCAATAGAAATAGAAGACAAATCAATAAAAGACTCATGCCAGGTTAAAGCCAGAGTAAAAGTGTGTTTTTAAAGGTTTTTAAGGTTAGACCTGGGTTAGACCCGGATTAGACCTGGATTAGACCTGGGTTAGACCTGGATTAGACCTGGATTAGACCTGGGTTAGACCTGGGTTAGACCTGGGTTAGACCTGGGTTAGACCTGGGTTAGACCTGGGTTAGCTGGTAGTGGTCACTATAAAATGGTTTCAGGACTTTACTGGTGGCGTCCATGGAATTCTGAGGCAGTAAACCTGACCAATAATTTGCAATTGTAAAATGACACCGTACTGATGTGCCCCTGATGTGTCTGTCCTGAAAAACACCACAGTTTTAACACAGTTACTACCATGTTGGTCAGATTTCCTCCATCACGCTCTTAAATCTGTCTTCCCTGACGTCACCTCCGCAGCCATTAGGAGAATGTCTAAGTGCCTGCAGACTGCGTTTTTTAAAACATCAGCAAAAAAGACAGGGAGAGGAAATCAGCGGAGAAACATAAAAGAATGGACGAGTGAGTCAAAATCAATATCTGTAATCTGGTCATTTTTAGGGCTGGGTGGTGCAGTTGTAATGTGTGTAAAGACTCAGATATGTGTAAACTTTCTGGTACGGGTTCCACCACCTGCTTAATTAATTCTGCAAATGAGCCTCTCTCCTGTCTCTGCAGATCTCACCTGTAACTCGGCCCAGTGGCGCCACCTGTCTGTGGAACATTCCAGGCAAAACAATAACATCTGACTGCTGCTAGAAAAGATTCATTTGCAACTTAGGCTACATTCAGACTGCAGGGCTTAACACTCAATTTGGATTTTTTTGTGAAATCTGATGTTTTTGCGAGGCCGTTTACATTTCCAATTAAATGCGACTTGTATGTGATCTCCAGTGTGAACATTAAACGCCCAAAAGTGTCCCGCGTGTTCACTGGAGGACACGACGACGTCAACCGCAGCGAGCGTGCTCTGTGTTTACGGAAGTTGTCCAAACATGGACGTGAGCATTGAGCACCTGGAGATTTTAAAATTCCTCTCGTATCGGAGCCAGAACATGAACAACTTACTTGTTGTAAGGAGGAGATTGAGAAGGAAAAGGACGAGGTTTTTAGCCGTGGCATTTTGTGGGACAGTCCGTTGAAAGGAACGTATGGATGTGGAGACGTAGCCAAGAGTGGTGAGTGGCGATGTGCTTCACTTCAATGACACGGAGTTCATTAACAATTTTCGCCTACTTCAGCGCAGAATAGTGACATTTGTGGCTTGTTGATAACGTGTAGGTCGGATGAATGCACTTTGGCCGTTCAGACTGAAGTCGCATGTCAAAAGATCAGATATGTATCAGTTTTAGGACCACATATTGAAGTGGCCTCTGTCGCATTTGAAAAAATCAGATCTGTGTCATTCAGACTGTCATTAAAAGATCAGATACAGGTCACATAGGGGCCAAAAAATCAGATTTGGGTCACTTCAGGCTGCAGTCTGAACATAGCCTAAAACATGACACCTTTCCAAACCTATAATCTATCATGATGCTCAAGTTGGCACTTCTTGGGCTCGAAAATCCGGTCTCAATCAATCAATCAAACAATCTCCACTGATTGTTGTGGCTGTAAAAATGTGTCATTTGTCAGGGTTTGTAGGGAGATTTAACTTTGTAAGACTTAACTTAGCCCTGCTCTGAGTTCATGGAAGTATAATACAATCTGGAGTGTCCTATGCAGTTCTTATTATAGATCCAGGAGGTGAAGCATTAAGACTGAGCTTCCTGAGAAGTGAAACTAAACAGAGGATTGACAGAGCTGGTGTTGTGTATTATTAAAAGAAACATTTAATTAACCTTATGTCCTATGAGTAAAAAGGATTTACTTTTATAAACTGTTGCAACCTAATGTTAGTCTGATTCATCAGCCGGTTTCACTTCGTGGAAACCGTCTGACCTCGCAGCATTAGGGTTTGTTCGCTTGACGGTAGGTGGGTACTTTTTTTATTTAAAGGTTGTATGGAGGATTTTTTTTTTTTGTTTCAAATTGTCCATGATAGCATTATAGAGATGCAGTAGCCTTGTAATTATGATGACCAAAAAAAAGAGAATAAAAATTCATCAACCTCTGGACGTGGCGAGGCCAGCTAAACATTTGCCAATAGATAACGAGACTGCCTCGTTATCTGTTAGCCGATAGGCTGTCAATCAAACTCCCTATGTTTCTAGTGTAACTGACTTGCCTGTGTGCTGGCATTACTTGGTTTACGTACGCCTGTCACGCAGTCCACAGACGCAAGATGCACAGACGCTGTTTACTCCACCAACGCAACAGTTCTTAGCGGCTTTTTTGACCTATATCTTAGTTAGCACAAAGTTTGTTGCAATGGCAGACAAGAATCTACGAGCAGTTAGCCGCAAAAGAAAGTCCGTTTTTGAGGTCACTGAAAGAAGAAGACAAGGGGAAAAGCAGCGAAGCCAAACTAAGGTGATTCTTGGAGATTCATTCCAGTAATGGCGCGACTGAAGCAGACAAAGGGTCTAAAGACTGACACACTGGTCGCCAAATTACTCCTGGACAGGTAACTTCTGCTTATTATGAAAACGTACTTTATTTCCAAGAGCTAGACAAACGTTTTTCAGGACATGAAAGCGATATCCTATGTCTGAAAACGTAATTTTCAATGCAAAGAAAGAGTCCGCTTGCTGCTGCGTGTTGTAGTAGTAGCTAGTTCATTTGCACGGAATCTCCACGCACCCCTCTCTGCACCCCTTCCTGCTCCTCTCCCTGCTCCCCGTTTCGCTGTTCTCCCTGCTCCTCACTTCTTCTACGCGCACGGAATCTCCGCGCACCGCTCCCCTCTCCCCTCTCCTCTCCCGCTCCGCCTTCTCCGCTTCTTCTCCCCGCTCCTCACTTCTCCGCCTTGCCTAACCAACACTGTAGTTAGTTGTTTACAAGTCATGTGCAGCGATGAGTACTTGTTTTCTAGAAACAAACCTCTTTCTGGTGTAAGGAGGAGGCATTTCTACGTCGGGAGCTGTGGGGGAGGGGGAGTGGTTTCACGCATGCGCAACATTTGAAAAAGGACAAACAGTCGCTGGACTTCTCGTTCTTTGGAAAATCCTCTATACAACCTTTAACCAATCGCTGCTGTTTGGTCGTGACGTATGTAATGCGCTGGAGCGCTCAGTGGTGTTGTGTAATTTCCGGCACAACAGCAAACAAAGCAGAGAGTAAACATGCCTGTCAACGATCATTGTTGTTTCTGTGAGATGAACTTGCGAATTAAAGGTGCAATCAAAAATGCAAAGTTTGTATTTGACAAAGGAAATCCAAAGGAGGATAGCGTATGCAATCTGCTGTTGCAACTCGGGTTGGTTTAGCTCTTTGCTGATTGGCCGGTGCACCGTCTACAACTTCCAGGGTTTCTGCGAACAGTCTAGTGTATTCTTGACCTAGTCGCTGGAGAGAAATGAAATTGAGCGGAGGTGTAACGGTGATTACCTGATATTTTATTCCACTTGTCATTACATTTATTGGACTAATATATTTTGGTTTAGTAGCGTCCTCTTGTGATGACCGGTAGTGATAAGTGTCCCTGGTCCCAAGAGCACGTTGCCAGTTCATGAGAGACAAGTATGAGGTGGGACACTGATTTTAGCTCTGTCAGTAAAAATTGTGTATTTCTGTTTAATTACTCATTATATGATCACAGCCTAATTGTACAACTTATTTATGTCATCCAGAACATTTATGAGCTAATATTCTGCGCAATGTATAAATTATGACACAGTAGTGGACTTTGCACATGTCGTGACAGAAGATAACTTTTAGATGTTAATGTGACTTTCTCTCCTTGTAGAGCTGCTCGCTGTGTTGAGCAGAGGTTTCCTGACCAGTACATATTTTGTTTCATGCAGATTAAAACCACAAAAGACAGCACTGTGTCCTGACCATTTGTTCACAACACAACACAGATAAACTATACGACAAGCGAAAGACGAACAGACGGGTTATTACTGCTATGTTTTCTTATAGAAACTGATTTTCCTTTTTCATATCAAGGTAATACTCAAAATAATGAAAGAGATGGCATGATAAACTCTTAGCTACTTAGGAAAATATGTTATGTGTAAGCTATTAAAACCCCAGAGCATAATGACCCATATTTAAATCATATACAGTAGTTTTGTGTCATTGCTGTTTTTGACACCAGAAATTCTTTATCCAGTATAGGTTTGGTTATGGTTAAACTCGTGCAAGTTGAAAGATTAACAGAATAAAAAAAGCATAATCACACACACATTTTGTACATACTGATAAAAAAAAAAACCTCAAACCTGGTACAGGACAACGCAGAAGAGAAAGAGCACGATGTAGAGGATCTTGTAAACAACCACCTAAAATAAAAAGAAAACATTCACATGAGTAGTTTTGGTATGCAGTTTTAATTCCTGTTTTTAGATTAGCATGTGTAGAAGCAGCATGGCCTATTCATGGGGTTCTGGTAAATGAGTTCTCCCGGATTTGAAGAATTTTTTACTTAAAATTGTGGGGTTGCTGTAACATTGGAGAATGACTAGAAAAGCTCGAAATCCATAGGCAGATTTATTTCACACAAGCATTTTAAGAATTGTATTGTGTCACTCTGGCGACTCTGACTAGGTAATTTCTTTTGTGACTCTATAAATTCCTACATTTCTAAATCTTTCAGGTCTATGTGCAGTACCTTTCCAGAGAAGCTGACCACAAAAAACATGGAGCAGCAGAAGAGGATCCAGTATTTGACCAGTATCCCTTTCACACCTGATATCAGCATCACAACGAGTGGAGAAGGCTGACTCTCCTCCTCTGAGAAAAACAGACAAAAAGATCATCAAACAAACACGCTATTGCTGTTGAATAGAAAGTAGAGGACTCAAATGTACCTGACATGACTTTAAGTTCATCCAGAGATTCTGCCTTCAGACTCTGTGCCTCAGCTCTTTCCTTCAGCTGCTGACGAAACATCAGCCAAAAACTGAAGCTGTACAGAACCTACAGCATCACCAAAACATGCAGGTGTTCAGTGTGACTTTAGAGAGTCTAGTTTGTGTATTCAGAGTAAAAGCCATATGTTATGCTTCAGCACCTTTTGTTTCCCCGTTTTTTATTGTCTATATTCTTTGTAGCATTTTTTTCCCTAGTTTTCCCTTTCTGTTGTTACTTTTCTTAGTTCTTTTGGGCATGGGTTAAGGGTTTCATTTTTGATTCCAAAACATCTGCAAAGTCTGAAAAATAAAAAACATCTCTAATCCTTAACTTGATTTCTGTGTCCTTCTTAAGTATGTTGGGACTAATTTTTTTGGGTCGTAATAAAGATTTTTTTTCATCCACAAAGACACTATTCCTTCTGCTTTGTATTTAAACAAATCATCATAACATTTATTTTTTTTAATGTAAGTAAGTACTAAAAGAAAGTACCAAAATTCAGATACTAATAGACTTTTTTCACAATGGCCGGAAGTGCAGAGATGTAGGGTAAACGTCACTTACGTTAATGATTTTCTATGGCAAAATATCTGTGGAAATGTGAAGAGTATTTTCCAAAAGCTTCATAAATCTGCCTCATCACCAAATCTTCAACCAACAAGGTCCACAAAGGATAAACGTTCTAACATGAAGAATTTATCCACAACTATCAAGGGAAGAAAGACAAAAACTTAAAGGAGAACAACGACAAGCATTAGTGAACTACTGAGCAAAACTAACATTCTAGTCATGAATAAAACATAAGTAATAAGTAATGCATTATTAAGTAATTTGTTCACTCAGACTGATTCTACAATTAAAATTAAAAATCACTATCATGATGTCGATTAGCATAGACAGAGATTTGTGCAGTTCGAATGCTACAGATGTTCACAGATTACATGTCTGGCATTTAAACTGCACAAATCTCTCTGTCTATGCAAATATCTACATTATGAAAATCGATTTTTAATTTTAATTCTAGAATCAGTCTAAGTTACTTATGTTTTATTCATGACCATAACGTTGTTCAACATAGTCATTTTTCACCTTTATGTTTTCATCTTTCTTACCTTGATAGTTGTGGATAAATTCTTCATAGACAGAATGTTTATCGTTAGTCGATCTTGTTGGTTGAAGTTTTGGTGATGGTGACAGATTTATGAAGCTGGTGGAAAAAACGCAACACATTTCCACAGATATTTTGTCATAGCATTAACGTAAGTTCCACTGAGTCATGTCCTTTAGTTCGACAGAAGCTGAACCGCATCAGCGCACAAGAAAAGCTGTTTTGTTTTGTTTTTTCCAGCGCTTATAGTTTATGCAAATGAGCCTTGCAGTTTTAAGTTTTGTTTCTGTAAAACGTAAACAAATGTGTCAAAGCTGCATTAAACACATTATAATGTCAAATGGGCTGATGTGGCTCTATAGTCGTTATGGTTTATATGTTGTAAAGTTGAGTTTATTTATGCAGATTAGTGATAGTAATAATAATTGTGATCATTTTAATAAAAAACTTTAATTATTTATCAAAAATCAATTGTTAATTCTCCCGACGATTGATTAAGAAAATTTAATCGAATGCCCCTAATCAAGTCTATTTCTTAATATCGAAATTGAGTGTAATATTGTAGATATAGAATAGTTTTCAGGGGAGAAGAAAATATTTATCATGAGAGTAACAGGCAAAGTAGTAACATGTTCATAAAGCCCCACCACCAGAAAAGTTACACGGTGCCCCTTTAAAAGAGTTTTCTGTCTCCAACCTTGGCCCCCAGGTGCACACAGGGCGCGGGGTGGTAACTGTTCAGGTCGAAGTCCACGATGACGGCGGGCGGCAGGGCAGGGTAGAGCTCTGCCCGGCTCAGGCGCAGTCCGCTCAGGAAACCCAGAGCCACCAGCGCCGTCCCGTACACCGCCAACACCGGTGCCGACATCATGGCGTAACGCCGTCGGTCCCGCATCATCCAGATAACACATGACCACACCAGCAGCGCGAACGTCAGCCAGTTATTGTAGGTGATACTCCATATCTGCAAATAAAGTGAGACAGAAAGAGTTAAAATGTGTCTTTTTAAAAAGCTTTGTCTTGTGAAATGTCGGAAGCACGGGTTATAGTCACATACACAGGCACACTTTTGAATGCTGAGTTAATGTTAGGCGGATTCATGGATCTATTAAAATAACTGGAGAGGGTTTTGCTGCTTGTAGCTGCCTCCAGTCGGCGTAGTGGCCACTCACTGGTACTACAGCAAAAAAATCCCTTCGGCCAAGAAACGACTTTTCCCATACGAGAAAACACGATGATGTCATGTTAGCCATTTTGGTAGGCAAAAAGCATCCGTATCAACAAGTCGACATCAACATCGTCAACAGTTATCGGTGTACAACATCAACAATTGTCAGACAACAGTACAACATCAACAATCGTCAGACAACAGCACAACATCAACATCATCAACAGTTATCGGCGAGTTTTGACTTTTCAAAGTAACATTTTTGATCCTCAACATCCAGTGACTTAGAGTAAGATGATGAATGTCAAAACTATTAAATGCAAAACCTACTTCAAAATAAAAGGAGTTTTCTCATGACAGACATATGCAACGCAACTGTCAACACAAACGAGCAGCCCAACTGACTTTTTGTCTACCAGCCACTGCACACGTGCAGAAAAGCCGGACGTAAACAAAAGCAACATTTTCTCGTATATAGCTCTATCATCACAAACTGCTCATGTTCGGGTGACAGGACACCCACAACTGTAAAAATGGTCAGATTTTGTGGCTATTTTGACCTATTTTCAGATTATAAACTTTTTCTCAGCTCAAAATGTGTCTGTCATCTTAAAAAATAATTTATAATCATTAGCTCCAGCTCCACTCTGCTTCACTCTAGCTCCTCTCACTATGATCGGTCAAAACAATCACGTGATGCATGAGATCGCGCTCCTTGAGCACTACTGTCCATGTTCAATGGGCAGGGAGCCAACAGAATAACTCACCCGGCTGAAGGCGAATCTGAAGACCTGCAACACTGAGCTTGGCCCTTTGACTTGAATGGGCAGCCATTTTTAGATCCCGTGGCTTGGGTGGATTACTAACGAGAAGCTAACTAGACAACAGCTAACTAAGTAACTAGCATCACTCACCCCTTTGTTTAAGACAAATAAGACTACGCAACTATACAACAAAATTAACAAAATCATAAAAAGAGTTAAGAGTTAGAGTTAACTTAGCCACATTTAACAGATGCTAACAAACATTCTTATAACGTTACATGACAAAGACTGTTGTTGCTTTGAATACTGATGCGATCAAGCCTCGGGGTTTCAAAATGACCGCTCATTCAAATCAATGGGCTGAGCTCAATGGTGGAAGATTCCAGATTCACCTTTAGCGTGGTGAGTTTCTTCCAGTGGCTGTGGGCCGATTGAGCATGTGCAGTAGTGTCTTTTCTTCCGCGGGCACACACGAATGTACACAAGCACATGCATGGAGCGCAGGCTCTTGTATCATGTGATCTCTTTGACCAATTAGAGACAGTGGAGCTAGAGCAAAGCAGAGCGGAGCTGAAGCTAATGATTATAAAGTGTTTTTTTAAGACAACTGAAGGATTTTGAGCTGAGAAAAAGTTTATAATCTAAAAATAGGTAAAAATTACCACAAAATCCAACATTTTTGAAAGTTGTAGGTCCCTGTCAGCCGAACACAAGCAGTTTGTGATTACATTGCCTCTATGAGCAAAATCCTCTCTCAGCCCAGGAGATTTTTTCCACTGAAGTTCCAGTGAGTGTCACTACGTCAACTGGAGGCAACTACAAGCAGCAAATACTCTATCCAGTTGTTTTAATAGATCCATGGATGCAATGTATGAAACTGATGTATTAACATAACTTTAAAAAATACTTCATTAAAACTACTGGTTGAAAAATACCAAAAATACTTATTGTGTATGAAGTAGTAGTAGTAGTAGTAGTAGTAGTAGTAGTAGTAGTAGTAGTAGTAGTAGTAGTAGTAGTAGTAGTATAAAATAATGTGTAGGCCAGTGGCTCTCACTTCTCACAGATACCACTGAAGAAAAGATTTGGTTTTTAGGGTAACACTGGATCTAAATCAGGTCAAGAACACAACTCCAGATCTAATCTAGGGCTAAACCAGGTCATAAAGTGAACTATGTCATTTCCATTGTAGTTCTACACAAGAAATTACCCAAAGATGTACAAAAAAAGTGGACAAAATTAGCTTTAAGTGAGGCAAACCCACAAACTTAAAAGCTAAGTACCATCTGAAGGAAGAATGTGTTTCGTATTCGATTATTTTAAGATATTTAAAGTGTATAACCACCTTTTATTTTGGTTTTTATCCTGTCTCATTTATCATAGAAGTTTTAGCAGAGTATTTATTTACCATCATTATGATCAGAGCGCTGACATAGCTGTGTTTCTGCACCAAAAGACCAAAGACGACCAGACCACTTGGACCTGAAGCCGGGGCCTCAGTTTCAGCCTGACTCTGCACAGCTTCACCGTTCTCCCCTGGGTCTTCTTCAGCGTTACTGTCTGTGTTGCATAAAAAGACACAAAGTAAGTTCCAGGATGACAATAGACACACTTGACTTGTAAATGTTTGACAAATTATCAACATTTCTTAACCATGAGAGTCCACATCCTTGTCTTCATACATGGGAGGAGGGTAACAGTTTGTGTATCCAGCTCCTCCCAACAAAGAGCCCAAATCGTTTTTTTCGTCTTGCCAGGAACAGGTGCGTATTAGAATAGCTGGCTGTAAAAAGATACAGATACGCTCGATAAATGTAAATGAAAAATTGGTTGAAAACAAACTAGTCATGCGCAATCCTTGGATAATTTTTTCATTTGTTTTTCAAAATAAAACCCAAAATAAGAAAATGAAAAAACAACTATTTTCTTCATTATTTGTTTCCAAACCCAAAATGAAAAAAACGGATAATGATTTGTTTTTTCAGTTTTCAATTTTGTGTTTAAATGAATTATGGGGAAAAAATGGTGGGAAAAAAACTGAACCAGGACTAAAGCAGGACTAAAATGGACTTAAAACAGGTTTAAACCAGGACTGAACCAGGCCTAAACTAGGACTAAACCAAGACTGAACCACGTCTAAACCAGGACTGGACCAGGTCTAAACCAGGTCTAAACCAGGTCTAAAACAAGGACTAAACCAGGACTGGACCAGGTCTAAACCAGGTCTAAACCAGGTCTAAAACCAGGTCTAAACCAGGACTGAACCAGGTCTCCACCAGGTCTAAACCAGGACTGAACCCGGTCTAAACCAGGACTAAACCAGGTCTAAACCAGGACTAAACCAGGACTTCCAACACTTAGTACTGGTTCAGTCCTGGTTCAGTCTTGGTTCAGTCCTGGTTCAGTCCCGCATTGCAGTTCAAGTCACGGAAACGGCCGTTATCCTTTTTTTCCATTTTCATTTACACACAAAATCGAAAACTGAAAAAACAAATCATTATCCATTTTTTCATTTTGGTTTTGGAGACAAATAATGAAGAAAACAGTTGTTTTTTTCATTTTTTTTGGTTTTATTTTGAAAAAGGAATGAACGAATGATACACGAATTGTGCACTCATAAATAGATGATGTTGGATGATGGCAGATGTTGTTTTTACAGTAAATATTCCCTGTCAGACTAATTTTTTGTGTTGTCACGATACATTTCAAACTCGATTCCGATATGATAATTAAAAACACTCTTTTACTTCCTTTTATATTACCAAGTGGCCTATTTAGTACCAGATTTTAAACGCAACCTTACTAATTTCACAACATAGTCACATCGACATCATTATATTTATATTAGTGAAAATTTGCATGACTTAATAAAAATAATTTTACTTCCCGGTTGGACATGGACAGCAGATATGACATGTAGAGAAAAACAGGAATGTTAGCAAAGGCCATAAATAGACCTTTATTGTGTTAACTTCCTCTGTTTTTATTCTTTCCTTCTCAGCTTTTTTCCACAAGCTGCCATTTAACTGATTAATATATTACATTTTATACTACTATCCCACCAGACTAAGTAATAATAAGAAAAATATTAAAGTCTGGCATATGCAGTTTCATGTTTTTATCTTTCTAAGAAATGGAATAAATAAAATGTGTAAATGTGAAGTTGCATCACCTCATCAGGAAGGTAAGTTTCTTCATCAGTGCTGCTTAAAAGCTAAAATGCAGACACATGTATATTTAAATGTACTTACAGTAAATTAACTGACAGTTTTACTTTCATTTAAAGACTGTATTACCTCCTGTTTATCTCCTGTGATGTAAATGACTCTGGAGAAACTGGGCGGAGCGTCTGGGCTGCCCACTGGACTCTCACAGTCTTCATCATCGTCTTCTTCAATGTCCTATAGAAGCACAGTTGTAAGTAAAGTGACAATATTAGAAACCACTGTGATGTATTTGAATCAGACTGTTATGTACTCACTGAGTTTATGTACTTCAATATTTAATAAAATGTGAGTCTGGTCACTTAGATTTAGACTTAGACAAACTTTATTGATCCACAAAGAAAATTATTTGGACACAGTAGCTCACACATCACAATATAATATAAAAAACAAAGAGTAAAAAAGATATAAATGGTAATAATAAATTCTAAATAAGTAACAAAAATAGCAAGCGACTGGTGTCAAATATACATAATTAAATAAATGAATAAGTACATATCGTAAGGAAAATAACGTGAATCTCCCCAAGTTCTGATGAGATTGACTGACAGGTGAATTAGCCAATCAGGGACAAGCATGGTCCAAGCATGTCAAACTAAATATGGTTGCTGAGGAAAAAAGAAAAAAAAAATCATATCTGGGGAACTGAAATAAATGCAGATTTCTTGTGGAATCAATGAACAAAGCACTAAACTCTGCACGGTCATGTTTGGTTCTGGCTTTACGTGATGACCTGCACTTTGGTCAGCTGTGATGTCTTTAAAGTGCATTCAAGTGAACTTCAGGCTATATTTACATGATGACGGTCTGAACAGAAGATGCAAAAGTGGTGTCGTGTCTCCACTTTTTATTCCGCATTTAGACGTGCGTTTTCAGGAGGAAATCTGTGTGGATACAGTGACGCAAAAGTGTATGGAATTCGACTGGGTATGCATGCCATATTTTTGTGTACTGTATGTATGTGAGGTAAACACATACGCGATGTGAGTACATCTGATCAGAGTTTGGTGTCTTGGGCAGTGTCGACAGAAATGCTACGGCGGAGCGTATTCAGCATTTCCACTCTGAAGGGTGGTTTCAGATTTTTTTAAGCCCCAAAAACACCGTCACCATCTAAACCAGACATGTCAAACTCAGGCCCGGGGGCCAAGTTTGGCCCTGATATACTTATATTTGGCCCGCAAGATCATATCAAATATGTATTAGAGCTGCCCACCGGCTACAGATAGACTATAGAGACATTATTTATTAAAAATTTTGTTCTGGATTCAATGTTTAAGCAAAACTATTATTAAACATTTATTTTAATAAGAAAATGTTTAATATTACATACCTCAAAAGAAGAGAAAACATGCAGATGTTGTTGAAATTTTTCAATAAATATTTAGTTTGGCCCACAACTTAGTCCCAGTTTTTAATTTTGGCCTCTGTGAATTTGAGTTTGACACCCCTGGTCTAAACGAAAGGCACTTCCGATAAACTATTTCGTCATTTTTACCTGCAAGCGTTCTTGTGTAAACAAGCCCGAAGAAGCAGCTTGGATGAGCTTTGAAACTATTTTGACCAAAATAAACTTGTTTTTCTGAACACTAAAAGACAGTGTACAGAGCATTATTCATTCACTCCGTATCCAATGGTGGTAAACTACTACTGTAGCCACGGTGGCTCTGGGGCAGACTGACGGAAGCTGAGCTGTCAATCTCCACCATGAACCCCTCCGACCACTATCACTCACACACACACCACAAAATTTAATTATCGTATTGTATTATTAAATTAAATGTAATGATCTTAAGTGTGATTTAGTGAAATTAGTCATTCAGTGTGTCAAAGGCCCTTTAAGCCTTTACCTCTTCAGTGATGTGGACCCATTTGTGCAGCAGAGCCACCAGGGTGTAGTACATGAGCAGCAGGACCACAGGGTTGACGAAGTCGGGCCAGCTGATGTGTGCGTGCAGACCCAGACTGTATGGCCTCGAAGGGTGAGTTTTGATCACTCCAGTCATACCGAACAGCCTTGGAGACGTAGAAACAAAGAAAACAAAAGAGACTGAGACACAAATCTATCAATATGGTGCATTTACACACTAGAAATTGGTGATAATTGTAATCGGTAACCATAATTTCTGACAGAGTGTAGGCGTCTATGGAAGAAATACTGTTTTGGAAAAAATATTGTAACAGGAAATCTCAATCAACTGTTGAACTTTGTTAGTATTTGTATAGGACTGGCTTCACAAAGTTACATCACATGGACTTGTGTTTTGTTTGAGTGTTCATGTTTGAGTAACCCTTTATTTTCAGTCTGTCTGCATCTCTAAAGCTCTAAACCTCAAATTGCTCTGTTCCACCTTGTGATGTCATGAAGGTGGAACAGAGCATTTTCAATAACTCAGGCTAAGTTTACACTGAAACAAATCCGCGTATCACCGTATTGGAAACGATCTGCACCCAGACACGTCGTTTCTGTGTCCGCAAGCCTTCCCTATCCACACAGCTTTGAGCATATTTGTTTACATTTTACAGAAACAAAACTTAAAACCACATGTCTCATTTGCATAAACTGAGCGCTCAAAAAACAGCTCACTATTGTGCGCTGATGCGGTTCAGCTTCTGTCGGACTAAAACACAAGACTCAGTGGAATATGAGTGTTCTTTCTGTGACAGAGGGGTGTTCTGCTGATGGTGAGTCTCTTCTGTGTTTCTGTCATGTTGGAGATGGTTCATGTTAAACTTTTCAGGGATTATACGTCTGCAGGTTGTACACACAGACACACGTTTCTATGAATGGACATATATTCTAGCCTTTTAGTGTTCTGGCAGTGAATTACTTCGCGGCGCACAAACCTACATCAGAGTATCAGTGTTTTCAGGCGTCCACACAGTGCCGGATCAGATCTGTACTCAGATGAATTCATGGGAGCTGGCGGCACCAGATCGTTCCATCTCTGGAGCTGTTTTCAATTGGATTAGTGTGAATGAACACTGCATCCACAACAAAAATGACTGGAAAATGTACTAGTGTGGACGGGGCCTCAGTCTAAATCTGCAGGGTTTTATGTTAAACATGTGTGAAAGAAACAAAACACAACTCCAGGTCTGTTTTTGGTGAAGAAGCAACATTAAAAGCAACCTTTTCATTTCAGTACTTTTCAACTAAATTAATCAATTGCTTGTATTAATTACTGCACCGTGTAGCAAAACAAAAGTGATATTTGTATAAGAAAGTGTAGTGAAGTATAAACATATTCAAATCTACAAACTATTACTTAACCCAATATTTAATGCTGATGTTAAATATACCAGGTGTGATGTTACTAACCTGGCGAAAATGTCGTCATGTGGGACGAGCTGCTGGGAGATGGGCAGCTGGTACAGGTACAGGAGCAGCAGGTGTCCTCCACTGAAAATGGCCATCATCACACACAGAGAGCTGAAGAGGAGCAGGCTGAGGGAGCGACTGAAGACCCACCACCAAACCAGGCCCAGGAACGTGCCGAAGTACAGACTGGAGGTGATGGACGGGAGGATGATACCTGCAGATACACGCAAGGAGGCGCCATAAAAGAAGTGGACTAAGCGAGTGTGAGTGTGTCAGCCACAGCGTTCAGCGCCGCTCAAATGAGGCTGGTGATGCTCATGGCTACAGGAGTGAATCTGGAGCCAGGCTCTGTGTTATGAATAGGATTTTTTTGACAGACAAAATAGTGAAAAAAAAAATTCAGGATCATGTAGAGCGGGTTAATACAAACATTTTAACACCAAAATAACAAGGCTCGCAGAGGCAGTTACAGAGAAAGGGACAACACGATCTCAATGTAAGTCAATTGGAGCCAGAGTCAGAAGGAGCCGGAAGAGCCTCCTGGCGCACTTCCTATTTGGAATACGGCGGCTAGCACATTAGCTATGTCCACTTATATATACGGTCTATGGGCGGTGCCCAGGTTGAAGAGAGATCAAGGGTCTTCAACGTTTTTCCTCCAGTGAGCTAATTTTACAAAACAAAAATGCCACAGAGCTAACTATTTTAGCAGGTGCAAAGAAACTGAGTGAATATAAGAGCCTCGGTAAGGTTTAGATATGGAACAGCTAGATGTTTATGAAACATAAACCATTGTCCATTAATCAGCGCACAAAGTTAGGCATGATGAGAAAATGATACATTTACAATGGTAATTAATCAAATTTTACTTATTCAGTACAATACATAGAATTCCGAAATCCCTTGACGAATGAGAGGTGGAGAGCTGCTGGTCGCTCCTGAGCTCCAGGCTGGAGACCCCTGGTGTAAATTTACTAAATACTAGCTCTGAGAATTTGCAGATTGTGGTTTAAAACAACTGAATTTTGTTTTGCACTTTTAGCTTGATCAGGTTTTGTATAAAAGTGTGTGTGTGATGTAAATTGCAGACTTCTTACTTGTCTTGACATAGGTACTGGGCAATATCAGATATCACCTGCTACAGCAAAGTAAATATCAAACTGAAGGAATCAGCTGAAAAAACATCCATGGTGCTTGATGCTTGTGTTACACCCAGACTGTGTGTGTGTACTGCAGCCAACACATTTCAAACAGGAAGTGAGCATGGGGACGCTGCTGGCTCCATTGGCTCTGGCTCCTATTGAACTCGAGCACATTGGTGCTTGGTCTCTGTCTTGTTTCGGGCTTGGTGGCACTTGGTCTCGGTCTCGATGGAATTTGGTCTCGGGCTTGTCTTGTCATAGTCTTGATGGTGCTTGGTCTCAGTCTTGATGGTGCTTGGTCTCGGTCTTGATGGTGCTTGGTCTCGGTCTTGCTGGAATTTGGTCTCGGTCTTGATGGTGCTTGGTCTCGGTCTTGATGGTGCTTGGTCTCGGTCTTGCTGGAATTTGGTCTCGGTCTTGATGGTGCTTGGTCTCGGTCTTGATGGTGCTTGGTCTCGGTCTTGCTGGAATTTGGTCTCGGTCTTGATGGCGCTTGATCTCGGCCTTGTCTCGGTCTTGGTCTTGGCCTCTACCTTCTCTTGGTCTAGGCCTCTACCTTTAAAAGTCTTGGTCTTGTCTCAGTTTTGACTCTCCAAGGTCCTGGCCTTGCGACCCTGTGGTCTTGGACTGATCTTGGTCTCGATTAGTGCCACCCGTCTCTCTGTAACAGCTGCAGTGAACATCATCAAGTATTCGTATTAACCTGCTCTACACGATCCTCACACTCCTTTAGTTCTTTATACCGTCTGTGGTTCTACCTGCCAGTCCCAGCAGCAGAGTCACCACCACCTTCCCAGCCGTGTTCATGATGGTGGAGAGAAGCAGCCTCAGCCCCGCCGCAAACACCAGGAACTTCTGGACAAACTGCGGCGGTTCAGTCTGAGTGCGGACAGTGGTCTCTTCTGAGCTGTCAAAGGACGAGCCCTCAGACTCACTCTCCTCCTCAGACTCTGTGTCCGAGGTCTCTGCATCCTGCAGCAAAAAACACACACATAAAACTATTACGAAAATACTGAAATTGAAAATATTAATATTACGTTGTCCTGTCACTTTTAATATATAGTATTTTTTGTTTTGTCGACACGGAGCAGAGTTGGAGCTGGCATGGTTACCTCTGGGTGGGGATGGGTGATGCCGTTGTCATGGATACTGATTTGGGGAGCAGGACGAAGGAGCTTTTTGCAGAGTCTCAGGATGAAGAGTGAGGAGATCATCAGGCCAAAATCAGGAGCTAAATATCGCACCACATCTCCTGGTCCTAATAAGCTAAACCTAAGAAATGAAAGATTTAGTGTCAAAAAAGAAAACTGAAATTGTAGGACTCCAGTGAGGTTCATTTGGTCTTCCGGTAATTTATGTTATGAGGTTGTTTTTACAGATCAAGAATTTGTTTTCATACCTGACAGTTTCGACTGCTCCCTGTGCTCTTCCTCAGAGTCACGTGATGTTGCTGTGACGTGTCGCTCATATGATTTAAACCGTTTTTGGCACTGTTTTCCTAACAGTGGATTCAGGACGACAGCGCCATCTGCAGTGCAAATTCCTCAGAACAGTATCCCAGGTTTGTGAGAGTAATCGGTTAATCGTCCTGTGGGCACCTTTCTGTATTTCAATTGCCTCTTTAATCCAGCGACAATGTTTGTTTTCCTCTGCCCAGTGATGTTTGCTCGGTCGCAGTCCATAATGTGGTTCTCTCTTTTACATCGTTCAGAAACGGCCGATTTGATTTGTTCCTGTTCTGCTTTGTGTTTTGTTGCTTGTGTTTCACCTTCGATGTTTCCTTCTCATGTTCTGTTCTATGTTCCATTTTTTCGTGTATTGAACGCCCTCCCTGTTTCCCTAATGGATATTTTATTGTACAACGTGCAGGATATTTCATATACGAAACATGCCGACAGAACTATAAACCGGGACAAGGGGGCGTTTTAGTCTCACACACCTGGGATACTGTCCTGAGGACGTCGGACTGCAGATGGCGCAGTCGTCCTGCCTCAACCATTTGGAAGACAGCACCAAAACCTGTTTAAATTGAGACCACTCTGAGGAAGATTGCTGATCAGGTGATCAGGTGACTCTGAGGAAGAGCACAGTGAGCAGTCGAAACTGTCAGGTATGAAAACAATCTCTTAATCTGAAAAAAGAACCTGATAACATGAAATCATAGGAGCTGTTTGCTCATTTTGTTTATTCTTAAATTTGTTTATTATTTTTGTTTATGTCAGTTAGTTTACTAATTAAGTTTTGTTAAGATCAGTCTAATTTGTTCAGTCTTATACAGTAATACAATAATACCGTATATCCCTGTAAAATCCTGAGAAGGTTTAACAGTATCAAAATTTGGATACCGCCCAACTTAATTGTAGTTGTAGTTGAAATACACGTACAGTGACACACCTTACAATGCCAAAATGGTACATAATATCTTCCCAGGGACCACTTCCTAAAAAAAAGACAAGAGAAATGTGTGGATTTTATTTTGAATTATATGCAGTACACACTCTATATTCTGATTTAGTATGTTAAATTGTAGTTTCCTCATCAAAAACAAACCTGGAGTTCTGTTTTGTTTCATTCACACATGTTTGAGTAAATCTGTGTTTGAGAGAGGAACACCTGAACACGCAGGGTTAGTGTGAATGAAACAAAACACAATTTTGTGTGGTCTGTTTGTGATGGGGAAATGACATTGTAACATAGATCAGAAAACGGCATCATATGTGTCCTTTAAACCTGGAATACTTCTATATTTAAAGGTTGTACATTATAATGTCCGTTTACCTTCAATGGGGATGTACGTGAAGGGGATCTGCATGAAGCACTGAAGAGCGAAGAAAGTCACACTGGTGTAGATGATCGTCCGCAAGAATTGCCCCGTCCTACCTGACAACAAACAACAAACTCCAGGTATGTTTGTGAGGAGGTAACAACATTTTAACATGGTTTAAAGCTCACAAAAATCAATTCTGCGCAATATAGAACCTTTAAATTATTTAGTGGGTGCACAGATTTATGGAATAGCAATGCACCAATCCAACTTTTTCAGTTCTGATACTGATTCCGATACTATAGCTCTAAGAATCTGCCGATGCCTTATTCCTTTAAAAAAAAAAAAAAAAAGACAAAAATTATCCAAATGTGTTATGGAGCTGTTATTTATTACTTAAATTGCTACAGAACAGCTTTGTTTAAATAAAAGTTCAAACATTATGAGACTTCCAATCCAGCAAATTTTTCAGTATCAGCGCAAATATTCAAGTATCGGGTCAATCTGTTTTTCATTTGTTCATTTGTTTTACAATATAAAACCAAAAGTAAGAAAATGAAATAACAACTGTTTTCTTCATTATTTGTCTCCAAAACCAAAATGAAAAAACAGATAATGATTTGTTTTTTCAGTTTTTGATTTTGTGTTTAAATGAAAAATGGAAAAAACGGATTGTGGCCGTTTCCCGTTTACGTGACTTCTGTGACTGCGATGTCGGACTTCTGCGCTGCATACGGACTGAACCAGGACTGAACCAGGTCCGGGACCAGATCAGAACCAGACTGGGACTGAGACTGTAACCAGACCGAGACTGAGACCAGGACTGAGACCGGGACTGAGACCGGGACCAGACTGAGACCAGACCAGGACTGAGACCAGACCGGGACCAGACCGAGACTGAGACTGGGACCAGACCGGGACTGACACCGGGACCAGACCGGGACCAGACTGGGAGCAGACTGGGACCATACTGGAGGCTCAGAGCCCACGGCAGGGCCGGAGCTCGAAGCTGAAGCTCGCAGTCAAAGCTCGGAGTCCACTCTGGTCCCGCTGTGGTCCCAGTCTGGTCCCGGACCTGGTTCAGTCCTGGTTTAGTCTGTATGCGGTGCAAAAGTCCGGCATTGCAGTTTAAGTCACGTAAATGGGAAACGGCTGTTATCCCTTTTTTCCATTCTTCATTTAAACACAAAATCGAAAACAGAAAAAATTAATCGTTATCTGTTTTTTCATTTTGGTTTTGGAGACAAATAATGAAGAAAACTATTGTTTTTTCATTTTCTTATTTTTGGGTTTATTTTGAAAAAATAAATGATGATGATTGATGATGATGATGAAATTTATTCAGATGTTTCCATAAATGATAACTGATAAAGGCAATTATTTTACATTGCTTATCACAAATATAATCTTCAAAAGTAAAATAGAAATGTAAAAAAAAATCAATAATTCTGAAAAGGAGTGGGGAGAAGCAACGTTTATCTACTCTCACCTTCTTTACAATCCCATTAAAGCAATAATGTGCTTCTGCCAGACTCTTATAGTCAGTCACATTACTCCAGATACAAAATAAATATGTTATAGTTTACATTCAGATGACAAATAAACTTAAATTCCTTCTTCTGCAAATGTAGCTATAATAATTTCTTTATATTTATGTTTAAACATTTTCATATTGGACATTTTTTGATCCAGATTTTGACCCCACAGTCTGAAATATAAAAAGTTTTCCTTCTTGTTCAGACTCTGGCCATTTTAAAGAAACTAATTCCCCTTAAATTATACTACTTTCGTTTTCAATAAAGGTTTCTGAATATTTTTGGTGTTTCTTGTACATTATTTTTGTTGTCTGGAAGCTCATCAGATCCTTAAGTTTCAGAACTTTTGAAGCGATAAATAGCTGGTTGGTGTTGTCATAAAACCCATTTCATTTTTTCTGTTTTAGTGTCAAACAAAAAAACAGATTTCAAGCTCTATTTCCAATATTTAAGTTTATTTCAAATAACACCAGTCTCCTTGCCTATTTCAATTTTGATATTTTATTCGCTCTGATTTATTTGCCCCGGAAGTTCTGCTACTTATTAGTGTCTGAATTCAGTATCAACTATGGATCTATAACAAAAAACTATTTTTATTTTAGTTCTATGGAGTCAAATGAGGAGTTTATCGCTGCTTCCTGTTTCTCGTTGTGAAGTTCAGCAATGACTTTCTAAGATGCAAAAGTAAATGCATCGCTATAAAAGAAGATATGTTTGTCCACAGAACTGAAAAGATTTTTTCAGGTGAGTCCTTCTAGCAGCAAAACGTCTGGGACAATAAACCAGAGAGAATGAAATATCAAAATAAAAATAGGCACAGGGTCCATGTACCAGTCGTTCTTTTGAATTTCAATTAAGAGCGAAATATAGTAAAATGGGAAAACAGTTCGTTTTTTAATTTTTCCGTATTAATGTCAAACAAAAAAATAGATTTTGACCTCTAGTTCTAATATTTAATTTAAAGATTAAAGTCTCAGTGACTAATTAATTTTGATATTCTATTCTCTCTGGTTTATTTGCCCCAAAAGTTCTGCTGCTCAACCATGGATCTATAATAAAAAATATTTTTATTTTAGTTCTATGGAGTCAACTATCGCTGCTTCCTGTTTCTTGTCATGGAGTTTCTTTCTAAGACGTGAAAGTAAACGCATCACTGTAAAAGAAGACGACATGTTTGTCCACAAAACTGCAATGATTTTTTAGGTGAGTCCTTCTAGCAGCAGAACTTCCAGAGCAAATAAACCAGAGAGAATTGCAGTGGCTTCCAGTTCATTTTAGAATTGATTTTAAGATCTTATTGTTTGTTTTTGAAGCTTTGAATGTTCTGGCCCCACGTTACGTCTCGGACCTCATCCAGATTTACACCTCTGTGTGCTCTGAGGTCTGAGGGCCAGATCCAGCTCATGGGGCCAAAAACCAGACTTAAACCAGGAGGACAGGATCTTCTCTGTGTCTGGGCCCAAACTCTGGAAAGCTCTGCCCCTTTAAATTACATTTTGTAAATAGAGCTTGAAATCTGAAACAGAATAATGAAATAACAAACTGTTTTCCCATTTTATTGTTTTTCGTTTTTAATACATGCATCACGAATTTTGGACTTCCAGTCATTGTGCAATGCATACTGGGAAGGATATTCTGAAAAAGTGAGCATCAAACCGACATGTTTGTTTTCCCAGTGGGATGCGTCTATTGTCAAAGTCGATCTTTTCAAGTCTTTTGAATCATATCACTTTTGTTTCTGGTTCTGATATTGTCATATTTTAGTTTTGGGATGCAGACATCATAAATGTGTGGTTGTAGGATCCTAACAGCGGAAAACGGCTCGAGAAATGTGCTGCAGAAGTTTGCAAACTCCATAAATGCAAAAGAAGTTGAACATTTTGTATGTGGAGCGCCATCAAGGTGGGATCCTGTTTGCTAAGCGAGAGGTGCAGAAGACAAACAGGCTGAGCTCGCACTTTCTTGTTCTCGTGGTTTTACAGAAACATCACGTCTTGGTCTCTTTGCAGTGGATGGTGTTTCTTGGTGAACAGCTGGTGCTTTTCGCTTTGGTGTTGACTTTTTAAATTCATAACCAAGGTGGAGCGAGGGATTGGGATTTTGCTTTGATGTACAAAATATTCGCGGTAAACTCGGGGTGATTTCTTAGACAGCCAAAGGTTTCCTTTTTGGTCCTTCCTGGGATTCAATCCTGCCCATCGCCTTCACCTTTCACTATTTTTCAGTTCCATTGGGAAGGGAAACAGTTTGAACAGAGGTTTGCAGTCACACATATCTTATGCCCTTTTGCATTTATGGAGTTCGCAAACTTCCAAAGCACATTTCTCAAGCCGTTTTTGCTGTTAGGATCCAACAACCACACAATTACGATGTCCGAATCTCAAAACTAAAATATGACAATATCAGAACCAGAAACAAAAGCGATATGGTTCAAAAGACTAGAAAAAATCTGCTTTGACAACAGATGCATCCCACTGGGAAAACAAACATGGCGGTTTGATGCTCACTTTTTCAGAAAATCCTTCTCAGTATGCATTGCGCAATGACCAGAAGTCCGAAATTCGTGATGCATGTATTGAAACGCAAAAGAACGAATGGTACACGGACAGTATCGGTGTCGGTGCATCCCTGTCATGAAAATAATTAAGTAAAGCTTGCGAAGTATCCAATAATTTGATTTTAAATAGCAAAATTTGACTCAAAACGACTGACATACTTCATCCATCGTCCCTTGCTCCACTGTTGTAATCTCCCCGATCAGGTTTCAAGCATTAATAGGTGTCCCAACATTAGCTGACCCAGCAAATGTGTTGTTGATGCCTTGGATTTTTACTAAAAGCTTTGTTTCACTTAAACCTCTCCGCTTCCCAATAGCAGTCACGAAAACCTGCACGTACGAAGCACACAGGAAGTCCACGGCTCCGGCCACTTAAGGCTCAGAGAGTGGGCTCATATTAGGCCGGTGAAGATAACCACGGGATCTATGGGGCTTTCAAAGACGGAGACCAGAACGGTAAACGGGAGAAAGATGCTGTCAAAATGCTGAGCGGACATCTTTTAATTCCTCGCTGTAATTACCAGGCTATGTATAATTGATTCCACCACATCCCATTTTACTAAGTACGCAGAGGGAGGAGTTCAGGAGTTCAGATACTTTAATACATCTGAGGATCAATATGGAAAGGCACATAAACATACACGGGAAAGTACACAAGCAGCTTTATATCTATGTTCAAACATTTTCAGATTTGGATATATTTTGATCCAGATTTTGACTCCACAAAAACTTTTCTGTGTTGTTAGGACTTTGGACATTTTAAAGAGAAGAATTCCCCTTAAATTATAAGTACTTTCTCTTTCAATAAAAGTTTCTGAATATTTTTGTTGGTTCTTGTACATTATTTTAGCTGTCTGGAAACTTATCAGATCCTCAAGTTTCAGAATTTTTGAAGCGATAAATAGCTGGTTGGTGTGATCATAAAACCCATTTCATTATTCTGTTTTAGTGACAAACAAAAAACAGATTTCAAACTCTATTTCCTCTCTGGTTTATTTCTGCTTCCAGTGGCGGAGTTAGCATTTTGGGGGCCCTAGGCGAACATGAGTTTGGGGCCCTCACTCTAATGCACCGTTTTTCAGTTTTTTTTTTGTTGTTTTTAAAAAAATATGTATTGTCTGATTTTCCACATTGTTCTTGAGACATTATGGTGGATTGGAAACTTGTCTTATTAGTTCGGTCGCCTACTAGGTAACCAGAACTGAAAGCAGTTTTATTTTTTGCTAGTACAATAAAAACATTTTGTTTACATCCATTACATATTATTATTAATATTATTAGTAATATGATTATTGTTTAAAAGTAAACTACTCTCATTTAATGTCATATTGAGAGAAAATTAAATTGCTCTGAGTCCTCAGCCATTAGTGGCACTGAAATTGGTTGGGGGCCCCTCTAGGTTTGGGGGCCCTAGGCAGCTGCCTACTTTGCCGAATGGTAGTGTCGCCTCTGATGCCATCGCTTTTCAATATTGTAGGGTTTTAACTTGATACTAAAAAGGAAAATGAGTTTCTGTAAAAAAGCATACATTTTTCTTTACATCAATTACATATGATGATGATGATGATGATGATGATGATTATTATTATATTAGTAGTAGTAGTAGTAGTAGTGGTAGTAGTAGTAGTAGTAGTAGTAGTGGTGGTATTTAAAAGTAAACTACTCTAATTTCATGACATATTGAGAGAAAATCAAATTGCTCTGAGGCCTCTGCCATTAGTGGCACTGAAATTGTTTGGAGGCCCCTCCAGGTTTGGGGCCCCTAAGCAGACGCTTTCTTTTGCCTAATGGTAGTGCCGCCTTTGTAAATAAGCAGGGCAAAATTGCAGTTTGAGTTGGTGCTGGTTTCAAATCACAAAGGTCATTTTTAGACAATAGAATGCTCTATGCGACCGAACTAATAAGACAATTTTCCAATCCACCATAATTCAAAAAACTAGAGATGTGCATGCGTCTAGAATAATGAGGAAAAACAGATAAGAAATATAAGTAAATATAACTGGCATTCCCTCCATGATTCCCTCATTTTCTACAGTGTCACTTCTTATTTGTTCTTTGATTATTATTATTATTATTATTATTATCATAGCAAATAAATAAATGTTAAAAAAAAACATTGCAAACAGCATTATAGTGAGGGCCCCAAACTCAAGTTCACCTAGGGCCGCCAAACTGCTCACTTCGCCACTGCCCATGATGCCCTAACATGAATATTTTTACAGAATGAGAATATATACATTGGAAAATTCACTGAAAAACACATTTGAAACTGGGAAAAAAAAAAGGATATATATATATATATATATATATATATATATATATATATATATTACAATATCAGTCTTGTTCAGAATGATTATTGTTAGATTGAACCTGAACTTGCCAATTTCACGATCACAGCTTCTCTCACCTTTCATTGTGGCCAGACTGGGGTTCGGCAGCAGAGGCAGCATCAGCAGATACAGGAAATAGACCACAGAGAGGCCATTGAATCTGAACGAAGACGCTGGAAGGAAAACAGGGAACATGGACCAGTGTTTCTCGTTAATACAGGAGACAACGGAGGCTCCCTATGGTCTAAAATAACCCTCCTTTGCCTAAACTAACTGGACTATGTATCATCTTAAAGGGACAGTCCAGAATTTTGGACGTAGGACCTCATTTCCTAGTGAGACGTGTGGAGACACTTTTTTAAATATTCCATCCAGTCCTTGTCCATCCAGTATTTGTAGAGGTCACTGGTGCTCGACTAGTGCATGTCAATGGCCATAGTTATCCTGCCACTAAAAACAGTCTTACCCACTCCACAAAACACCTGAAGCAAAACAATTATTACACCAGACAGTCGATGTATATGTCTGTGTTGATTTTAATTGTTAGTTGTTAATTTTAGAAGTAAAACTAACCTTGCTTTTGAACGATTTATGTATGAGCAGCAGCAATGAGTTGTACTTCCTGATAGAAAGTCTGGCAGTGCCGGACTGATATATGAGAAATTAGTCCCTCAACATGCAACGATTCATGCCATGCAAGGTTAGGTTAACTTTTCTGTGTAACTTTTCTGGTGGAAAGTCGTCTAAATGTCCCAAAATAGTGTGTGGAATTCGATTGGGTATGCATGCCATTTGACGTGTTTGTTTCTGTGTACTGTATGTATGTAACGTAAACATGTACGTGACATGAGCAGATCTAACCAGAGTTTTGCATCTTGGGCAGTGTAGACGGAAATACTACAGCGGAGCGTATTCAACTTTTATACTCTGGAGGGTGGTTTCAGATTTTTGCATTTTTAAGATCCAAAAACACAGTCACCATCTAAACCAGGGGTCTTAGACTCGCGGCCCGGGGGCCAACTGCGGCCCTCGGAAGGATTTTTTGCGGCCCTCCACTTAATTCCAAAGAATAATGTCAGTGCGGCGGTGGTAGATGTACGCACAATCCCACCCCCCTACTGCGGGCCGCACTGACAGATGAAGCTGCAATCGGTGCCCATGCAGATTCAAAACAACGGATTATTAACGCATCTTACATCCCAAAACTCAACTTACAGCAGTTGTGAAGCAACAGTCTAAGTGGATCTGTTAATACGAGTACACGTACACATATGGCATCACTGAAGAACCAAAACAAACCACACATGGTGGAACAAGTGTGCGCACTTCAATTTACGCTCCCATAACCACAGTATCAGAGCGCAGAGGAGGCGCTGACAGAATTCGCCTGTTTATAAGTTGGATCTTTATTGGAGGGGCTAATAAGAAATAAAAAGACTTTGACAGTCTGTTTGCCTGCTTAACACTCGGTGCGTAACTTGCTGGCAACCCGATGACCAAGCTCCACGTATGTGTCGCCGAAATCCACGCGCATTCAGCGGCAAACACAGCTGTCCCATCAATATGCAAGCACAACAAAACTGCAGTGATCTATTCCAGAGGCTTGGCGACATGTTAGCAAAAAGTACGAGGCAAAAACAAGCGTCTTCCATCCATGTTTGACATACGAGAAGCAGATACACTCCAGTGTGGTCTGCTTTCACACCGGCAAACGAACCAAAATTGGTCCGATTAACGAGCCTCTGTATCCCGGTAGAACAGCGATACCTCCAGTAACCAATACTGATGTTCCCTGTTAATACCGTGAGCCGTCCTCATCTTATCACCATGAACTCATAAAACAGCAACATGTAAAACTTTCTACAAACTCACCGCATCAGCCCAGAGTTCGGGTAACAGCAGAAGCCAACAGCGTTCACCGTAGCGCGCAGCTCCTCACGACAGCGCTGGGGTCTGGTCCTTGGTCTTCTGTCGTCCTACAAGCGCGTTGGTCAGATGGTCCGGAGGCTCTGTCCTCCATGTGCTGGTTCCAGACGGTGGCGAGCAAGACCAGTGCGCAATGACTGGGTCTGAGCGGGTACATTCCGCCATCTGCGCGCTGGTTCAGTGCGGGGAAAGTGAGAATGCGCTGTGGACTATACCTACAGGTCTGTGCTGCTCCTGTCCTCCGCGCTCAAGAACCGCGGCTGGTTCCGAGGTGGTGCAAAGCATCCGGACAGAAGCATGAATCCAGTTTAGTTGGTGTCCGCATTTGGTTCTTCCCGGGAAAAGCGCTTTTCACTCCCCGCTCCACGTCATCTGAGCCCGGACAGAGCCGGAGCTGCTCCTGCTGGTTCGAGACTCCAGTTTGGATCTAGTCCGACTGTATTTCTCACACTAGGCTAAAAGCAGGACATTTTTTAAAGGTGAATCAATTGATAAGATAAGATAAGATAAGATAAGATAAGATAATCCTTTATTGTCTCCCATGGGAAAAATTTGTCTTGGGACAGGGGGTAACATGTTTTATCAAAAAAAAGGACAACACAACACAAAGCAGCACATAAACAAACACCATAAAACAAAGTAAATATGAGACCAGTATGACCACGAGTGATGCACCAACAGGACCCTTAAATTATCCTTAACAGGCAAACCCTTGCATTCTTCTGTTCTATTAATTATTGCACATTCCCTAAGCCTATGTGCAGTTTTGATTGCACATTCCCTAAGCCTATGTGCAGTTTTGATTGCACATTCCCTAAGCCTATGTGCAGTTTTGATTGCACATTCCTTAAGCCTATGTGCAGTTTTGATTGCACATTCCCTAAGCCTATGTGCAGTTTTGACTGCACATTCCCTAAGCCTATGTGCAGTTTTGATTGCACAATCCCTAAGCCTTTTTTATAATTATTTTTTAACTGCATTATCTGAGTTTAGCAGTTTAACAGCTAGTGGCACAAAAGAATGTTTGAATCTGTTCAGTTTACAGTTTGGGACCTTCCTGATCACCTTCCTGCTGAGCTTCCTAACAGTCTCCTCAAAAATTTGCTGAAGTGAGCTTGGGGCCACACCCATTATTTTACCTGCTCTTTTAGTCAAGGTAAGAATCTGTGCTTTAAGTTTGACTGAGAGGTTACCAAACCATGTTGACATGCCATAGCGTAAGATAGATTCTATGCATGCTTTATAAAACAACAGCATTACATTGGTGTCAACTCCATGTAACCTAAGCCGTCTTAAAAAATAGAGATGCTGGCTGATTCTTGAGCAGACAGACTGTACCTGCTGGCTCCATTGGAGCTGAGAATCAAATAACACACCCAAGTACTTATAACATGTCACCTGCTCTATGTCCCTCCCCCTGATATTAATGGGGCTGTGGTCCCCGACAGATTTGGGATCAAAAATGATCTCCTTTGTCTTTTCCACATTTAAGACAAGGTTATGCTCCTCACACCAATGCACCACTTCATCAATTCCTGTCCTGTAGCTGATGGCATCTGTGCTTTTACTGAGTAAACTAAGAATAGCTGTGTCATCAGAAAATTTAATTATATAGTTGTTTACCTGTCTACTCCTGCACGCATTGGTGTACAAAGTGAGCTAACACAGCCCTGTGGTGCCCCAGTGCTGACAACCTGAATATCTGACAGCGCTGAGTTAACCTTAACTTGTTGCTGTCTCCCTGTAAGAAATGCCCAATACCACTTAATAACATGACTGTTAACACCCAGATCTAACAGCTTCTTCAGCAGAATGCTCGGTAATATTGTATTAAATGCTGAGCTAAAATCCATGAACAGAATTGAATGGGCGATTGCCTATTGCCATAAAATTATTTGGTTAATTAAAGCCAAAAATATCAAATGCTGGTTCATACATGATCACAGGGAACACCGGGACCTCTGTGCAGGTCCTGAACAGAAGTACACACCCCCAATTTTGACTCACTCTGGAGCCACACGTTCGCACGTACTTGCTCTGATCTTCGTGTGTTACATTCTCTGTATTGGCCATTGTTGGTAAAATAATTTGAAAATGAATCGCGGCTGCGTCTGGTCAACAATCTGTTACTGCGCTGGAAGTCATACAGCGCGTCTTTACAGGCAAAGAAGACGTGTTTCTCCCATGATGCATTTCGAATAGTTCGTTTGGACCTGCTGTCTATGGTTTGGACACGGGTTCGCATTCACACCAGAGGTGCGGATTCAAGCGAACCAAGACCACCTCTTTTTTGAGGTCTCGGTCCGCTTGAGTTGGTCCGGGTCAGAGTCCTATTGACGCATTCACACCAACGCAAACGAACCGCTTCTGGTTCGAATGGACCGTTTGGTGCGCACCAAATACTGTCGGTGTGAAAGCACCTAATACAGGTCAAGGCTCACTGATGAGCATCTTCAATCTATCCTGAGGATCTCATATGCTTCCTCCTGCAAACCAAATATCTCTCAGCTGTGGAAGATGAAGCGTAGCCAGGTTTCAACCAGCAAGGAGTAGGCAAAAGAAGAAGAGTAGACATATTAGTTTAAACTTACGTTCTGAATACATTTTCGTATTCTGAACTGTTATTAAAGATTAAGAAAGTGTGTTGCATGTTGTTCTTTCTCTCTCTTTTTTTCCCGTGCAACCGCTATTTATCAAATACTCAATGCGGCCCAGCCTCACTCAGACTTTATCTAATGTGGCCCCCAGGTACTTTGAGTTTGAGACCCCTGATCTAAACGAAAGACACTTCTGATAAAATATTTTGCCATTTTTACCCACAAGCGTTCTTGTGAAAAGAGGCCCTGAAGGTAAAAGGAGCTATTCACTTAAAAACTACCGCTTCATCCACCTTACTGGCCCAAAGGCTGATTTTACTTAATTGGAATCTTCCCCATCTCCCGACACTTCTCCACTGGGTTTGTGAAGTGCTTTACAGTCTTAAACTTGAAAAACTGAGGTTCTCACTCAGAGGCTCTGTTAAATTATTCCATGCTACCTGGGACCCCTTTTTACATCACATAGACTCTTTAACTCTTCCTCAGAATCTGGAGGATGGCTAAAGTAAAGAAAATAATCCTTTCTTCCACTCAATTTTTCCTCTTCTTTTCTCATGTAAGTTTTTCACCTCTATGGGCTCCTTTCCTCCTTTCGCCTCCCTACTTCTTACTTTTTAATTTATTCTTAAATTAGTTATTCTTTTTATTAATTTTCATCATTATTATTATTATTATTATTTGGATTAATTTACAATGTGTATTTATTTAATTTATCTACTACTATCAATTTTATTTACTTTACTTTATTTACTCATTATTATTATTTTAATTGATTTATTTATTTTTATTTTGGGTTGTTTGGCCAGTGGGTGGGGGGTTGTGTCCTCCTTACTACTAACTACCGCTTCATGACATCACAAGGTGGACCAGAGCATTTTGAGCTTTGGGAATGCAAACAGACTAATAATAAAATGTCACTCAAACCCGTGTGAATGAAACAAAACACAACTCCAGGTCTGTTTTTGATGGCGTAATAACATTATAACGTGGCTTACAGCTCACAGAAGTCAAAATCGCATAATATAAGAGCTTTAAATGAAAAATAATTCATGGGAAGCATCATGGCATATTTGGTTTGGTTGGTTACATAACCAGGTATAACTTTGTACAGCAGCCTTAAACTTAGACAAACTTCCATTATTATTTGGACACAGTAGCTCACACATCACACTATAATATAATAACAAACAGCAGCAATATAAAAATAAGATATAATATGGTAATAGAAGTACATCTCCTCATATAGCCTCATAATAATATCCGTCTGTAACAGTTAGCTCTGTTTATTATCAAATTAAAAGCCCCAGAGCCGTTCGCCAGGCCCTCCTCTGGATCGATAAAAAGGAGTCATTTAATCTCCTTCCACAAAAGAAATGATTAAGCATTCAGAAAAAATACAGTACATTATCACATGCCTAATCCCAGAAAATCATCTTTACACACTGGATTTGTCAATAAATATAGCAGAAAATAAAATTAACAGTGCGATTTTAAAACTATAACTGTATTTTTCCTCGTACAAGTGCAAAGAAAACATATTTAAGGAGGGATGTAACGATATTCAAATCTCACGGTACGATATTTATTGTGATATTTTAAAGAGACTAAAATTAATTGTAATTGTATATGGTACACTTTTATGCTTTTAAAACACCTTGACAAGATTTTGATGTGAATTATTACCATCATAATCCCAAGAATTCAAGTAAAAAACATATTTCTTCATGTTGTCTGCACTGAAATGAATCATGGGATATGTAGTTTCCAATGTTTATAAGCTGTTACTTCTATAAAATCATGCATTTAAGCAGAGGAACTTGAGGATTTGATATATTGTGACGGCCCACGGTATTATTCTGAGACTTTTGACAATACGATATCACGATATTTCAGTTAAGAATTTGAAGACAAAAACTGTGCAAAACTGTAATCTGGTTCTCTGCTGTTATTGCAACAACAGCAAACATGGGCAGTACTTTTACATTCACTTTTTCAAGCATTTGTACTTTTGTTGCTTCATATTTTTACTCCTATTTGAAAAATATTTGTATTAAAATAACAGTACTCTTACTTGTGTACAAATTTCGATTATTCTTCCCACCGTGAGTAAGTCTAAAAGTAACAAAAGCTTTATTTATTTTATTTGGATTTGAACATTTGTGTCTTATTTTTGGTCTATCCTTTGAAAATACCAGATTTTGTGCATTTTATCCTTTAAATTACAATCACTTCAAATTTTAAAACAGTTTTACGTCCTGCTAGTTACTTTTTAAGTCACTCTACTTATTTTTTACTCTTAATTCAGTAATTTCTTAGACCACTACTTTGTACTTTTGCTTGAGTAAGATTGTTTTGAAGTTACACTTTCTTACTTGAGTACAATTTTCATTTACTCTACCCACTTTTGACAACAGCACATACATTTTTAAGTTGAAGTTACCATAATTAAAAACATTATACCACACCATATGTTATTGCGTTAGAACAGACATGTCAAATTCAGGCCCGGGGCCCAAATTTGGGCCGTGATATAATTACATTTGGCCTGTGAGATCATATCAAGTCTGTATCAGAGCTGTTAGAGAGGCTATAGAGACATTATTTATTTAAAATGTTGTTATTATTTTATATTTTGCTTGCTCTGGATTCAGTGTTTAAGCAAAACTATTATTAAAAATGTATTTTAATAAGAAAAGGTTCAACATTACATCTCATTAGAAGGGAAAATATGCAGATGTCACTGAAATTTTCCAATAAATATTTAGTTTGGTCCATGGTTTAGTCCCAGTTTTTAATTTTCTCCCTCTGTGAGTTTGAGTTTGACACCCCTGCCTTAGAAACTATTTTCTCACCCTTATCTCCTCGCGACTCACAAACTGTGTGTAAAAAACAAAAGTCCCACTTACCTGTCAGCAGAAGCAGAGGTAGCAGTAAGTTATAAACCATCCCTACTGCAAGATCCCCCGCCATCTCTCTGAGCTTTTCCCAAAATGAAAACTACATCAAAATCTTCAAATCGTCACAAAAACATTTACACATCCCTCTGAAATCTGCCATGCCCCAACAACACCATCTTTCACCGGTTCGAAAAGCACCAAAATTCTCAAGCCGAAGTCCCAATCTGTGTGTTTGTTGGTGTAGTAAATGCCTCCACCACTCCTCAGTCACGCCCTCTCCGCTCTGTCTCTCTCTCTTTCTCTCTCTCTCCACCTCCAGTCCCTCTTTTTCTTCGCTTTAATGGGTTATAGGCGAGCATCTCCGTTATCAGGTCTAATCTCACTCAGGAGAATACAGGTGCTGTCAGTAAATGTTCCGAATCGCGCCTCTCGTAATGTATCAAAAGTACAGCACAATCGAAAACGGCCTTGTAAAAAATGTTTGGATAGTTTAATGCCTTATCTATCGAATTGAAACAAGTTTATGTCCAGCTATCGACACGGCTGTTGGCTCATCATATTTGTGCCGCGGAGTGAAGGGAAATGTATCTAATATTCATGGCTGTGAGGAGGCCATTAGGAGCTGCTGTGACTACAAGTGATCAATGCCAAAACGTCAGCTGAGCAAAACATGTTCTTCGGCCTTAAAAACAGCCAAAAACTAAATCTGTATGTTTGAAGAGGAGCCCCCTGTAATCACTGCGTATGTTGAATTATTTATTTTACCCCAACTGCACTCAAAACTACAGCACACGTGTATTGATTACGCCAAGAAAGGGTTAATAATTGAAGAAGTTACACTCAAAGGACTTGACGATAGTTAGTACAGCTGTTCTGTGAGTTTCAGAATGATGAAAAGTGAGGACCCTTGTCATACTATAAGCCACACTTTTTCATGGTTTAGGTGTTTCCTGTGACTTATATATTTCAAAATGTTGAGAGTGAAGCGTGGAGAGGCTCTAGTCTTGTGGGTCAGTATCTGCTGCTCCTGTTCCTCCTGTACCACTGTCACTTGGCTCAACTGCCCATGTCTCCTGCAGAAAGAGCCTCTGTCCTGTCTGTATCATGTCAGTCGATCGCACCATTACTTCTGTACCACTGAAAATTAAAAATTTAAACAAACTTATAAAGATGAATGAGAAGATTGAACACAAATGCCTCCAAAAAGAAAATCAGGTTTTGCATATTACAAACTGCAAGTTGTGAAATCTGCAGCTGAAAACGGTAATTGAGCAGCAGAAAGAAAGTTTGGAGTGAGAGAGAAACTTGTGACATCAGGAGGATGCACCAAGAAACTTTCCTGAAGTCACTGGACTTCAGTGACACCAAAACCTTCCTGCCGGGATTCAGAAAGGCCCGAATAATTCTAACTGGAACTGATGCTGAGTCTGACGACAGCTACAAAGAAGAGGAAGCGGTGCTCTGTTTACCTCCGGAGGTCGTGGAGTTGCTCAGAAGTGACACCAAGGATGAAGAATTTAATGGATTTAGTGATTTTGAGTGAGATGGAGAGTTTGTTAAACTCCTCTGTTCTGTTGTTTATGTTATAGTTTATCTGAAGAACTGTTCATATGTGATGTTAACAGTCTGTTGGTCTCTCTTCAATTGTTATTACTAGAACTTGACTTTACACATGAAATGTCGGTTTATGATCTCTGATTTTATCAAATTGATTGATAGCATTTATATAGCGCCTTTCAAGATACCCAAAGCGCTTTACAGTTCATTATTCAGTCACTCCACACTCAGTGGTGGTAAGCTACTACTGTAGCCACAGCTGCCCTGGGGCAGACTGACAGAAGCGAGGCTGCCAATCTGCGCCATCGGCCCCTCCGTCCCCCGCCATCACTCATGCTCACACCACTTACATACTAGGCAATGTGGGTGAGGTGTCTTGCCTAAGGACACAACGACAGTTTTTTGCCACTGGCGCCCCACTGTGGCACCTGGAATTCCTAGTGGTCTCCCATCCAAGTACTACCCAGGCCCAGCCTGCTTAGCTTCTGAGATCTGACGGGATCAGGCTTTTACAAGCCAGTATGGCAATAAAATAAATAAATAAATAGAAATAAATAAATTTCCCCCCAAAAGTGCGACTTATATATGTTTTTGTCTTCTTCATTACGCATTTTTGGCTGGTGTGACTTGGACTCCGGAGAGACTTATAGTCCGAAAAATACTGTAATTAAAAGTGCTGGTTGAAGGTCGTCTCAATGTCTCATAATAAGTCATTAAACATCTGTCTCCATGACGTCCGCCAAGTTACAGTTCAGATCTATGGGTAAGTGAGCCCGCTCTCAGTCAGAATGCTTTTCAAGACATTAAAATCCCTTGTAATTGAATAAATGCAAGTAATATAAGTTTTTGAGCATGTGATGTAATTTGCATGTCTTTAAAAGAAAGAGCAAAATGAGACATAAAGTTGCGTGTATGTTTGATGAATTCCTTCCAAAAAAAACCTGATAATGACGTTTCTCATTTACGTGACTTAAACTACGATGCCAGACTGTATCAGGACTGAACCAGGACTGAACCAGGTCCGGGACCAGACAGGGACTGAGACCGGGACTGATACTGGGACCAGAGCAGAACTGACACCAGGACTGAGATCAGGACCAGACCAGGACTGAAAACCGTTTAGTCCTGGTTTAGTCTTGTTTTACACAAAATTGAAAACTGAAAAAACTTTTTTCATTTTGGTTTTGGAGACAAATAATGAAGAAAATTGTTGTTTTTTCGTTTTCTTATTTTTGGTTTTATATTGAAAAACTATTGAACGAATGGAACACGGATCGCACCTGTCTAAATTAAAATTAAGAGTTTTTGTGAGGCACTTAATGTGTTTCTTAAATGTCAATGTCAGGTCCAGTGTCAGTCCCAGGTATTTAAACTCTTGGGCGAGTTCCAGCCCATCCAGAAAGACATTGGACTTCTGTAAGATTACTCGCTACCGGATCGCAAGACAAACTCGACGCATCAACACTTCTAGGTTCTGGTTTTCACGTATAATGGCTTTGGTCTGAACATAACTGCTGAACACCTCTTTAAGTCTGAGTTTCAAGAAATGTAATACTTGATTTACCTTATTTTGATGAGGATAGTTACAGGACAGAATACTGAAATACTGTATATGACTTTCTACCCCTCTAATGATTTTTGTGGAGGAGTGGCTATTGACGGATGACTTCAGATGGCCTGTTTCAGCATCTCTTTGAGGATGACTGCATCGTACTTTTTATGACTGCAGTTAATCAGCTCTGTGCATAACATGATAGTCTCCGTAATTCAGGTTAGACAACAGCTTTTACTTATTTATAACGCTGTAATGGTCTTTTACCTCAACGCAGTTCTTACACTGAGTCCTGTAAATGTAGGTCCCTATGAAACGTGATCAAATGCATTATTTAAAGGCCTGATATTACACAAAACTGATGACATGTGAGCTTTAAGACATGTTACAATACTATTATCTCCTCAAAAACAGACCTGGAGTTGTGTTTTGTTTCATTCATGTGTTGAGTAACATTTTATTATTAGTCTGTCTACGTCTCCAAAGCTCAAAATGCTCTGCTCCTTTTACTTTAAGTTCAGTAGAGATTGAAAATTTCAGAGCTAAATTGTTCAAATGATTTTAGTGAAGGTGTGTGGAGTTTAAAGGGACAATCTAGGCCTCAATTCCTAGTGAGCCAGAGTGTTGGAGACGTGTGGAGACACTTTTTTAAATATTCCATCCAGTCCTTGTATCTGCAGAGGTCACTGGTGCTAGACTAGTGCATGTCAATGGCCATAGTTATCCTGCCACTAAAAACAGTCTTACACAATTACGCAAAATTGACTCTTGTGAGGTTTAAGTCCTGTTACAATGTTGTCATGTCCTGAAAAACAGACCTGAAGTTGTGTTTTGTTTCATTCACATGCTGAGTAATCCTTTATTATTTGTCTGTCTACATCTCCAAAGCTCAAAATGCTCTGTTCCACCTTGTGATGTCATGAAGCGGTAGTTTTACTTTCAGAGATCAATCCCAGAGTTGAAACCATTAGCCTGATTCATCAGCTGGTTTCACTTCGTGAAAATCGTCTGACCTCACAGCATTTGGATTTGTTCACTCGACAGTAGTCGGGTACTTTTTTTTAATTTAACCAATAATGCACCGAAACACTCCGTGGTGTCCAAGTAATTTCCAGCACAACAGCAAACAAAGCAGAGAGCTGACATGTCTGTCAAAGATCATTGTCATTTCTGCAAGAAGAACTTGTGAATTAAAGGTGCAATAAAAATGTGAAGTTTGTTTTTGGGAATCGTTGCCAACACAGAATGTCTGTCTTCGTCTAAATCCATCTCAACGCTTTGTTTACTGTTGTGTTGTTCCACAAAAGGGACCCAGACAGACGCGACGAGTTTGATGTCATGGCTTCACAGCTCACAGCTGATTGGTCAGTGCACGGTCTACAACTTCCAAGGTTCTTGCAAACCGTCTAGTGTATTCTGATTCCTGACCTGGTCGCTGGAGAGAAATGAAATTGAGCGGATGCACTAGGTGACACCAGCCTGGGTAGAAACCATAGACACAGCAGCTACATTTTACCTTTTCTTTTGTTGACACTGAAAATTTCAGAGGTAAATTATTCAAATGATTCTAGTAGGACAGCGCAAGGTGGTCTGTTTGAAAGAAGAACTCTGGTAAATCTGCAGGAGTTAAGTGTTAAACATGCATGAATGAAACAAAACACAACTCCAGGTTTGTTTGTGATGAGGAAACATTATAACATAGATCAGAAAATAGCATAATACAGGCTCTTTAAGTGCAGGCCTATTGACAGTATTAGTAGGAATTGTTACTAAATAAAAAAAACATAGTCTACATTTATGGGTAAAAACTAAATTTATAACAAACTACAGTGAAATGCAGTCAGTGTTCTGTTGCTGAAGAAATGCTGCCATCTAGTGTCAAACAGAGAGAGAAGAAATTAGTGATGATTAAGTTCACAAACAAGGTTGAGTAATTTTTTGAACAACTACTTTGTCCTTTTGCTTAAGTAATATTATTTTGAAGTGAGAAGTGAGAAGTGAAGCAGTTTTTGGCTACTCTAAACCCCTCTGGTAACAGGACATTGACCTCAGACTAATCTAATGACTTATGACATAACTTTGACTTAGACAAACTTTATTGATCCAGAAGGGAAATTATTTGGACACAGTAGCTCACATCACAATATAATATCATAACAAAGAGTGAAAAATGTAAATGGTAATAATAAATTCTAAATAAGTAGCAAAAAAGAGCAAGAGACAAGTGTTATAATAAGATATAATTGTAAATGTAAGTGTACAAGTCGAAATAAAATACAAAAATAAGTGATAAAATATAAAATTTCAGCTTTATACAAGAGGAAGTGATTACACACTCTCTATCTGCACTCCACAAATAAAATTAAACTTGAAACGTGACAAAATGGTTGGATTGGTTCATGATATTACATAAGGGTTAGACCAGACCTGGGCTTGGTCCAGCTCCGGGGCCACATACGGGGCCACATACAGTTCTTTGGTCGACTCTGACCGGCCCCTTTAAGATCATTTGGAATTACAAAATAAATATATTTTATTTTATATATTATTATTTTACCTCATGCTCGACTAAAGCTGCACTGATTTTATTTTAGAGGTGTTTTTTTTTTTTTGTAAGACAACCTCACTAAACCAAAACTGAACCAGAACTAATCCAGAACTAAACCAGAACTAAACCAGAACTGAACCCAAACTAAATCAGGACTAAACTAGAACTGAATCAGGTCTAAACCGTATCTAAACCAGGTCTAAACCAGGCCTAAACCAGAACTGAACCAGAACTAAACCAGAACTAGACCAGGACTAAACAAGAACTAAACCTGGTCTAAATCAGAACTAAGGCAAGTCTAAATCAGGACTAAACCAGGTCTAAACTAGAACTGAACCAAGTCTAAACCGGATCTAAAAGCACGATTAAACTAGAACAAAACCAGGTCTAAACCAGAACTAAACCAGGTCTAAGTTAGAACTAAACCAGGTATAAACTCAGACTAAATGGGTTTAGTGCTTTACTGCTTTTTATAACAAAATACATTTAATATTCTGTAGAACTGAGTTCAGCATTTTGTCTCTCCACAGTATTTTCTGTTTCTCGTGTGGCCCCGTGGAGAAAATAATGTTCACCTCTGTGTTAAAATAAAAAATTAAAAAAAAAACATAAAAAATAAACACACACTGACACTTTTGATACTTTTGTGCGTCTACCAAGATCTGCAGTACAAGATCAATACTGATAAAGGGATCATGATTGTATTTCTGTATCTCTGCTCCTCCTTCTGTGCCCCCCTCTTTACTTTTTTTAAATTTACTTATTTATTTTTCCCCCAGGTTCTGTTTAATTTACTTTAAGTAGCAAAACAGAGCAAAAAAAACTGCAACACATTTAAATTTACAGCCTCCGTCTCTGCTCTGGGGTCCCCGTTATAAAAACTCAAAGACCAAGGAAATCTGTGTGTCATTCGTTCATTAGTTTTTCAAACTAAAACCCAAAAAAAGAAAACAAAAAATAACTGTTTTCTTAATTATTTGTCTCCAAAACAAAATTTTCAATTTTGTGTTTAAATGAATAATGAAAACAAAAAGGGATAACAACCTTTTCCCATTTACGTGACTTAAACTGCGATGCCGGACTGAACCAGGACTGAACTGTTTTCAGTCCTGGTGTGGTCCCGGTCTCAGTCCTGGTCTGCTCTTAGCCTGGTCCCGGTCTCAGTCCTGGTCTCAGTCCTGGTCCTGGTCCCGGTCTCAGTCCCAGTCTGGTCCCAGCCTCAGTCCTGGTCTCAGTCCTGTCTGGTCCCGGACCTGGTTCAGTCCTGGTTCAGTCCGGCACCACAGTTTAAGTCACGTAAACAGGAAACGGTTGTTATCAGTGTTTTCCATTTTTCATTTAAACACAAAATTGAAAAACTGAAAAACAAATCATTATCTGTTTTTTCATTTTGGTTTTGGAGACAAATAATGAAGAAAATAGTTGTTTTTTCGTTTTCTTTTTTTTGGTTTTATGTTGAAAAACGAATGAACGAATGACACACGTACTCGAGGATAACGCTTTTTTTTGTTTGATACTTTGATAGTGCGGTGACGTCACGCTGGGGGTGTTCTACATGTATTTCTGTGATGGAATGTTCCACAATTATCACGGTGACACAATGCACACGTTGGGAAACACGGCCAGAAAGTTTTAAGATAAGAAAAAATAACAAAACTGATTTAAACAGCACATTTTCAGGAGCCTGTGATCAATACGAGAGTTCATGGTCCTGTTTAGTTTGATTTTCAGAAAAAAGGTGAGAGTAACTAAACTGTTGGGTAATGCGAGATAGACCGTGACTGTAATTTTATCTGAGATTTCTTTATATATTTACGGCACACATCAGCTCACCTGTGGTCGTTCCATCTCTTTCTGATCCGATTATATCGGGGTCATCAAATTAACAGTGGACGACTCATGATTTTTTTGTTAAGTGTAAGGACCGTGTAAATGGTCACATTTTTCTATAGCTCACCCATTCACACACACAGGGGTCGAGGTGGGTTAAGTGTCTTGCCCAAGGACACAACAACAGTGGGAGCCAACCTGTGGGTTAGTGAATCTGACCAATCAACCTATGTTTTATTTATACATGTATATATGTGTATTTATAACAGTTTCTTCTATTTTGTTGAATGTGAAGCACTTTGGTCAGCTGAAGTTGTTTTAAATGTGCTATATAAATAAACTTGAATTGAATTTTTTATGTCAAGAGTGAGATTCAAACCGCCAAACTTCAGATCAGTGGATGAACGCTCTACCAACTGAGATACTGTAAAAGATAAATTTACAAACAGACTAAAATATATAAAGAATGTAGCCTAAACTAAGAAACAAAACAACAGAATTACAGTTTTGTGCAACAAAACGGGTCACTCAGGCTTACACAAAAACGAGTGGTTAAACTGAGGGACACACACAAAACTAAAACACAAGTTCCTCAAAGTACACACGGACCCACAAACAGAATCAAGTGACCAAATTAAAAAAGGCACCAGACAGAACTAATCTACAGAACTAGACACACCTGACCTCAAATTGGCAGAGTGGCCACAAAGCCCAACAGCCTCAAACAGGTGCTGCCAATCTCCTTAAACAACGAGAGAAGTGGCTGCAGGTGCGATGGGCATAGACAGACCCCACCAATCACAGACCAGGACTCCCACAGCAGGAATCAGGACAGCTCAGCAAAATCATTTCAAACACACAAAACAAGTCAGAACTAAAGGCCTGGGGTCTTAACACCATCGCACAAAAAGTTGGACTTCTGGACACGCTGAAGGAAGGGGGAAGTTACACGACTGTAGCAGAGTCCTGCACCGGGTCGAGTACCCGTGGGGTTCCTGATTCAGTCCTGGAATCAGTCCTAGGTTAGTCCTGGGTTAGACCAGGTTCAGTCCTGCTGGTGGTTTTTGTTGTAAATATTTTGTAAATGGTGTGTTCACCTCATTGTGTGAAACAAAAAAACAAACCAAACACTGTAAAAAATAAGTTATTTTTTGTTGTTTTGTTTATGTCCTCAGGCAAGACACTTCACCCACATTGCCTAGTATGAAAGTGGTGTGTGTGTGAGAGTGACGGTGGTGGTCTGAGGGACCGATGGTGCTGATTGGCATGGCAGCTGCGCTTCTGTCAGTATGCCCCAGGGCAGCTCTGGCTACAATAGCAGCTTACCACCACCCGGTGTGGAGTGAATGAATAATGCTCTGTAAAGTGTCTTTGTAACATGTGTCTGTGAAAAATGCTATATAAATAAACACTTACTTACTTACTAAATAGTGTGGTAAACAAACCGAAACATGTAACAAGTATATGTTACTGTGCTATTTTTGTTGTGTATAGCCTGTAAATGGTGTGTTCATCTCATTGTGTGAAATAAAAAACAAACCAAAAACTGTTAAATATAAGTTATTCAGTTATTTTTGTAGTAATTTGTGTGATAAACAAACCAAACACTGTAAGAAATTTAAGTTATTGTGATATTTTTGTTCTAAATATTTTGTGTTCACCTCATGAATTTTTTGTTATTTTTGTTGTAAATATCTTAAAATAATGTGGTAAACAAACCAAGAAATGTAACAAGTATAAATTATTGTGATATTTTTTATTGTAAATATCTTATGTTCACCTCATTGAGTAAGTTTTTGTGTTATTTTAGTTGTAAATATCTCGCGTTCACCTCACTGAGGGCGCCGTTTCCTCCGCAGAGCCGCCGCGCCGCTGACGCTCCTCCGCGCCCGGGCCACGTGACGCGGCGAGCGGCCTCTCCTCTGCTCGGTCCCTTCCTTCCCAGGGTTCAATGAGCGCTGTGTGGCCCCACCCCGTCTCTCTTTAGCGCTGTCTATCTCCTTAATGTAGGCTACTATTCTCGGGGAAAGTGCAAAGGAGAAGCGAGAGAAAACACCACCTTTCGGCTTTCGGTTGTTCCTGTCGTCCACCTTCCTCGACCAGTGGCCGGTAGGGGAGCGGCCTCCGCGGTGTGAATGTGCTGCTACAGCCGCCCCGTGTCCTATTTTTTGTGAATGTAAATGCACATGTAGTCTCCAAGCCTGTAGCCTGTGTCCCAGCCTTGGATCAGGAGGAATATGGACATGTGTGAGACTATTCTGTGCCTTTACTGCACCATAACCCTCAATGTAGGCTTTAAAAGTGAGCCGTGACAGCGGGGGTTGCTTTTTCACCTGCAAGGAACTAACGTGGATTCTTTTCAAGGGATTTTCACGTCTTGGTCACGTTTCGTCTGTTTGTTCGTTATCGCCTTTTTGGGATATATTCGCTGTCCGGGGTGTTTTTGTTGCTGAAAAGTGCGTCTTTGCGCAGTTTGGAAGGCTCGCTGGTGATGTGAGGGGCTGATAACACATATGAGCAACAAAAGCGAGGAGCAGCGACAGAGAGCAGGCCTTTGAAGAAAACACAGCCTGCCTTCTCAAACCAGAGGAAATAACCAGGGGATAGTGGCTTGTTTTACCGTGGAAGGCGGCCCGGATCCATTTCAAAGACGCCTCCCATGAGTTAGGGTAATTTTGGGCTAATTTGGTGCGGCCATAGCGGAGGAGCAAGATGACAACGGAAGCTACGAGACGATTACACATGTAGCTCGTTTGGGTGTAAATATTCTTTCCCTTTCGCTTGTCTGTACGTTCCCCGGTGAAGGTAGAAGTCAGATTGTGTTGCTAAACCGACCACAACCCGAAGTATTTACGTGCGACAATGTTAAAAGCTCAAACTGGTGCCGAATCGCGTCGTGCCGACAACGGGGCGAGCATTTTGGACACGCCGAGTTTGGCTCCTTGTCACGGGCAGCAGTGAGACGCAACACCCGGGCTTTTGGAGATGCAAATTAGCCAGCTCACCCTGCCTCCATTCGGGGTGAAAAACCGGTTTTTGCCATCGTAAAGGACACTCGGGGATTGGGGGAGATATACGCGCGAGTCTAGCCCAGTGCATGTGAAGGGAAACGCGTGAATCGAGGCGGCCTGCTGCGGTGTCCTTCCCTTCTGACAGCACAAAACGCGTTATGGACACGGCTTTTCCCCCGAGCGGCACCACGGACTGTGTAGGAGCAGGCCAGGGACGATCAGCGGCGTGAATGTAGGCGGCATCGCTCCCAAAGCCGTGGGTCAAACTAGGGATAAAGCCTAATTATTTATTTATTGAGCCTCCGTTACGCACTCTCCACGGTCTCCTTCCTCCTCCCCCGTACGCCCCTTTTTTTACTTTTTCTTGCGGGAAGATGGGTTGTTTGGGCAACAGTAAGACCGAAGACCAGAGAAATGAGGAGAAGGCCCAACGTGAAGCTAACAAGAAGATTGAGAAGCAGCTCCAAAAGGACAAGCAGATATACAGAGCCACGCACAGACTACTACTTTTAGGTGAGTTCGGTTTCCTCCCGGCGCGCAGACAAGGCCCCAGTTTGCACAGGGCTTCCTCGCTCACTGCATAACCTTCTGGGATGTTGTTGTGTCAACATTGTCAACATTGTGACTCTGCACAAACCCAGGTTACCTCAGAAATGCTGCTCGTTTTATACAAGTAGGCAAATGATCACACATGGCCTAGTAAGAAAATGCACAGGCCGGACATTTATACAGTTTTCTCAGCTCAGTTTCTCCAAATAATTTCCCTCGTGGCTCAATCTGAATCTAGTAGATACTGTTATTAACTTAAAATATTGAAGGTAAAAGAGAATGATGAAAATACAATGTCACTCCTACACAGTGGTGGAGCTTAACAAAGTAAAAGCTTTTAAGTATTGTACTTTTAAGCATCTGTACTTTTACTTTAGTGGATTTTTAAAGTGGACACATTTTTACTTTTACTTCTCAGTCTTGTTCAAAAATGTGGTGTGGTAGAAAGTACAGATACCTGCTCTCAAATGTAGTGAAGTAAAAGTAGTTTGAGTAAATTAAAATATACAAATAAAAATCTTGATTTAATTTGATTCAGTGCAAATCTTTTTATCAAAATCACAACATTTGAACCGTTATTAGACCTAAAAAATCTTTAAACAGGTACTTTAATACTTTTACTTTAGTAGATTTTAAAGTGGATGTGTTCTTTACTTTTACTTCACTACATTTGAGAGCAGGTATCTGTACTTTCTATCATGTTTTTGAACCAGACTGAGAAGTAAAAGTATTTTTATTATAGTTTGAGATGACACATTTGTAGTTTGAGTAAATATAAGTCTTGATTTAATTTGATTCAGCCAAATCTTTTATCAAAATCACAACATTTGAAGCGATATTAGACCGAAAAATCTGCAAAATCTTTAAACAGATACTTTAATACTTTTACTTTAGTGAAGTAAAAGTAAAAACGTGTCCACTTTAAAATCTGCTACATTTGAGAGCAGATATCTGTACTTTCTACCACCTTTTTGAACAAGACTGAGAAGTAAAACTATTTTTATGATAGTTTGAGACCTGCTGGAAAGGCTAAGGGTTTATATTTAACACATTTGTAGTTTGAGCAAATAAAAATATACAAATAAAAACAGCTAGAATAAAAAAGATTGATTTACTTGTTTCTCTTAAACAAAATTCAGCACAAATCTTTTATCAAAATAACGACATTTGAATCGTTATTAGACCTAAAACAGGTACTTTAATACTTTTACTTCAGAAGATTTTTCATTTGATACTTTTACTTGAGTATATTTTTTTGCTCTAGTATGTGTACTTTAACTTTAGTAGATTTTAAAGTGGAAACGTTTAAATTTTACTTTACTTGCACTACATTTGAGAACAGGTATCTGTACTTTCTACTACACCACCTTTTTTGAACAAGACAGAGAAGTAAAATCACAACATTTGAAGCGTTATTGGACCTAAAAATCTGCGAAAATGTTTAAACAGATACTTTAGTACTTTTACCTAAGTAGATTTTTCATTTGATACTTTTACTTGAGTATGTTTTTTTGCTCTGGTATCTGTACTTCTACTTTTACTCCTCCACTGCCCACACTGTGTTTTCAAATCTGTTTTTGAATGACTCTTACAAGATGCAGTTTGGATGCATCATTGACCGACACGAGAGTGAACAGAGGTCACCCAAACTAACCAACCCGAACCATTTTGGCTCGAATGTGGCCAATCTGAGGCTGGCTTTATGGGGGTTGATTTAAGTTTGCTGTCCGTGCCCTCGACATTGTGCCATTCAGCAACTTATCACCTCTCCAGAGTCACACTGTACTGCTTAGAAAAGTAAAACATTTGATAAGAGCAGAGCGGCCTGGGTGTGCACTGTATGACAAGCTGGTATTTGAGCTGCGGAGGAAGTTGTGAAAAGCAGAAGGACAGGACCAACATTAAACCAAAACATATGTCTGCCCTATTTTTCCATGATATCATATTCTCTCGGGACAGGTATTATAACACACACCTAGACTTTAAAAGACTTTAAAAGACTTTAAAATTACGCTATTTTCTGATGTTATAATGTGGTTTCCTTGTCAAAAAACAGACCTGGAGTTGCTTTTTGTTTCATTCACTCATGTTTAACTCACAAATCCTGCTTATTTAGGTTGGTAATTCTTCTCTCAAACAGAAAATATAGTGATACAGGAAGTGCTCCACTGTGTTTTAAACTCCCCACACCTTCACTAGAATCATTTGGATGATTTTAGACCTGGAATTGCCAATCTCTACTGAATTAAAGGTAAAACTATCGCTTCATAACATTACAAGGTGGACCAGAGTGATTTTATTTTTGAAGATGTAACCAGAATAATAATAAAAGTTTACGCAAGACACGTGTGAATGAAACAAAACACAACTCCAGGTCAGCCTTATAACTTGGACGTAATGTAGGATCTTTTTAAAAAGATGAAATTACCGGTAACTTGTGTTAACTTTTACTTTTGAAACCAGTCCGATGCGTTTTTGTTTGTGTATGCCTACCTCGTTAAACTTCTATGTAATTGTTTTGTAGGGGTGTAAGTAAAAAATCGATTCAGTGATTTATCGTGATACTTCATTGCGCAATTCTCGAATAGGTTAAAAATGGATCCAAATCAATTTTTTTAACACAAAAATTCATTAGTTATTAGGGGTGTAACGATATCGAAGTCTCACGGCATGAACATCACGGTACGATATTTATTGTGATATCGTGGGGAAGCTCACGATGTAACAGTATCCAAATCTTTCAGTGCAATATTTTCACGATATACATCTCACGGTACGATATTTATTGCAATATTTTGTGGAGGCTTACAAACAAAACTGTTAAAATGCCTTGACAAGATTTAATCCAAAGAACTAAGATTTAAAAGTGTTAGAACTGTTATTTCTTCTTGTAGTCTGCACTGAAAGGAGCAAAGGATCATGGTCTATGTAGTTCCCTCTCTTTTTTTTTTTTAGCTGTTGCTGCACCATAAGTCTTCATTTAAGCAAAGAGACTTGTAATTCAATGTATTGTGACGGTCCACGATATTATTGTGAGACTTTGACGATACGATATCATGATATTTCGGTTATTGTTACATCGCTATTAGTTGCATTCACTTTTCTCATGATTTTAAACTATTAACGAATTATATTTCATACAGTTGTGTTCTCCTGAAGGTGTTGTTGACTGTATAATTAGAAGTAATTTTTGATAAATCGCAATATATCATCCATTGTTTTAGTATCAGGATATACTGAACCATGACATGCGAATCATGTATCATATAGGGATGTAACAATAACCGAAATATCTTTATATAATATCCTTAAAGTTCTTAGAATAATTATCGTGGATCATCACAATATATTGAATTCTACATGCTTAAATTAAGAGTTATGGTGCAGCAATAGCACAAAAAAAAATACAGAGTGAACTACATAGACCGTGATCCTTTGCTCCATTTCAGTGTAGACTACAAGAAGAAAAAACAGTTCTAATAACAGCTCTGTTTTGCATCGCATTTTATGCACGTTTTAGTTTTTAAAGGCCCTATATTACGCTAAAATTGACTCTTGTGAGCTTTTAGACATATTATAGCATTGTTAGATTCTCAAAAACAAACCTAGAGTTGTGTTTTGTTTCATTCACACTTGTTTGGGTAATCCTTTATTATTAGTCTGTCTGTATCTCTAAAGCTCAAAATGCTCTGTTTCATTGATTTTGACACATTTTAAGACGCATTTTCTTTACTGTAAACTAGAAGAACAACTGGGCCCGGACTCAGAAGAAGTAGTGGTAGTAGTACTTTTAAACCAATAATCTGAACAAGTATCAATAAAAATAAAAAAAACTGAACTAAATGAGACCTTCCCTGAGTTGTTTCGGAATGAGAATTGAGTAGAGCTGCGAGTAGTTAATTGAGTAATTGTGACTAATTACTAAATTACATGATCATTATTTCAGTAATTGTTAAGTGCTCTATACACAGAACAGAACAGAAGAGTTTTATGATGAGGTTTTATGGCATAGAAGGAACAGGAAATACATGAAAGAGTGCAGGCAAAGTGTAAGTCAATGAATTTGGTATAAAGAGGTCTAGCAGTTATAGGAGTGAATTTGGAGGAACAGGAATTAAGTCATGATCATGTAGCGCGGGTTAATACAAACATTTTAAGATTGAAATGACAAGGCTCATTGCAGCAGCTACAAAGAGAGGGGCGACAATGTAAAGTAAATTTGAAATACTGAGTGGAGCCGGAAGCGCCCCCATGCTCACTTTCTATTTGGAACGCAGAGTTAGCTATGCCCATTTTTACACTCTATGCTTACTCCATCAGAATGGCCCCAATCGGTATCACTTTATCTTCACCTGGGCTTTACTTACAAGATTCCTACGGTCATGGAAATCCTGGAAAAGTCATGGAATTTTAGTATCTCTTTCACGCAACCACAGCATTCTGTTAAGTTATCATTAGGCTATGGTGATTATTTCCAAACGTCTGCACCTTTTGTTTAAAAGAGACGACAATAAATGCACTGACAGTATTTTGAATGTTAAAAAACTGTAATCCCAAACCATAAAGTGAGTGGAAAGAGTTAACATTTCATATTTAGTCCTAAAAGTCTGATCAATTCTACACACGTAGGTGCCGTAAAGTCATGGACATTTCACTTTAGGTCATGGAAAAGTTTTGAAGTTTTGTCATTGAATATAAGTGGGAACACTGCATTTACGCAAATCTTATATTTACAAACCTTTTGTTTAATTAACAAAATAATGGTTAGTTATTAGGGATGCAACAATAACTGAAATATCGGGATATTGTATCGTTAAAAGTCTCACAATAATGCCTTGCTGTTTTATATTACCAATAGCTTATAAACATCAGGAACTACATATCCCATGATTCATTTCAGCACAGACAACGTGAAGAAATATGTTTTTGAGTTGAATTCTTGGGATAATGACGGAAATAATTCACATAAAATTCTTGTCAGAAGATTTTAAAAGCGAAGAATTGTCCTATCTGCAATTATATCAGCCTCTTCAAAATATCGCAATAAATATCGTACCATGAGAGGCATATCTTGATAATATCGTACGGAGAGATTTGGATATCGTTACATCCCTGTTAGTTACAGCTCTAATGTTGAGCTTTATCAGAACTACTTGGTAACATTTGGTGTTGGAACTGGTATCATGTATCAGCTAATCCCTCAGTATTGATAAAGAGTTTTAGATTTTAGTAGGTGTACAGTTTGGCACTCTATACAAAACTTGTAACTTGTTGTATTTAAAAAAAAAAAAAAAAAATCCAGATAGTAATTTAGTATTGAACCTAGATACTAATTTAAAAAGCTATCGATACAAAAAATTTGGATAAATACTGTATATGGTGCAGATTTGGGCTTTCCAGGGTAGTTTTTAAAAGGTCATGATCAGAACTAGTATCGAACCACATGCAAATTATAAAGAAATTTTAGCTTTATTTTAAAATTACATTCTGTTCATACTCTGTTCAGTTTTAACTTTACACAAAAAGCTGAGAGTGACTAACTGAAAAACTGTTGGCTAATGCTAACGCTAATGCTAATGTTAACTAGCTTGTAACTGTAATGTTATCTGAGAGGGACTTGTTTTAACGGCCCAAATTGGCTCACTTGTTGTAATTCCAGCTTTTCCAGCAAGTTCTTTACGGTTAAATTGTTGTTTATGGCCAAATTGTTAAAATAAACGCAGACAGAGCAGAGCCTACAGTTAGCATCACACCCCCAGGGAACATTGACGACATTAGCTTCAAAGTAATAAGTAGTAAATTGTTTTAAAGTTGTTTTTTTTATTATTTTCGAGGCCTCAAAATTGGAGTACATGTTTAAATTTAATTTTTATTAGAACACTGATATAAACACCAATTGTAAAAACCCATTAGATAACTTTTCTCTGTGTACTTTTGTGTACATTTTGACAAAGTTGCTACAGACATTTGTGCGATCATGCTTTGCTCTCCAGAAATAACGGTTATAAAACTGGCGATCATGAGCTGTGCATATTTTGAGGATGCCATGGAGTCTAAAAATGTAATCTTGTGATTGTGGCCACACTGTGTCACGTCGAATAATCCAGTTTATTATTTCAGCCGTGACCAGCTCTGTCCTTGTGTGTGTCTGGCTTTCCAAAACAAAAAAAGTCTGTCATCGTTTTTTTTTTCTTTTTCTTTTTTTTTATCTAGTTTCGCAAAGGTTATTTAAAGGGCCCATATTACAGTATTTTCTGCTCTGTTGTAATGTTGTTTCCTCATCATAAACGTACCTGGAGTTGTGTTTTGTTTTGTTCACACATGTTTAACACATCGATATATCATTTCTATTTCTGGAATATTCCACAGTATGGCATTAAACACCTCCACCTTAAATGTATTCAATTACAGATGGTTCTATAGCTCAAAAATATTGATAAAAACATCTATTCTGAGTGGGTGTGGAGTCGCCTCTCCACAGATCTGACCTGTAATTTGTTCAGGTTTGGTCACCATGAAGATGGAAAGATTTAATGCCATACTGCGGAACATTCCAGACAAAGCAATAACATCTCCATAGAGAAAAGCTACACAGTGAACTAAGTGCAATTAATCGAGTTTTGATCATGATTTCGATTTGTGTGTCAAACAATCTCCAAACTCGTATAATCGAGTTGAAATAATTTAAATCTTAACAAAGTTTGGGGTATTTTTTATATAAATAATCATTTATTTAGTTTTTTAAATATAGAGATCACAGAACAGCTTAATATAGAGCTTATTTTGGATGCATTTATGTCTTTCTATGCCTTATTTCATGTTCAAAGTATTCATGTTATGATTTATAAGTCGCAAAAGTGCTCTAAGGTTCATATTTGTAACCTATATTTTCAATTTGAAAGTTTTGCTTAAATTATCTATAACAAAGTGTTTTGGTTTTTTTTGAGAGAGAGAAATGTTGACTAAATGCATCATGTAACAAAAAAAATAATTGTTGATGAATGAATAATCGTGACTTCAATATTGGCCAAAATAATTGTTATAATTTTTTTTTTCCGTGATTGAGCAACCGTGAACCTTTTTCATTTAAACTCTATACAGTGTCATTAGAATAATAATTTCAGACTCGGAATTGCCAGTCTTTGCTGAAACAAATGGTAGAAGAGGTTGTTAACGTGAACACTACCACTTCTTGACATCACAAGGTGGAACAGAACATTTTGAGCTTTGGAGATGTAGACAGACTAATAATAAAGTGTTACTCAAATATGTGTGAATGAAACAAAACACAACTCCAGGTCTGTTTTTGATAAGGAAATGACATTATAACATGACTTAAAGCTCACAAGAGTCGATTTTGCATCATATTGGACTATTTAATATGTCTGTTTGAATGTATAGATCATGTTATTAGGCACTGATGTTTCCTATGTTAGAAATCGTACTGTTATTCTGATTTTGTATGTTTGTGTTTCAGGAGCTGGGGAGTCGGGAAAGAGCACCATTGTAAAGCAAATGCGGATTCTTCACGTAAATGGATTCAATGCAGAGTGAGTAGTACTGATATTCAAAAACTGACCTTTATTGTTTTATTGGGTACACTCAAGCGCACATAAAGTAAAATGAATGAATCTTGCTAACTCCTGTAGCCTTCAAATACAACTGCCCCCAAGAACAAGTTACCATATTTTTTGGACTATAAGGTGCACTTAAAATCCTTTTAATTTTCTCAAAAATCTGAAATCGAACTGATTTGATGTGGTACATGGTGCTCAAAAATCTGTTAAAATGTTTTAGTACAACTTTGCACCACTTGATGGACTGTCGGAGCATTACGGCGACTGTAGTCAGGAGCCTTGCTGAGTCGTGTCCTTTAGTCCGACAGAAGCTTAACCGCATCAGCACATATATAGCAAATTAGCCATGTGGTTTTAAATTTCGTTTCTGTAAAACATAAACAAATGTGGCAAAGCTGCATTGAACACATTATTACTCAATGTATATTTGAGTCGTCCTCGTAGGAAATAAAAATCCGAACTTAAATGATCCACCCACATTCAGATTCATAATCGACATTCACCAAGACAGGGAGGCAACGCCGGGCGAATTACACCACGATCTGCCAATGGATCGTGGCCCAATCTCAAGTGTCGTCCGTTTGTTTTGCTTAATGCACCTTGTAATCCAGTGCACTTTATGTATGAAAATAAAAGAGAGAATTCAACATTACTGATGTTGTGCCTTATAATCTGGTGTGCCTTATAATACGAAAAATACGGTAATAATCTGGTCAGAACTCACCATTTCCTAAATAATTTTCTGATTGTATAATTCCGGCAAGAATTTATAGTGGGACACGCTGTAAAATTCCCATGTAAAGATGGAAAATTTTAACTTTGTTGAATACCAAGGACAGTCAATGGATAGGTTGATTATGGGGATGTAATGATATCCAAATCTCTCGGTACGATATTATCACGATATACATCTCATGGTACTATATTTATTGCGATATTTTGAAGAGGCTAATATAACTGTAGATGGGAAACTTTTTTGCTTTTAAAATACCTTGACACGATTTTGGTGTGAATTATTTACGTCATAATCCCAAGAACTCAAGTAAAAAACATAACTTCATGTTGTCTGTACTGAAATGCATCATGGGACATGTGGTTCCCTATGTTTATAAGCTGTTGCTACTATAAAACGATGCATTTAAGCAAAGGAACTTGTGATTCGATATATTGTGACAGCCCACGATATAATTGTGAGACTTTTGACAATACAATATCACGATTTTGGTTATTGTGACATGGCTATTGTGGTTTGTAACAGAATGTGCGGAGAATGCCTAAAATCTTAATCCCATGTGAATGCACCATGTCTGTAAATTTTGCTACAAAGTACCTACTATATTTCGCCACACAGACATCCGGTGATAATACTAGACCTGTGCGAATATGCATCTCAGCATTTGTTGTTAGAAAAGGCTGGCAATTATATCTTTCTTTTCTTTCTGCGTTCTCTTCTTTTTCAATCTCTGAGTAATTTACGGACTTCGCTTATCCCATGCAAATGCGCTGCAAGTAACACAGAGGTGGGACGGTAATTTGGAAATTACCAGACATCCCCATGTTATACTTAACTCGTACAAATAGAGCTATAGACTGTATAAAGAAGTGGACTAAGTGAGTCCCTGCGAAAACCTAAAAGTTTTGAGTTTCCAAATTAATTTCTGTGTATTGGAATAGTCCAGTGTGTGCCACTGTTTGGGTGTCTCAGATTCATCTTCTGGTGTTTGATGACGATGAAGCTCGACCTGTCATGATAGCAAATTTTGAGGCACGATATATCGCTATAGAGAAACTATAATATTGAAACTACAATGCCCCTATCACAATTTATTTTTAAACATATGGGATCATTAAAGGTGCACTGTGGATGATCAGAGATGTTGTTGGTTTCCTTGGATAAACATCTAGCGTTTATTCATCACGGGTGTGTCTATGGCTCTAAAATACAATAGTTCCTAGAGCTGTGCAAAAATATCGTATCGTTTAACGTGATGATGACATTCACTATTCTGATTTGTAAAATGGGTGTTTTTCATATTAACGTTGCACAAACTTGGTGAACTTTAAAGACTTTTAGTATGACAGCCATGATTTACCCTTCGTATTTCACTGAACCATATCGAAACGATTTGAAATACAGTATATCATATTGAACTGAAAGTGCACTGTATCGAAAAACGTATTGTATCTTGGCCTGTGTATCGAGGTATTTATTGTATCGGCGACTTCTTAATGATACCCAGCCCTAATTATTCCTTCTGTGAACAGGGGCAACTCTCCACAGATCTGAACTGTAAAGTAGCGTGGTGCTGTAACCTGCTAGTCTTCCTCGTGATCGATAGGTTTAGACTAGGGTCCGACCGATATATCAGTTGGCCGATATCATCAGCCGATATGGGTACTTGGAAACATATCGGCTATCGGCCTAAATCTTGCCGATATGGGCTGATATTTCACATGTTTTGAGGCTAATTTTGGTTCTTTCTCATTTTTACTGTTCTGATTTGTAAAATGAGTGTTTTTCATATTAACGTTGCAAACTTAGTGAACTTTAAAGACTTTTAGTATCACAGCCATGATTTACCCTTCATTTTTCAGAGTTAGCTGCAGTAGCTCCCAAATAAAAACTGTGGTTTTCTCTGCTGTTTTCTCTTCAATTAGCCTAGTTTAAACTGACTGTATTGGGCGTATATCAGTTACTGAACCTGTATTGTTATGTAAATGAGCTGTAAATAGAAGTGTGAATGATTGGCATTTACTGCGTTTACGGCTAAAGGCTAATAGCAGTAGTTTACTTTCTTTCTTTACTAGTAGCTAGAATGTGATGCAAAAATGCCATTAGGTCAACCTACTGTCTGTAAATATGATGTAAAGAAGCAGACTAACAATAAATGTTGCCTAAATAAACCCAATTTAAAATTCACTAGTGCCAAACCTAAGTTTTTTTTTAAACAATTCAAGATTTACAGTGAATTTTTACATCACTAAATATATCAGAGATTATATCGGCAGCTCCAACTCCCATTTTATCGGTATCATATCGGCCACAACAAAGTCCATATCGGTCGGGCCCTAGTTTAGACTGTACTGTGGAACATTCTGCATGTTTTAAAAGGCAAGCAGCAACAAATAAATAACAAAATAAAGCAATAATTAGCCATATAAGTAATGTACTGTATGTTCTACCCTCTACAGCTCAAATCTTGTTCCGTTACATAAAAATGACAAAAAACTTCCCAGTATTGCAAAGTAATTGTAATGTGATAAATACTGAGCCTCGAAATATATTATTCTACCTTTCATATATTGAACGATAAGTCGATATAGTAATTATCGTGACAGGCTTAGATGAAGTGCGTTGCGAGTATAAAATGGTCACCTAAGGCAGATGGGGGCGTATGACAAAGCGCGTGACAGCGCACACTGAGCCCTGTGTGTACCATCGCTACATGCATCGCTTTTTGTCTTCACTGAACACACACACACCAGCCACTCGGACAGCTGTGTGCGTGAAATACTCCAGGAATCTGCAGGAGGTGGATATGGGCAGCAACTTTTGTCATGTACGATGTGAATGAGAGAGCGTTTGATCGGAATAGGGTTCAGTAAATCAAGTAATAATCAATATTAAACCTTGTATTGAAATGCTCTTGGCTTGTAAGAAAGTAACAAGGAATTGGCTGAAGGATGACCCGTTGAAATTGCAACAATGTATAGATATAATAGAGGAAATTTATGTCATGGAAAAAATTACCTATAATTTGAGACTGGAAGCTGGTAAATTTGAGAAGCGATGGTCAGAATCGACAATTTACAAAGCTCAATCCAGTGTATATGGTATTTTCTATTATTATAGAACGACTCTGATTATTTGTTCTTTTATGTAAATTTGTTAAAACTTTGAAAAAGCACAAATAAAAAGTAGAAAAAAAACTAGTATTGAAACTAGATCCTCATTTGAGCAGGTGTCGATACTAAAAAAATCCCATTCACAGGACAGAAATGAACCTTCCCTGAATCGCTTTAGAAGGATCTTGAGCTGCATCAGAACAAGTATAAGAGCACACAGGTAATGGTATTTTAAAGGACAGACATAAAACGAGACTTCTAAGCTTTGTTTCAACACAATATGACCAAAAAGAACTAGAACAGGTGATCTGATTTGTACGCACACATACATTTACAGTCACAAAGCTAACTAGCATTGGCCAATAGTTTTTCAGTTAGCTACTCTCACCTTTTTGTTGAAAACCAAACACCTAAACAGGACCATAAATGCTCATATTAATAAGTGTCCTGAAAGTTAAAACTCTTTTTTTTTTGGCTAATGTGTGCATTGTCTCCGTGGTTACTAGGGGTGTGTAAAAATATTGAAATATCGACATTTCTTAACGTTTAATTGGATAATACGGCAGCCCACAATATCATTACTGTATCGATATATAGCCATGAGTGTTTTTTGGCATATTTTATTAAATTATTTTGTTACAGAGCTACAGTTTTTTTGCTTGTTCAGAGGAAGGACTCACTTATGCGACATATTTCACATTCTCACCGTTTTGACGATTAAAATGTTTGTTTCATATTCACTTTGCACAAGAAGTGGTTTAACAGAGACTTTTAGTATCACAGACTTGATTTAGCCTTTATTTTTTATTGAACCGAATCATATTGATTTGAAATATATCGAATTGAAAGCGTACTGTATCGAGATATGTATTGTATCGTGGCGTGTGGCGAAGTATGCAATTTCTTAATGATATACAGCCAAAATATATATAAAAATATATCTTTCGTTTAATGTGACGATACAGTATTGATATGACACAGTCATTTTTGGTGTATTTTACTAAATTATTTCGTGTAAGAGCTACAGTTGTTGACATTTTCACAGTTTTGAGTAAAATGGGTTTTTCATATTAACTTTGCACAAACTTACGGTAGTAGACTTGGCAGACCTTTTGTATCACAGCCAT